ACTCACGGAACGGATTCTTTTCGTCTTGCGAGGCACCACTGTACCATCAAGGGCCGAGGTTCCTCGCAAGAAGGCCCACTTGCCCCCATTACACATTCAGCTGAATGGCTGGAGAGAGTTTTAGCGATGGCAGCAGGCCAGGGAAACTGGAGCCACAGAGGTTCTATACTGCAGGTCCAACACAGTATAGCACATTTGTCATGGAGGTGGGTGGGGAAGGGGCATGCTCTGCATCACACCAGGCAGCCCCTGCCATTTCCTTCCTAGGGGCAGGAGGAGACCAGCAGCACCTCCTATTCTCTGAGATGCCACTGTAGAGATGGCACTGGGACTGCCAAGGAGGTGGAAGATCTGGCCGCCATTGAGTGTACCATAGCTGTTGCGGTTACTGTGGTCAGTAGTGGAGCAAGGTGGGGGCAGTGGGGGCGGGTTGCCCCTGTTAGAATTCCTGCTCTGTGATTGCAGTCATGGGATTGTTGTGTTTCACATGACATGATATGTTTTGGCTCCACAGAGTGGGAAGTGACGAAGACAGGATGTTTGTGTTACTGTGTTCCGTGAAGTGGGACTATTGTCCTTTGTTCTTTTTCTCTTTGCTGTCTGATGCTAGAGAGAGAGGGAGCCGTGTTGCAGTGTTCCTTGTGTGTTTACAGTGGTACCTCGGGTTAAGTACTTAATTTGTTCCGGAGGTCCGTTCTTAACCTGAAACTGTTCTTAACCTGAAGCACCACTTTAGCTAATGGGGCCTCCTGCGGCCGCTGCGCTGCAGGAGCAGGATTTCTGTTCTCATCCTGAAGCAAAGTTCTTAACCTGAAGCACTATTTCTAGGTTAGTGGAGTCTGTAACCTGAAGCGTATGTAACCTGAGGTACCACTGTATATGTAAATAAAGTAGATTAGCCAAAATGCTGAGTTGCTGAGGTCTGTCATGCATGGTGCGCAAACTCTGCGGATCCCTAAGTGTGCTGGCATCGGTCTGTTGGCATCGGTTGCTGTGATGTTCGTGCTGAAGAAAGCTTTTGAAGCTCCCGAACGATCGACCAGGAGGGAGAGAACATGCCAGTCGGGCATGTGTCTCTGCCAGGGTCCTACTCGAGTGTAGGCTGAACTCCTGACAGCCCTTGGTGCCACCACTGAGGGGGGGTGACAAAATGCTGGGGGGCACTCACCCCGGGGTCTGCAGCATGCCCAAACCACATGTCTCTCCCCACGGAGCATCCTGCCCCAGCTGGCCCCGCCCCCACATGCGGCTGGCCCCGCCCCCAGGCACAGGGCATGCACACCGCCCCAGACGCCCGATTGGCTTGCTCCGTCGCTGACTGTAGTGGCAGCAGTGGTGGCGGCAGGCAATGCATTCCTTTGAGGCTGGGTGTGCCCACCCTGCGGATCCTGCCACCCCAAGGGGTCCCCTCGCCTCACCTCATGGGGGGACCAGCCCTGAATGTGAGAACACCTGCTTCTGAAATAGTCAAGTAGCAGAAGAGTTGCAGGAACTTGTTCTCTCCCCTCCCTCATTTCAATTGAAATGCCACAGGTTCCTGATTATGAAAGCTCACCTTTTCAGCTCAGAAATGTGGCAGGGGGACTGCCTTTCTAAATCTGCTTCTCAAGTCTCGGCTCCCACTGACTAGCACATCTTGCCAACAACAAGTGGAGGAAATTTGGCTCATAGCGCAGCCAATTTTCTTAATTTGTTGTCGTGGGTGATTCAGAAGCGATCCCTCTGGGTGTAACACAATTTGGTGCTAATCCCTACTGGAATGCAAAAATATTGAATTACCAAATTCAGGCCAATAACATCATTAAAAGTACACGTCAATTGCTTCTTGTTGAGTAAACAAGGTGGTATAACTTTCTCATTCTTAAATGGTGGATATTGCTAAAAAGAAAACTAACCAGAGCAACTCAGAGAGGGTGAAAAAGGATATTTGCTAAGATATTTGTCAGGGTAGGATGGGTGAAATCCCCTCCCATGCATTTAACTGACAATAAAGTGGGTTTATATTTGCTTAGCTGAACCAGTTGAACAATTCTTTTCCTGGGAAACTGTCCCTGCAGATAAACAAGAGATTATGGGCTCATCCACATTTCTGCATGTCCTGTGCCTAAAAAGATAGTGTCCAAGCAGTTTCCCCCCTGTTCTGTACATTTCTTAGGAGAAACCCACTTTTTAGCTCTCATTTGGAACCAATGGCAATCTGCAGAAAACTCAACTTGCTGTTTGCTCTGATTGAGCACTAAATAGCAGTTTTCGCCAGCAGGACAAGAGGGAATATGGACAAGCCCTAGGTTTTATGCAGCATGCAGACCCACTGAAATTAATGGACCTAAGTTAGCCATGTTCATTCATTTCAATGGGTTTACGCTGAGCAAAACTTAGATACACCGTTCTGCTTCAGAGCTGCATAGCAGTGAAGTTCTGTACCGATCTCCAAAGAACTGACGAGTGTTGAAAAATGCAAATGAGACAACATCATACACACATTATTTCACTGAAATATGGTTCTTATGATACCTTTACTATTAGACTGCATATAACACATATACGTATCTTGTGTCTGTTTGTGAAGGTACATGTTTCGCAAAAAGATACAAATCATGTTCCTCAGCTACCTTTGCCTATACTGCCATTTAATCCCAGGATGGGGAAACCGAACATATCACCATCATTTACTATATTTGTATCATGATGTCATCAACAAAAACCACAGAAAGCACAGAAATATGCAACTATGGCTTGTGTCCCATGTGCACCTAGGTGTGACATTCAGGTACAATGGCTACAAAGAGAGAACTTGTGGGATGAAACGTGGCCACAATTTATTTTAGTTATCAGAGGTTGGTGTGGTGTGAAACAAGGGTCAATCTATTCAGGAAGTCCGCCTGCTGAGCAATACCTCTCTCAGCCCACCTGCTGGGCAACCAGGAGCAAGTCTCCACAAACTTGGGCCCAACATGGCGCAGGCTGCTGCAGCCTGAGCGTGTGGCAGGTGTCCTCTGCTCGCTGAATTAGGGCTGAGGCCTTAAAACTCCACCTGCAAGCCTCCTTATGGGAGTCCCCTCACAGGCTATAGATCCTGCCCACAGCTGCATCAAATTGGAACTGCAATACAAGCAGCACATAGCCATGGGGAAGTGAAAAGCTTGCCACCTCAAGCCAGTTGAGGCTTCCCAGTTGAGCCAATTCTTTCCAACCCCACCAGCCAGTGTCCAGTCAAAACCCAAAGCAAAGAATTGAGCGAGAGGAGCAAGTTTCCCCCATTGCCTCACACCCAGGGCCAGATTTAGGTTTGATGAGGCCCTAAACTACTGAAGGTAATGGGGCCCTTTATATGTCCAGCTGCCCTTTGTCAACAACAAATTGCTGCTGTTTTTTGTGTTGAATATATGCTATATGGTAATTTATGGACCTAACAGGTATCTAAAGCCATTTGCACATGCAGAATGTAGGCACCCTGTATATAGAAATGAGCAAACCAGTGACATTTTAGGGAGCAGGCTAGCAGGCAGGGCCCATTACTTACATCATATGAGCCTACACAACACAAAACACTGTTGCTGTATATAGGTTTTGTTTTATTTGCTTTTCATCTTATATTTTGGAAATGTACATCCAGTTTTTTTTCCTTTAAATTTTTTTGGGGGCCCCAAGAGAGTGGAGCCCTAAGCTATAGCTTGTTTCGCTTATACGTAAATCCGGCACTGCTCACATCACACGGACGTCACAAAATGGCCCTGTTATGTAATGTCACTGTGCCAAGATTTCCGATACAACAAAAATGAACAACAAATGAGATAAACTCTTCAGATCAACCTCTGACAAGTAGCTTTTAAGACTCCATAAATGCCTTCAGAACTGGAGGCCAGGGATTGCCAATGCAAAATCAAGTAACCACGACAGGCTTTTTCTGGCTTTGTTATTTTTTACTTTCTTGCATCAGATTGAGGAGGCTGGCCCAATTTCCCTGTACTCGGTCACAGAAGATATTTAGATAGCCACAACCAGATACAGCTGGGTGGCAGAAAGTTCACCTGTTTTCTGATAGGTTCTGAGGAGTGTCAGGGGGTGGACGTGTGGCTCTTTCACATGTCCTTGCTGGGTTTATAAAGCTCTGGCTTCCAAACGCAGCCAGGGAGACAAAGGCAGAACTCGCTTTTCCATTGTGGAGGTTGCAACATTGTGGTCATCCTCAACAGAGCTCCAGCTCTCAAATCATTCAGGGCCATGTTGGGGCTGCAGTTTGTTCTGGGTATTCTCATATTCCATTTTGGTGCTGCACAGGAGGCAACGTTGTAAGTTATAACCAGCATCTTCTTATAATATTTATTAGTTGACTGTGATTAGCTTCTTTGTTTAGCACAATGCTGCTGTTATCTGATGTTTATGAACTTCCAGGCCTTTGGTCAGGCTGACATTTCCAGCTAAGATGAATAGAGAGTCATTGTAACTTTTCTCCAGATATTATTAACAGGGCAAGGTTAATAAGAGCAAGGTGTGAAAGTCTAACTGTAGGGATTTTTAATATATATATATTATTGACTTATGCCCCGCCTTTCCCCCAACGGAAAGACGGCTTACAGATAAAAACAAGAAGGTAGGAAAATACTATGAAGTACTGATAAAACTAAAACTATATACATTATAGATATACATGTATAAAATCTGTTTAAAACATACCAATGATTGCAACAAGAACAGCAGGATTTTATGTCAAAGTGTTGTCAAGCTTTTGTTGGTGTCAAGTGGCCAGCAGTTGTACAGAATGTCTCCTTCTTGACAAGTTTCACTTGACAAAATTCCCTTACCTGTACAGGTATTACAGGTGCAGTAGCCTGAATGAACCAGATTACATTTGTTCCTAATTGTCTGTGAATAATAAAGTATTGAATTTTATAATTAACGCATAGTTCTTCTCGGCCAGTATTGCCTAATGGCATAGCAACTTTCCTCATGCATCTGAAAGCAGGCTTTCTGCCAAATAGCTGAAGGATGAGCTTTTCATGTGCTGTGAGTTGCTTTTGCTGGTACGAACTAATACAGCTGCTCTTTTGGGATTTCACAGGCAGTATGTCCTAGTAGTGCCTTCAGTACTGCAGAGTGGCTCTGCAAATACAGCCTGTGTGCAACTTCTCAACCTCAATGAGACTGTAAAACTGAATGTCTTTCTGGAATATGAGAGGCGTAATGTAACTGTTTTCCAAGAAGTTGTGCGAAGGGAAAACTTCTTCAAATGCAGCTACTTTGTGGTAAGTATTTCTTGCCTCCGTGACAATTAGAAAGAGACATAAACGGAGAGGAAAAAGGGAAAGGGGACCACTATAGACTTGTAGAGGTGGAAGGGACACCAAGGGACATCTAGCCCAACCCTGTAAGGATGTTGAAATTACAAAATAGGATAGGGAAGAGGAGCAAGAAGGGATAGGAGGCCTGTGAAAGAGCAGAAAATATTGTTACCTGCCCCCCCTCCAATCTCCAAGCGGTGCGAGATTCCAGGTGTTCCAGATGCTTACTCATGGTTCGCATTCCCTTTTGGAAATGAGGCACAGCAGAAGCTGTGGTGTCATTATGATATATGGTTTATTTACACATATATACAACCTCAGCTTACGATGGAGGGGTTCCAAGCAATGACTTTCAAGCAAATTCTGTTTCTCCCATTCCAGCCGCTTTGGAGACAAGTTGCTAGCCCACATCGTGCTCTGATCCTCACCCCCTCTTCAGTTTGCAGTGTTTTGACACTGGCACCTCCCCCCCCCACTCACATTGGGCAAACTACCCTTCTGGAACTCTCTCCTAAAAACTCTGGCATTATCTTCTGCTAACTACCCAGAGCGCGGCTCCACCCACCTCCTGGCTGGCATATCCTTTACCTTCTTGCCTTATTTTTATTCTGTGATCGATCCTGAGATCTTTTGATGAGGGGTGGTATCTAAATATAATAAATAAATAAATAAATAAATAGGTAAAGGTAAAGGGACCCCTGACCATTAGGTCCAGTCGTGGCTGACTCTGGGGTTGTGGCGCTCATCTCGCTTTATTGGCAGAGGGGGCCGGCGTACAGCTTCTGGGTCATGTGGCCAGCATGACTAAGCCGCTTCTGGCGAACCAGAGCAGCGCACGGAAACGCCATTTACCTTCCCGCCGGAGTGGTACCTATTTATCTACTTGCACTTTGACTTGCTTTCAAACTGCTAGGTTGGCAGGAGCAGGGACCGAGCAACGAGAGCTCACCCCGTCGCGGGGATTTGAACCGCCACCTTCTGATCAGCAAGTCCTAGGCTCTGTGGTTTAACCCACAGCGCCACCTGCGTCCCAAAATCAATAGATATAATACATAAATAATCGGTCCACCACCTCTTTCCCCCCTCTTTTAATGGCCCATCTCTCTAGGTGATTTCCTGAATGGCTTGGCCTGTGTTTTAAGCACTTTGCTAAGTTTGGCATCTGGCACACAGGAATTAGAAGAGAGGTTCTGGGATGAGAAGGGGAGTCTTATAACAATAAAATAATTATTAGCTGAGAATGCATGGGAAGCATTTTAAATGCTGTCTTTGCAAGAACCCTTTGGAATAGGTCGTTATTCAAAATATTCTCATCTTCCTATGGCAGACATAGTGCAGAGGCGGGAGGCCTCACACTACTAAATGAAGGTCCCTATCAGGGACTGCTTAACTGACAACTTCCCAACTCTCACCTGTTACTTCGCCATCACCCTACCATCAGAAACAGGGCAGCCAGTTAAGTTGGTCAGTCTGCCAATTTCAGAGCATTATCTATCTTGTAGCTAACAAAATACGGTGCAAATAGAATTGTGCTTTTAATTGGAACAACTCATGCATTCCTGTTGACATTTTTCAAAGTCAAACTGCTGGAGAATCACAGCACCTGCTGTGGTTGCAGAGACCAGCAACTCGTAACAACTGCTGCCTCCTGTGTTGTTTTTGCTGCGTTAGTGTGGTGTAGTGGTTAAGAGCAGTAGGCTCGTAACCTGGTGAACCGGGTTCGCGTCCCCGGTCCTCCACATGGAGCTGCTGGGTGACCTTGGGCTAGTCACACTTCTTTGAAGTCTCTCAGCCCCACTCACCTCACAGAGTGTTTGTTGTTGGGGAGAAAGGGAAAGGAGAATGTTAGCCACTTTGAGACTCCTTCGGGTAGTGATAAAGCAGGATGTCAAATCCAAACTCTTCTTCTGAAGTGATCTCTCTGGGGCACCAGCCTGGGCAGTGTGTATGGAGGTCCTGGGCTGCCCAGACAACCAGACCCCCTCTTGACCTTTGCTGATAAGGTCCCAAGGAAAGCAGAGTAATACGTTTGGCACCAGCCTGGCTGCAGAAGTTGCCGGAGGGAGGTGTTCAAGGCAGCATCCAACTCCATTCCATTCCAGCTCCCAAAGATATCCCGCAAGGCAGGCGATGTTTAGGATCAGTTTTCCTTCTCCTAGACAGGCTAACTTCCCAGGCTGATGAGCCCCATCTGTTCCACAAGGCAGCATGGGGGGAATTAAGTCCCCAAATAGATAACATATCCAATATTAAACTGATAAGAACTTACTTTGGCTAACATCAAGTGTATTATCTGTTCTATCACATATGTTTACCAGACAGGTAAGCCATGTAGCTGTGAGATGCAGGGAAGGCAACTACAGGTGCTAGAATCCTTTGGAGAAAATGGTGGCAAACCACCACACATTTACAGGTCTATTGTTGTATCGCTTGGTTTCTTCCCTCACAGGTCCCTGAGGCCAGTTCCAACCCTGTGGCTTACATCACCATCTCTGTCAAAGGCGCCACAGTCAATGTGACAGAGAGGAGGGTTTTGGCCATACAGAACAAAGGCAGCGTTGTTTTTGTTCAGACTGACAAACCCATCTACAAACCTGGACAGGAAGGTAAGTGATGGTCATGGCATTATCTCTTCTACAGCAATGTGTAAAAAGTGTTTTGCAGCCCTTCCCAGACTCATCATGAATAGTCTAAATGCTGTAAATATGGGGAATTGTGGCAAGAACTGCGTGTTCAGCAGCAGACCCTGGTCTGGAAAGCCAAGACACTACTTTTTTTGGGACAAATTTGTGGAGGGGGGAATTATGGATACCACATCATCATCATCATCATCATCATCATATTTACTTATACCCTGCTCATTTGGCTGGGCCTCCCTAGCCACTCTGGGCAGCTCCCAACATATTAAAAACATGATAAAACATCAAACATTAAAACTTCCCTAAACAGGGCTGCCTTCAGATGTTTTCTAAAAGTCAGGTAGTTGTTTATTTCCTTGACATCTGGTGGGAGGGCTTTCCACAGGGCGGGTGCCACTACCGAGAAGGCCCTCTGCCTGGTTCCCCGTAACCTCACTTCTTGCAGTGAGGGAATTGTCAGAAGGCCCTCGGAGCTGGACCTCAGTGTCCGGGCTGACTGATGGGGATGGAGATGCTCCTTCAGGTATACTGGACCGAGGCCGTTTAGGGATTTCAAGGTCAGCCCCAACACTTTGAATTGTGCTTGGAAATGTACTCAAACGTGGTCTGACTGCTGAAATGTCCATAAATCTGCTACCAGAGGCAGTGTTAGGTTAGTGTGACCCATGTGGCACAACTTAGCACCACCACAATCCTATAGAACGGAGGGCAAGAGGCAGAGGGAGGAGCACTGAATTTTAGCATCATACAGGGTGCTGCGGAAATTTTAGAGCCCCAAGTCCACCACTGCTGCAACAGATTAGTACAGGCTGTATACTGGGTTGGGAATGCAAGGAGGAAACCTAGAAAGGCTAAACTACTTAGGTATTAGGTATAATAACCCAGATTTCAAACTCAACCCACTTCACAAACCATGGTGAATAGAACTGGTAATCTGAGTCAACCTTTACTGTATGGCTGAGGTGGAATTTGAATGCAGGTTTTTCATGTCCAAATTGATCTCTTTTTTCCCCTGGATTGCCGTTTCCCAGAATGATAAAAACTTGCTGTTAGCTAGCGGGAAAGCAAGTGAATTTCTCTCACAGTCTTTTTCTTTCCCCTTCCACAGTGCTCTTCCGAATTGTTTCTCTAAATACGCGTTTTCAACCTGATCCTCAAACTGTAAGTATATGGTCAGGAGGAAGAATTTCCAAAAAGCTCCTGGTTTATATTAAAGTCTTTGTGAACCATCTCATCAGCTTTAAAAAAAGCAGATGCACAACCCATAACAATAGCTTAACACCCAAATAAGCACGCAGAGTCTGAGGCAAAACTTTTTGGTTTGGTGTTTGCTTGGTCTGCTCCTAAATAGTAGTCTATGCACGTAACTCCAAATGAGATTGAATCAGACCAAAGTAAACAGTTTCAAAGAAGCTGTCTATGCAATTTGGCCTACTAATAAGTGCTTCGCACACATGCAGCATTTTTGCTTTGAAGTTAAAAGCTAATGTTCTCCACTAAGGTTCCTGCAAATGGACTGAACATATCTATTGTGTCTGTGACTGATTCTGAATACTCTTTCTAGGAAATGAAGCAATTCTGGTCATTGTTGGAAAGTCAGTAAATAAATTAAACTTGTGGTAGATGGAATGGAAAGTTTAGCCATGGAACAAAGGGATACGATGACGTTTTAGTTATCCATTTAAAACGTATAGCAGCCTTAGCAGCTGTTTTAACAGCAATTATCTGCATTCTTTGCAAATTTATCAAAGCAGCAAATCTACAGCATACGCAGACAACAATAGTTTAAGACATGTTACCAATGCAGACAGGCTAATTTGTGAAAATCTAGAATTTCTTTTACCTCTGTTCTGATTAATGATGTCCTCAGGTTTGGCCATTCATTGGGGAAAAGGCAGTCTGCCTTGAAGGACAGGAGAACTGTCTATGGCTGTCTGCTAGTAAGCATACTCACCTGATATATTTTTGTTCATCCATATGCACAAAATGCACAATATCGCAGCGTTTTGGCTGCAAATACTAAAAGAAGGCTTGTTTCTAATCTTGCTCATTGCCTGAAACATATTCCCTTATTTTGTTCCACCATCACTGGGATATAAACTATGCTGCCTCATATATTTAACAGAGCAAAACTGCACTATTTTTCATTCAGGGTTCAAATCATCCCTTTAAACACTTGTTGATTAGGAGTTTTGATGCTCAACTCTGAAAAGTTGTTGACATTTAAAATATTTTTCAAACACTAACATTCTCTTCACATTCATCTCTTTCAGTATCCTTTGGTCACCATTCAGGTAAGAGTCTTTGTTTTTAAAAGATGCTTATCTGTATTGTATTGTATTGTATTGTATTGTATTGTATTGTATTGTATTGTATTGTATTGTATTGTTGCACCCCAGTCTCTGAGCAGTGTGAGATTCCAGGGGCTCCAGGCATGCTTACCCAGGATTCATGTTTCCTTTTGGAAATGAGGCACAGTAGAGATTGTGGTGTCTTTATGATAGATGGCTTATTTACACATGTATACAAGGGGTTCACAGCTTCAACACCCCCAAAGGGTCTTGCTTCTCCCTTAGCCACAGCCTTGGATTCAAACAGAACTCAGACATTGCTCTCTGAACCTCTGCTCACTGCTTTGCATCATCACAGCAAACTCTGCTCAGAAACTCAGGCTTTGTTCTCCTATCTAAGAGGTGGAGAAAGGTGCCACTCATTTGTTGTCTAGCACAGAGCCTTCTTTTCTTTGTTCTCTTAATGGCCCATCACCCAGGTGATGGGTAGCTTATATTTAACACTTGCTGGATCCAGGAGATGGGTGAGTCTCAACCAGACTACTCAGACTCATAACTCTATTGTGCTTGAAACTGATTAAGTTTATGTGATTATTTGTAATATTCAGCTGTACCAGGGAATAAAGCAATTGGCAAACAACTTCTTTGAGGAAAAGGAAAAGTGCAGTTTGGCTGGGCTTAAGGCACAATCCACATCTATCTTTGTGTGAGAGGCAAAGGACTAGGATGAGGGTTTAGGAGGGGAAGAAGAGAAGGTACTTGGTGCCAGGGCTGGCTCCTGTGCAATGCCCCAGGCTAACATCCCCTGTCAGGGACTGGCTAGATAATGAGGAGTGGTGGGGGTACCAGCTGGGGAACCCCCAAGGGAAGCTGCAGAGGAGGAACACTCAGAGCCCTAGGATTGGTGGTGGGGCGCTGAGGTGGGTCAGAGGAAGAATGGAGGGAGGAATGGTTGAATGCTGAAGAAGAAACATGCTTTAGTGAGCAAGGAGAGCCTGTGACAGAGAGCAGCTCCAAGGACAAGCATGGCAATGCATAGGGCGGAACAGAGATGACAGGTGCCCCAATGTAATTTGAGGCTGCTTGGGAAACATCCGGCAGAGAAGAAGACCTGGAGCATGGGTAGGCAAATTAAGGCCTGGAGGATCTGGCCCAATTGCCTTCTAAATCTGGCCTGCGGACGGTCTGGGAATCAGCGTATTTTTACATGAGTGGAATGTGTGCTTTTATTTAAAATGCATCTCTGGGTTATTTGTGGGGCATAGGAATTCGTTCATTATTTTTCCCCCCAAAATATAGTCCAGCCCCCCACAAAGCCTGAAGGACAGTGGACCAGCCCCCTGCTGAAAATGTTTGCTGACCCCTGACCTAGAGGAAGTAGAGGGCAGGGACAGTCAGTCCTGTCAACTGTTGGCTTCCTCAAAAGCATTTTTTTGGCTCTATGTTGATAAGTGGCCTTCGGATTTGGGCTTGTGTTGACTGCTACCTGCTGACTGCTAATCTAGTTTCTCCTGAAACTAAGCAACCTGAGTTGAATCTTTGGCTTCTTGCCTTAGTGTGCCTTTATTCTGCTCTTCTAGGATCCCCAGAGGAACCAGATATTCCAGTGGAGAAACGTAACGTCTGAGATCTCTATTGTTCAGCTCTCATTCCCAATAATTTTGGAGCCAATACTGGGAGACTATGAAATCATCGTGCAGAGTCAATCGGGAGCTAAGAACTCCCATATATTCTCTGTCAAGGAATATGGTAAACATATGTACCTGTTATTTTCTAAGGTTCAGAAAACAATTAGGACTTGCTGGAAGGTGAAGGTCTTTAATTTTCTGGCCTGGTATAAAAATGTAGCAACTTGGATTTTCAGAAAAGTCACATACAACACACAAAATGTTCAAAGGCAAACACATACTTATCAAAGCTGGAGTTGTATGTATTTGCTGGTAAACAAACCTATTAAATAAACCTGACATTTTAGTAAACCACCTAAAATGCAATTATGAAATGAAATGGTAAAACAAATCGTTCAGTGAGAGTCAACCATTTGTTTACGATGCCGTTTCCTTATAATAGTATCACCATTCTCTTAGACGATTCTCAGGGCAAATGACATAAATTACCTTTAGAAGGTTTTCCCATTTTAAAGCAGTATAAAATATATTTTAAATAATAATTCTCAGTGCTGATAATCATCTGGGAAGTGTGAGGATGGTCTGTCTCAGAAGGTGGGTCAGTTGAGGAAAAGGCTGACCAGACAAGCCTCAAACTTTGCCTCACACACATGCCAAATCACTGGTGGAGCATATACCTGTACGAACAGTACCCTGGGGTGTGCGCGCGCATGAGGAACAGCACATGGAGGGAGCCTGCCGCAGCTCACCTTGCAAGGGGGGCACATTCATGAGCCACAGTGCAGCCGAAGAGGGGGGGCGGGGAAGCAGCCATCGACTCTCCTCCTCTCTGCCCCCAGGTCTGACCTGACCCAGGCGTGAAGCTGCAGCGTTGGACCATCCTGAGAGGAAATTGTCTCTGCATCTCTATTACGTGCCGTAGCAAAGCTCCAATGAGAGAGCCTGTCATGGGGGTGCCTAGTCGTGCCCCCTCAAAAAAATGTGCCCAGGGCCATGGCCCCCTCACGCCCCCCCCCCATGCTACACCAATGTGCCAAAGTGTTCAAAATCGCAAACTGTTTCTCTGGAATATATGTTTGACTGTGTCTTTTTCACTCTTCAGTATTACCACTGTATGACATCACTATCAGTGCACCGAAAACAGTCTCTGTGGAGAATCCAGATTTCGTTGTGAAGGTGTGCGGCTCGTAAGTATTGGGCCCAATGGCTGAAGTAGACGTTTTTAGTGGTGGAGGCTGATCTACTGGGGCTAAGGCACAACACTACCTTTGAAAATGCCAGGCAATTATTAAAAATTCCCTACTTACAGTCTCAAAGCCATGTACTCTTTCCTGTCCCACACGTAGTTCCCTCCATTCACTCATTAAAAGCTGCAGCAACTGTGGGGTGGAGTCAGGTAAGTAAACTAAGTCTGAGCCACATGCAAATCCAGAGCATTTTTTTCAGAAGGTATCGATGGCTCTGCTTCCAACAGACCCCTTTCCTAGCTTGAGTTCAGAATAACTTGAATGGAGAGGGGTGAAAGAAAATGCTGTTAGTATTATTTATAGCTTGCTTTTTTTGTGAGTTTTGAAAACGAAAAGCTTGGTCTCTGTACCTATCTGGATATGACTCCACATCTTTCCCCAAACCTGGGAGATCTTCTCCCAAAGCTCAGACATAGCAGCAGCTGAGAATGATTATTCACATTTTTAAGACTGAGATATGCATGGAAAATATGTTCTGCTATGCTCTGATGTACTCAAATGAAACATTTATTTATTTGCCTGTTGGTGGAATGCTTTGTTTGGAAAGGTTTTTAATGTTTGATGTTTTATTGTGTTTTTAATATTCTGTTGGAAGCCGCCCAGAGTGGGTGGCTTATAAATAATATATTATTATTAATATATATATATTGAAGGGGTATGTGCAAACTCAGTATCCCACCTTCTGCTTCCATTGTTTTCTCCATTTAGAGAAAAAGATGTTTTGGGTTAATTGAATAGTTAAATAAATTTTGTGGTGGAAGGAAAACACGTGCGACAGGAAGCCTTTCTCCTTTGCATTCTAAAAGTATTTGCGTTAATTTTTTTACTGATTGATGTGTAGGTATAAACAGTGCATGAATTCAAAAACTTATGTCATGGTATGGCTTAAGTTCTAAATATGCAGTTTGGAGTCAATCTTGTCTGAAAATCATACTTGCCCCCAACCCCTTGCATGGAAAGTCTTCCTGTGTCCATAGATGTGCAGAGAATAATTGATGCTTTTTCAGCGAGGAGGAGACAATGGTACTCTGCACATGAGTAATGGCACACTTTCATAAATAAATGATGCACAGGTCATATTGTGATGAAAACGGCACGGTTACAAATTGCAGCCCCACCAAGTCAAAATGTTAACAGCCACCACTTTAAGGAAGGTTATGTAAGGAATCAGCTGATGCCTAAAAAAATTATGTCAGCATGCAAAGGCAGCTGACATTTGCTGAGGCTGAATGCAAAACTCATCAGGTGCATTTGTCAGAGGAGACACATTTCAAATGCATCTGCGAATCTGTAGTCCTTTCTGTATTTCTAGCTCTTACGTCTAGGCCATCTATTCTCAAATACTGTATGCTTCTTTCCCTTCTAGGTATACGTATGGGCAGCCAGTTGAGGGGAAAGCTCAGCTCAGTGTGTGCAGAAATCTCAATTTTTATGGAACTTGCAAGAGGGACCCTATCTGTGAATCTGTTAATAAAGAAGTAAGATACATAGTTCCTTATCATTTTCTGTCCTTCTTCTCCCTCCAATGTCTTCTCCTGTTTTCCTTTCCCATTAGGCCTTTTTGCACAGTCAGAAAAATTTATTCCACAAATAATGATGCAGTCCAGTTTGCAATGAAGTCAAAAGTGCTGCATCGTCCAATCCTTTGAATTATACTCCGCAGACCTCAGCCCAGTGTAATATCCACAGTACTTATCCTGCCTTCATGTAATGGATAGGGATGGAGCTGTGTACAGACTTGCTGCCAGGAGACAGATCATAGAGAATCACAGAATTGTAGAGTTGGAAGGGACCACAAGGGTCATCTAGTCCAACCCCCTGCAGTGCAGGAATATGCATCTGTCCCATGCAGATATCAAGCCCGCAACCTTGGCATTATCAGCACCACACCAGTGGCGGAGGAACCCTCTCTGGCACCCAAGGTGGGATGCCGAGGGGCGGGGTGAACCGCCTGGTGGCGCACCCACGATGACCATACAAAGTGCGCATGTGCGGCATCTCGTACGGGGTGCCACTCAGGGGGGTGACAAGATGGCCCCTGCCTCCCCCCAGCTGTAGAGCGGCCGAGGGCGCACACAGTCAATATGAGCGCCACTTATGTGGCGTCTGTATGGGCTGCCGCACATGCACACTCCATATGGGCTGCCGTGCACACGCCTTCCATATGAGCATCTGTATGGGCTGCCATGCGAGCAGCATCCTGTACGGATTGCACATGTGCGGCATCCCATACAGACTGCGCATGTGTGACATCCTGTATGGAGTGCGCACATGTGGCATCCATACTGACTGTGCGTGCCCTTGGCCGCTCTACAGCTGGGGGGAGGCAGGGGCCATCTTGTCACACACCCCCAGAGTGGCACCTGGGTTGGACCGTCCCCTCCGCCCCCCACTTCGTATGCCCCTGCACCACATTAATCAGCTGAGCTAGCCTCCCCCCTTTTCCAGTCTGTCGGATGTCAGCTCTAACATTGCCTCTACAAATCTGAACAAAACAAAAATGGTTCATAAAACTGGGGGCATGCGGGGACATAAGAATAAGGAGCCATTGCTTGGTGCTCATTTTTGCTTTTCATTTATTGCTGCATTCTAGAATTAACTACAGCTCACCTCATTGGTCTACAGAGCCCCAAGAATTCTGAGTTCCTTCCTGTATGAATAAGTATCTGGGTCACAGCACAAAGCCAGGGCCATGGAAACCAGTAGACTGGGGATTTGTGGAGTGGGATCATTTTCCTACTGTATTCTTCCTTGTGGAGTAATGGTGTGATAAGTCACCAAGTTCAGTCTGAAGCTTATTGGGTATAGGCTTCTTTGGTTATAGGCAGTATTGGGTATAGGCAGTAATTGGGTATAGGCAGTAATTGGTTATTGGGTATAGGCAGTATTGGTTAAAGCACTCTAATGGCCTGAAAGCTGTTATTGGCTGAGCTTCCCCAGAATCCCGGAGAGGAGATAAGGGCAGACAGTAGGATCAAGAGATGCTGTGACAGAACAATTAGGGACCTATGAGAATACATGTCTGAGATGTCAGGAGGCCAAAGGGCCAGACATGGGCATGAGGGTTGTGGGAAGGAGCAGCCCAGGGGAATCTCAGAAGGGAAAGAAATCTGGGAGAGAAAGCTGCAAAGATAAGGAAAGTTGGCTTGTATTGATTTAAAGACCTCTGAAACTTCTCTAATTTATTAATGGTGGGCTTCCAGAAGCAATTTCCAGCATACATTGGATACTACATGAAGAGGAAGATGCTTTTTTTAGGGCTGCCTTGGCTTGAGTAACTTAGGAGCAAAGGATAGGGCATGCAGTCAAATTTTCTCAATGAGCCAACTGAACATGGGCGAGAGAATTGAATCATGTCTGCAGGGCCTTTGAAGCTGTCCATGGGCACCTTTCAGATCTTCCATTGAAGGCATGGAAGCAGTTCTAGCAGGGCTATAGCTGTGTGAACAGGGCTATAGCCACTCCTGCCAAAATCTTCCAAATGGATATTGGATAATTTAAGCAAAAGCACACATGGGAAACAATACTTGGAGCTGGTCCACGGGAAATGGAGGGGCAACATGTTGCCTTCAAACTCAGCTCTCTTAGGGATGCTGCAAGGACTGGGCATGGCTCCATGAGATCAATAGCGAATATCAACCTAAGTAGGTGGGCACCCTGAATCATATTCAGACATCTGGCATGCATTAAAACACAGTGGCTTCTTGGAAGCTGTTTCTATTGTCATCAATGGCACTGGGCCAGATTTTTTGTTGTTGTTGTTGTTGTTGTTGTTGTTGTTTAGTTGTGTCCGACTCTTCATGACCCCCTGGACCAGAGCACGCCAGGCACCTCTGTCTTCCACTGCCTCCTGCAGTTTGGTCAAACTCATGCTGATAGCTTCGAGAACACTGTCCAACCATCTCGTCCTCTGTCGTCCCCTTCTCCTTGTGCCCTCAATCTGTCCCAACATCAGGGTCTTTTCCAGGGAGTCTTCTCTTCTCATGAGGTGGCCAAAGTATTGGAGCCTCTGCTTCAGGATCTGTCCTTCCAGTGAGCACTCAGGGCTGATTTCCTTCAGAATGGAGAGGTTTGATCTTCTGGCAGTCCATGGGACTCTCAAGAGTCTCCTCCCGCACCATAATTCAAAAGCATCAATTCTTCGGCGATCAGCCTTCTTTATGGTCCAGCTTTCACTTCCATACATCACTACTGGGAAAACCATAGCTTTTACTATACGGACCTTTGTTGGCAAGGTGATGTCTCTACTTTTTAAGATGCTGTCTAGGTTTGTCATTGCTTTTCTCCCCAGAAGCAGGCGTCTTTTAATTTCGTGGCTGCTGTCACCATCTGCAGTGATCATGGAGCCCAAGAAAGTAAAATCTCTCACTGCCTCCATTTCTTCCCCTTCTATTTGCCAGGAGGTGATGGGACCAGTGGCCATGATCTTCGTTTTTTTGATGTTGAGCTTCAGACCATACTTTGCGCTCTCCTCTTTCACCCTCAATAAAAGGTTATTTAATTCCTCCTCAGCAACACCAATTAATTTTAATCCTTACCCCTCCTCTTTTTCAGCTGGGCAAAGATGGCTGCCTTGCCCATGTATTCAGTTCCAAGACTTTTGAGCTTAATCGTTCAGGGTACTGGATGAACCTAGATGTGAAAGCCATCGTCACTGAGAAAGGAACAGGTAACCCCTTCCACGTAATCAGAAAGAGACTGCTGGGAAGATAAATAAACAGCAGGCATGAAACTATTTTGCATAGTTTATTTCATATTAGTAAGCTAATTATGTTTGTTCTTGGACTCTTGCACAGGGATACAGAGTGAACGTTCAGCCTACATTTCAGTTTCTCGGATACTGGGGACTGTGACATTTCAGAATATGGACCGGGACTATAAAAGGGGGATCCCCTATTGTGGTCAGGTAAAATGAGAAGCTGAGTATGACGCAGGCTAAATGCCTATATCTAGAGATAAGTGACTAAATTTCATCTCCTTTAGGAGTGAAACAGCGAAACTGAAGGAATGCCTTTCTAACTGAGAAACAAAACCGCATTTGTCACTGAAATTTCAGCTGAAGGGAAGTTTTAAGTAAATGCAGGGTGGGACATAAAAAGATCTGCACAGGGGAAATATCTAATAAAGTCTGAGGAAAGCCAGTTGTACTAGTAACAAACATTACGACTGTTCTACAGATCCCCAGGTTGTCCCTAGATTTCATGAAATCTGAAGTGAATCTGAGAGCTTCTTTTTACTATGAATTTTTTGTTTTCCAAAATAATAAAACTATTGAAAACAACTTCTGCGTACAAGTCTAGTTATGCAATACAATATCTACAAAAAATTAAATTGAATATGTAGTGTCATTTCAAGCATATTCTTAAGACATAATCCACAGACAAATTTGAGAAGTTGGTAGGAGGCAGTTGTTATCTTCTTCCCTTACATATGAAAAGAAAGGAGACCAGAATTCAACTGAGGTAGTTTTACTACCCTTCTAAGCCTTGTTAGTCACTCTGTGATAGCCACATCCTGAATGTTGTTGAACCTCAAGGGGTAGCTCAGCCTGAGATTTCCAAAAACATGCTATCGCCAAATGTGTGGCCGCCAATAGGAAAAACCCCCCACAAATCTTTGTCAAATAGTGAGGCTAGAATCTATGCTTAACGAAAGCAGGGCTAAATATGGATTTGGCGAGAGAGGTTGTTTAACAATTATAAAAATAATATCAAAGACCCTGGTCCAGAACATATGAACAATTTTTACATTCCCACCAAGCATGGAAATAAGTTTCGAGATTCCCACATCCCCTTCAACAGAGAGGGAATAAGGATTTACTGTTTTTTCCTAAGCAAACCATGAAACTGAGAGCTATTGTAGAATACTAGGAGTATGAGCAGCAAGCTGGAAAATCTCCAGTTCAAGTCCCATCTCAGTATGTGGAGCACTCTGAAAACTTGAAATTTACTCTGTAATTATCAACATTAACCTGAAGGTTCTTCCTCGTGTGAAACCCATGAGAAATGTTGGGGGAACCAAAATAAACAGTGCAGTCCTAATTCCCTGATCTTTGCTGCTTGATGGGTGGGTGGGTAGGCAGTGAAATGTCCGCTTCTATAGAGACCCCTGCTGCTCCTTCCAAAATATTGTGTTTGGAGGCAGGCTGCCATTGGCTTTGGATCCACTGGATCCAAAGTCCCTCTGATTTCTCAAGGGGTCCAATTTTAAATGCCCCCCGACTTCTGCAAGGTGACAGGCCTTCAGATGTGGTGGTCGCTTCGCACCGCTGCTCCTTAGCTAGGGTTCAGGATCGCTCTGCAAGATAAAGCCTTGGGTTTGGAGAGCATTGCTGAGTCAGAGATGAGCCACTGATGCCTCTGGGGTTTTCCTTCTCCTTCAGATAAAACTGGTTGATGTTGATGACTCTCCCCTTGGAAATGAGATTGTCCAACTACATGTCAACAACAAAAATGTGGGCAACTACAGCACCGATGGAAACGGCACCGCTGAGTTTTGTATTGATACCTCAACGTTCTTTAGCTCAGATATCTCTCTCAGAGTAAGTGACCGACAGAAGCCAGGGCTATTGCACACTTCTCCAAACACCTCTTCCCCTTTCTCTTTTCTTAAAGGTGCCAGTGCTGTATTGCACATGTTTACATGTAATAGGTGGATGTGGGTGGTTCTGTGGGTTAAACCAGAGAGCCTAGGGCTTGCCGATCAGAAGGTCGGCAGTTCAAATCCCTGCGACGGGGTGAGCTCCCGTTGCTCGGTCCCTCTCCTGCCAACCTAGCAGTTCAAAAGCACGTCAAAGTGCAAGTAGATAAATAGGTACCGCTCCAGCGGGAAGGTAAAGGGCGTTTCCGTGCGCTGTTCTGGTTCGCCAGAAACGGCTTAGTCATGCTGGCCACATGACTCGGAAGCTGTACGCCGGCTCCCTTGGCCAATAAAGCGGGATGAGCGCCGCAACCTCAGAGTCGGTCATGACTGGACTTAATGGTCAGGGGTCCCTCTACCTTTACCTTTACATGTAATAGGTAGCTAGTACCCAAGTCCAGGACTAGGGAACTGTCCCCTTTAAGTAACTACTGTATTTTTCCGTGTATAAGACGCCCCCATGTATAAGACGACCCCTATTTTTTTTTTACCCAAAATTAAGAAATCAAATTGTGTAGCTTTTACGGGGGGTGGGGGAGGTCACTTCCGCCAATCGCTTACCCGCCTGCCCACCACTGCCGATCGCTTGCCACAGCCACTGCCGATCGCACACCTCACCGCAACCACCAATTGTCTGCCCGCTAGCTGCCACCAACAGCCCACTTGCCGCAGCCACAGCCAATCGCCAGCAGGCCTTGCAGCAGCCCCCAATCACCCGCCCAATCACCGCTGCCAATCTCCTGCTTGCTGCTGCATTAATCTCACATCCCCCCTCTGCATTCACTATCTGTGTATAAGACGACACCCAATTTTTGCCTAATTTTTTTTACACAGAAAAACACGGTATCTCCAATAATAGTTGGGGGTACTCCTGGATCCTTTGCTGTCGCTTGAGGCTCAGGTGGCCTCAGTAGCCTCCAAGTGCCTTCCATCAGCTTTGGCTGGTGGTCCAGCTACGCCCCTATCTGGACAGGGATAGCCTAACTACTGTTGTCTATGCTCTGGCAACCTCTAGGTTAGATAACTGCAATGCGTTATATGTAGGGCTGCCTCTGAAGACAATTTGGAAACTTCAGCTAGTGCACAATTCAGCAGCCAGATTGCTCACCGGAGCAAGACGGTTTGAGCATATTACACCGATCCTGGTCCAACTGCACTGGCTACCAATTCGTTTCCAGGTCCAATTCCAAGTGCTGGTTTTTGACCTATAAAGCCTTAAATGGCTCAGGACTGCAATACCTCAAGGACCACCTCTTTCCATATGAACCTACCTGGACCCTGAGATTATTTTCTGAGGCCCTCCTTTGTGTTCCCTCTCCTTGAGAGGTCCGGAGGGTGGCAACACAAGAACGGGGCCTTCTCTGCAGTGGCTCCCCACCTATGGAATGCTCTCCCCAGGGAAGTTTGCCTGGCGCTTTCATTATACACCTTTAGGCGCCAGGCAAAAACATTCCTTTTTAAACAGGCCTTTGATTGATCTGCCCTTTTAAAATGTGGGGGTTTTTTGGGCGGGGGGCCTACTGGGTTGTTGTTTTTGTGGGTTTATATCTTGATTTTATTCTGTGAACCGCCCTGGGACCCCCGGCTCTAGGGCAGTATCTAAATTCAATTAAAAAACAAAAAAATAACAAATCAGTCACTAAAGCTGTGTGTCCCTATTTGCAGCTTGTAATCTGAAGGCTTCCAATGACCCTGACTTGTCCAATTTCCCATAGAGAAATAATGTGATGAGCTGATTTCTACATCTTCCTCCTCTCTGCCCTCCCTTCCCCGTTGCCTACAGCTAATATATAAACCCAATGAAAATTGCAACAGTGATGGCTGGTTATTACCCTACTATCCAGAGGCCTATCATTCCGTCCAGCGCTTCTACTCCAGAACAGATAGTTTTGTGAAGATACACCAAGTGCCAGGAGAGTTGCCGTGCGACCAGGTCAGCAGAATCAAAGTCTCCTACAGCCTGACTATAAAAGGACAGAACACTGCAACCTTCTATTTCTTTGTAAGTATCAAAGAGCTGCTCGGTTTTCTTTATTTGACATGGAAGTATTTATTGGGGGTGGGAGGTCATACGCCTGCAAAAAAAGAAAGAAGATCAAACAAACAGAAGGCCCCACCAAAATGCAAAAGGAGGTCTTTGACCCTCAAACAGATTTCGAGAAGGAATTTTTATTAAGCTACCCGACTTGTTTCAATGAAATCTTTTTCAGGAATGATTATTGTAAATGATATTTATTAAAGTTTCAATAAAAGATTAAACATAAAACATAAAAAAGAAATACACAATTCAAAGTATACAATACATAATCTAAAAGAAAAAGAAAAAATAAAGAAACAAGAAAACAAAAGACAAAAAAGAGAATAGAACAATTAAAAACAGTATCATCTTTTCGTCTCCATTTTTAAATTTACTTATTTTCTGGACCTCCTCGTACCTCCCTCCTTTGTATTCCAGTTCAAACTGTTTGTCCAGCAATTTCTTTCCCTCTTTTTTTAATCCCAATCTTAACTCTTAATATAATATAACATTAAAATTTTACCTTTTAAAAACCAAATTTCCATTTCCTTAAACTTTTTTAATCCTAATCCTTAATCTTAATCTATCCATAATTTTAAATCCTAAACAGCTGGAAGCCGCTTATTTTTAATCCAACATCACTCTAACATTCTTTAATTTTGCAATGTTTCTGCAGATAGTCTTTGAATTTCTTCCAATCTTCCTCCACCGACTCTTCTCCCTGGTCACGGATTCTGCCAGTCATTTCCGCCAGTTCCATATAGTAAACTGTTCTGTGGCAAAAATGTGTTCCCAAAGCATTTGAGCCAATGCAGAGCCAGCGGCAGAGCAAGCCGATCAGGCACCTGGGGCAGCACGCATGTCCTGTGCCCAGGGGCGGGGCCAGGTGCCCAGGGGGTGGGGCGAGCCAGGGCAGGATGTTCCGCTGGGCCTCTGAGGAATCTGCCTGCCTCCTCCCACTCAGCCACCCTACAGCTGAGGGGGAGGCGGCGGGCGGACCTTTTGGGGCAGCGTAGAGCCTGCAGGCACCCAAGCCACCACGTCACTCCCAGCTGGGTTCAGCTGTGGCAAAGCCGGATGAGTAGATTGCTCCCATTCTGTATCATTGGTTTTTCTCTGCACTCTCCCTGAATTCTGATTTAACTAGGAGATGATCGTGCATGGTTAACATTTCCTTTTTTATATAAAAAGACATTTTAAAAACTAGGAAAACGGTGAAATTCGTTCTGAATGCAGGTTTACTGCTACATGCTCCAAAGCTGGAATGAATTTGAAGTTTTCCTAATTTTTCTCATATCTCTTGATATAAATCAGTTTATATATCCCCCACCCCCTAGCCAGGTTACAGATATGCACTGATAAAACACTGAGTGTGCTGAGCTCAAAACAATTGATTCCCTTGCTCAAAAGGATAAGAACCACTGCCACTATGGGCCATAGTTACTGAGTGACATGAGGACAGGTGGCAACTTTTGCACGGTAAACATTGCAGGATTGTGTGTGTACACGATCATTAATATATTTTGTACAAGGTGAATAAGGATTCACTGAACAGGAGAGAGAAAAATTAGTTTTGATACATTTCAAAATATCAAAGGGCTTCCAAACTTGTATTCATAATTGAGATTCTGCTGTGAGGTGATTTTTTTGAACCATACTTCTCCCATGCCCTTGAGTTACACTGCCTATTGCTTATTTCCCTCTTGGTGTGCACAGGTACTGGTGAAGAACAAAATTATAAGCTCAGGCAGAAAAGTTGTCACCCTCAGTCGTGGTAAGTAGTGCTGTGCCAAAATGTAGTGGTGTTTGGTTTTCCTCATGAAAACTGCCATTTTGAAGGGTATGAAAGGGTCTGTAAACCCCCTCCTACTGTTGTGTGTGTTTTCTTGAACCTGTTCACAGCTATTGTTGCCCCTCATTCTGCTCTTAGCTGTTGTTGGCAAGAATTCAGTTCCAATATGCCCAAAACGTTGAGAGCTTTTCTTCATTGGTTTCCAAATTGGACTACACTATAGGGCTGATCTTGGAAAAACTGTTCCTGGAGTGCAAACTCACTGCCTCGTTCCACAGTAAACCTTTAGTGGGGTACCCTCAGTGGGGTACCATATTGCCCCCACAACAGCAGTTTGTTTGTTTTCCCCTGCTTGGGAATAATCTGGGACCCTCCAGCCTTTGAAACCTCATCTGGCTGCTACTCCATCTCTCTTCCCCAAGGTGATTTGTTTTCTTGGAGGGAGGTACCATATTTTAGAGGCTCTGGGTCAGGGCCATCCCACCCATAGGGCGGACAGATAACTGCCTCAGGTGGTGGAGTCCCCCAGGGCACCGCACCCACTGGTGCCCAACGGAAATGGCAGTGGCTTCTAGCAAGATCTCATGAGACCTCACTAGAATCCACCGCCACGTGACCCTGGTAAGTGAGGCTTTCGTAGAGGGTGGCAGGGGGAAGGCAGCAAGGACAGCACATTCCCATTTTGCCTCAGGCGGAAAAACTGGATGAGCCACCGTAGCTCTGGGTATAGGAAGAATGTAGGTGAAATGTGCCTTGATTTTGCTTGCAAAATGTGCTCATGTGTCAAATTCTTGCCCCACCACATACATTCTTTTTTTAAAAGCCCCATTGGTTATTTATTATATTTGTATACCATGATCCTGAATGGTGATTGAGTCTGTTGAGCCAGTGTAATTTTTGTAAGTGTGCAAGCCTCTTTATCGTCTTCTCTCAAAGCCCTCTGCCAGGAGCCTTGTGTTTCAGGCTGATGACCCCAGCTTGTCTCTTATTGTTCTCCATGCAGATGATTTGGCAGCTTCCAAAGGCCACTTTTACATCTCACTTTCTGTCGATGCAAACATGGCTCCCGTTGCCACGCTGCTGGTCTATACTCTACATCCTGAGAGGGAGGTGGTTGCTGATACTGCCAGATTCGAGATAGAAAAGTGCTTCCACAATAAGGTAAGATAACGCAATGAGGTAAGAACTGCAAAACACTTCATATGCAGGTAAAGGTACCCCTGACTGTTAGGTCCAGTCGCAGACGACTCTGGGGTTGCGTGCTGACAATAATAATAATAATAATAATAATAATAATAATAATTTATTATTTGTACCCCGCCTATCTGGCTGGGTTTCCCCAGCCACTCTGAGCGGCTTCCACAAAGACCAAAAATACACTAAGATGTCACACATTAAAAACTTCCCTGAACAGGGCTGCCTTAAGATGTCTTCTGAATGTCAGGTAGTTGTTTATCTCTTTGACATCTGATGGGAGGGCGTTTCACAGGGCGGGCGCCACTACTGAGAAGGCCCTCTGTCTGGTTCCCTGTAGCTTTGCTTCTTGCAATGAGGGAACCGCCAGAAGGCCCTCGGCGCTGGACCTCAGTGTCTGGGCAGAACGATGGGGGTGGAGACGCTCCTTCAGGTATACTGGACCGAGGCCGTTTAGGGCTTTAAAGGTCAACACCAACACTTTGAATTGTGCTCGGAAACGTACTGGGAGCCAACGTAGGTCTTTCAAGACCGGTGTTATGTGGAACATGGCAATTTGTTCTTAGGAAAGCTCCTTGAAAAGCTGGATGAGTTAAGCTTTAGTTTCTTTTTGGTCTTCTGGAATTTCAGAAGTTTGCTCATTGTATGGAAGTTGTATGGCTTACAGCAGAATGTGAGGACAAGTGTTTAGTGGTTGTCTAACAATCCCTCTCAGCATCAGCTTGCCTCCCTCCCTGATGATGTTTCATAGCCTGGGGACTAGCCATCAGTTCCAACAAGCATAAGACATGTTCAGCTAGAAGATGAAATAAATGTGCCCCACTCCATAATTCATTTTCCTATTCAGCTATACAGGAAGCCCCTACTGATAAGTGAAACAAACCCAGTGTAACACAATAGACCACAACAGGTGTGTCAATCTACATATGGTGGCTTTCTAAGAGTCTATGATGGAAAGAAGGCTTTATATTAAGGTCATCTAGAAATCAGTTGGCCTTCCCATGAAATTAACCCTTTAAATGTTTTATACTTGATTTCAGGTCAGCCTCCAGTTCTCCGTGAAAGAAGCTCTTCCAGCTTCAAATGTCAGCCTTGATGTCAAAGCTGCTGCCAACTCCCACTGTGCTCTGCGAGCTGTGGACCAGAGCGTTCTTCTCTTGAAGCCAGAGACAGAATTGTCAGCTGAAAGTGTAAGAGCAAAAGCCACCTGCCTGTTTCTGCCCACACCGAATCTTGCATGTTGAGTGTAATGATCTCAGGCAGGCAAGCAAGCCCCAATAAGAACTAATGAGTCTCCGGCAGTTTTATGCCACGTTTATTTACAATTTACATCCAGAGCATGGCTCTGAGCCTGCCGCTATTAGCTACGAGTTGGTCATTCTGAGTCTCTGCCCCTGTCACAGCACGAAGGGCGCCAAAGTCCAGTCCTTCCTCTTTTGTACTTCCGTTGCATTTTAACCCTTTCAGCTCTTCTGGTTCTACCTCCCGGTTGCCTAGCAACCGCCTCAATGTCATCTATCTCCTCCCCTCCCTCTGCCTGTGAGCTTTCCAAGTCTGGGAACTCTTGATGAAGGGGGGCTGAACTAACCCACTCCTGCTCTCTCTGTGGCTGCAATCCCTCGCTTCCAGTCAGACTCTTGCTCCCTTTGTACTGGCAATGCTTCGTCTCCAGAGTCAGACTCTTCCCAGGCGTTCGATTCAGCCACATCCCTGACACTGAGTGATGCAGTAAAGAATGCTGCCACCTTTCCAACCATGGCCAGAGGTGGATTTAGCGCAGCATGACCAGTTCCCCTGTGCTGGCCACCAAGTTGAAGGGAACGCTGTAGGGCACTGCAAGTATGACGCAGTGCACACACAGAGCAGAATATGAGAGGTGAGGGCACCAAATTTGGGGCTTGTACAGGGTGCCACTGAAATTTGAAAGACCAAACTCAGTCACGATAAATTCACCAGCTCTGGCGTTTCTAGACCTTTCTCACCACTTTGCTATTTTTCAGGCTTTTGGGCCCTAGTTGAGAGACATGTTTTGTCCTGCTCTGAGTATGAGCCTTTGCTTGCTCCCATCCTGCCACCCTAAGTGGTAACCAGGATGACAAAGGGTTGGCTGAGAGGTTGCAAGGGCAGCAGAGATGTTTATAACAGAAACCTCTGCTTTGTTGATGTGCCACTTCTGTAAGGGATACACTAAAAGTTAGGGTTGCCATATTCCCAAAAGTGAAAATCCCCCCCTGCCCCCAGAAAAATATGGCCAGGTTTTCCGGATAGGTTTTCCGGATATTTTGTTGACTCAGCAAAAATCCACTCAGCCGCCATTTTGGCAGCCCGAATCCTGGGCATATGGCAGCCCTACTAGAAGCCAAGATTGTACAGTATGGAATCTTCCAAGGCAAACACAAGTCCCACCCTGTGCAGGCTGAACATTTCAGTCATTTGTGACACAAAATTTCAGTGTCTGTGTCCAGAATTTCATTTTATTTTTAGCCCTGTTTATAACAGACTTCTGCACTGGTTTCTCCTTCTTAGGTCTACAGTCTCCTTAGCTATGATATGTTTGGTTACTACTTCAATGGGCTCAACCTAGAGGATGATCCCCAAGAGCCTTGCATTCCACCAGACAACATATTTCATGATGGCTTGTATTATGTTCCTGCTAGCTTCAACTATGGACCAGATATCTATGGAGAAATAAGAGTAAGACTTGCACATAGTTCTTTTGTGAGCAGTTAAGAGAAAAGAAATGTCTAACCATCTCCATTCTCAATAGTGTTTTGGAGGGGGGTGGTTTATTTAGTGATTCTCAGCCACATTCCACTGGTACATGACTAAAAACGTATGATTTGAATATTTCTAACTAGCTTTCAAAATGCAAAGCAGTCAATGAAATGGAGTTTGGAATATTAAAGGCTATACATTCCAAAGTGGGCAAAGTGTCAGGTGACTCAGAGGAGACCCATATGAGTCAATCAGCTGACTTATAGAGGAATCAAGTGGGGTAGAGCTGGAATGTGGTCGAGGAGGAGAACTGGTGTAAACTGTTTTGCAAATATGTTTATATTAGGCAAAAACGGCATATAAAATAAGGAAAAATTCTCACTAAGATGTTGATTAATTTTCATGAGAAATCTTTTTTCAAAAGTTGTAATCATGTAGAAATGTGGAGAATTTAAGATTAGAAATATGAGAAAGAGAGAGAATCTGAAATTGACAGATCCCTCTATCCCTAGGAAGAAATGATCTAAATAAAGAAATAATGGAGATGATAGTAATATTAAGAAAAAGAGGAATGTGTGCAAAATCTTGAGCTATTTATTATTATTTTCAAATTCAGGCTACGGGTGTAAAGTTTGTAACCAACTCCCGGCTTCGGCAACCAGTTATATGCTCCAGTGGCCGTGGTCCTTTTCGGCCTTTTGAGGAGTCATCTGAAAGTTTTGCCAGAACCACATCTGGCCCTATCTTTGCAGGTAATTTGGGTGGGGATGGTGCAAACCCGTAAAGTTAGATGGGGAATGAAGTGTAGCACTGCAGAACATCCTGGACTTTCCCTCAGCTTTTGCTACCATTCATCATGGTTTCCTTCTGGAATGCCTATTTGGGATGGGAGGGGGGGGGCTTACTATTCTGGGCTTACCTAGTGAGTAGGTTCCAGAAGGTAGCAATGGGGAACTGCTGTTCTGCCCTGTGCCAGAAGCCTGTTGCATCTCACAGGCTTTTTCACATCTGCATGAAGTTGCTAGGAGATGTCACCTGGAGTTTGGTGTCAACCATATGTAGATGGAGGTAGTGGAAGTTCTGAATCTGTATGTGGCAGCAGTTTTGGACTGGATGAAAGTGAACCAGCCAAAGTTTATTTCAGACAAGTTGCCTGGGGTTCTGGTAGTCCTGGATTATATGTTTAGCCTATCTGGGATAGTACTGCATTCCTCCTGGAGCAGCAAGCTTATCATTTGGGGAATGCTTTCTTGGATACAGACCTGAACCTGGATATCCAGGTGATTGTAGTCGCCAGCAGTGCCTGCCCATTGCTCAGTAATTTCAGCATCAAATGATGCATTGTGTGTGCATGAAGACCAACCTGCATGTTATCAAAAACACGGAGATACTGCTGGAAATGTTAGCCCTGTGTCATTCTCTCTTTGCGATGGCCTGGGACTAGGGCTTGGACTCGGAGCCAGAGGAGTCTCAGTCCGCACCGGATCCTTTGCCCCAGGTGGCATCTGAACCCAGTCTGGGGCCTGATTCTGAAGAGCCCCAGTCTGCAAAGGTTCCCCTGCAACAAGCACCATCTGGGCCGAGTCAGGGGCCTGAGCCTGTCCTGGCTCCAGATGCGGGGATTACCTCGTTGCCTTCAGCTGGGCAATCACTTACAGCTGCTCCACTACCAATTGGGTTAGGAGAGGCTGAGGCGGCCTCTGGGTTTAGTAACCCACCAACATCTCCCAAGCTGCAGAGACTGAGGTCTGAGAGACCTGAGTACTCGCAAGAGGAGTGCTTGCCTTTGGGCGAGACAGGGAGGTGAGTCACTGGGGGATCAGGACCGGCTGTTACCCTGACAGAGATAAAAGGCTGCTGGACCCCACCCCAGGTTGCAGGAGCAACGTTGCTGTTTGCCAGAACCTGCCTGTGATCCTGTGCCTAACCTTGCCTGGTTTCCTGCCTTGTGTCCTGCTTTGGCCCTGTCGGACTGACTCCTCACAGAACCCTTGGATTCGGGACTGGACCAGGACCGTGTTACTCGGGTTACCCCCGGGCCCAGCACACTCTTCTATTTCAGGAACTTACGCCTTCCCCATGTCATATCTGCCATTTTGCTGAGCATTTTCCAGCACTTGCTCCATATAACTGATGTCATTCCACAGGAAGGGTTAGGCTCCAGGTTGTTGGTTTCTGGGACCCAGGGGAGCTGGATAGTCATCGAAGTAAGCCAGAGCATGGTCCAAAACAGGCACAACTCCTTCTCAGACCAAGCAAGATTAATGTCTACAGATTTTTTTGCATAGGGGATAATGTAGCTGCTCCTGCGTCCTGCCACTTACCGCTGCAAATTCATAGAACTAAGAGTCCAGATATCCTTTCTTATTGTTTTAGAATCTGCGCCACCGCCACCGCCACCACCTCCTTCAGGAGACGTATCTCGAGATAGAGTTATTGAGACTGTTCGGAGGTTCTTCCCTGAAACTTGGATCTGGGAACTGTTTGGTATTGGGTGAGTTGACATTGGCTGTTATTGGCATTGGCCAAAGATTTTGCAAAGAACAATGAGTATCCAGAGTTGGCCAGCACCCAGTTTGTTCTACCTGGGAATGAGGGAGGATACTGTTTTACTTTGCATTTAAAGGTGAATATAGCTAATTCTCACTTTCTGAAGCAATATGCAAATCAAAACAAAGTCATCCTTCAGAATTTGCATGTCTCCAAATTTTGCAGTGAAGTTCTCCACCCAAGTATAAAAATGCATGTATCAGTAAATGTAACTTAGAAGAATGTGTAAGATTAGGGGAAATATGCTTTGCAAAAAATGATATATTTGGCAAGATTGCATACAAAGCTGCGTGTAAGAGAAATTTGCATCAAAATGCTGGTGGATTTTCATAAAGACTTTTTAAAAATAACAAAATGATGTAGGCATGTGGGGAACTGAATTTAAGATTGGGAAAATGGAAACCTGAGAGAAGCAAAATTGGCAGATTCAACCACCCCTGGTTCTACCCCAGGGGTGGTTAACTTGTGGCCCTCCAGATGTTTCTGGTCTACATTGGCTATGCTGAGTGAGGCTAATGGGAGTTGGGAGTCCAGCAACATCTAGTGGGCCACAGAATCCCTCTTCTTGATCCCTCCTCCTTGCATGTCATTCCTCTTTCAAGTTAAAAGGGTGGTTCTGAGGGTACATTGCCTGAGATCTACCAAAATCTTGGAAACAGCTCTAGCTGGGAATGACATTCCCTGGGTTCAGTGCCTATTCTGAGTCTTGCAAATAAGATTGCGTTATGCAAACCACAGAAGGCCTTTCACTGCTCTGTCTGGCAATTTCTGCACAGGTTTGATTCTGTTTATAGAATCCTAGAATTGTAGAGGTGGAAAAGACCCTGAGGGTCATCTAGTCCAACTCCCTGAAATGCAGGAATCTCAAGAAAATCATGCATGGCAGATGACCACCCAACACCTGCTTAAAAACCTTCAAGGAAGGAGAGTTTATCTCCCGTGGGAGTCTATTCCACTGTCAAACAGCTCTTACTGTCATAAAGTTCTTCTTGATATTTAGTCCGACTCTCCTTCCTTGTAACTTGAAGCCATAGGTTTGGGTCCTAGTCTCCAGAGCAGGAGAAAACAAGCTTGCTCCATCCTCCACGTTGACAGCCTCTTAGCTATTTGAAGATGGCTATCATATCTCCCCTCAGTCTCCTCTTTACCAGGCTAAACCTACGCAGTTCCCTCAATTCTCTTTGCTGCTCCCCACTAACAGAGTTTCTGTGCTGCCAACCAAATGATTTTTGCATCTGCTGTAACTCTGGACTTACCGTAGTCCTTGCAAGGTCATGTTTCTTCCCCCACCCCTTCTGCTATCCAAAAACAGGATATGTTTTTGAGGGTCCTGTCTTTCTCCAATTATCAGAAGCGGGTTAGCAAGAACAGTACAGTCATACCTCGGGTTACAGATGCTTCAGGTTGTGCGATTTGGGGTTGCACACTGCGCCGAACCTGGACGTACCGGACCAGGTTACTTCCAGATTTCAGTGCATGTGCAGGAGCGCTAAATCACGCTTTGCATATGCGCAGAAGCACCGGATCACAACCTGCACATGCGCAGACGTGGCGCTGCGGGTTGCGGACGTGCTTCCCACACGGATCACGTTCGCAACCCGAGCATCCACTGGACATATAGTGTCGCCTGCTGCAGTAGGCAGAGTGATTTTTTAAAAGTGATGTGGATTTCAACTTAACCCAACACCATAAGAACATGGTGAGGCTTTTCATCTCGGTAATGTGGATATAAATAGTCAAGCCTGTGTTTCCATATATACCTTTTTTGTTTTTCTCTCCTTATTAGTTCAGATGGACATGCAAAACTCACCTACACCGTCCCTGATACCATCACGGAGTGGAAAGCCAGTGCCTTCTGCTTGGAGAAGCAGGCTGGGTTTGGCATCTCAAGGCCTGCCACCCTGATTGCCTTCCAGACATTCTTTGTTCATATGACGCTGCCTTACTCCATAGTTAGAGGGGAAGATTTCCTCTGTAGAGTCACTGTCTTCAACTACCTGCAGGAATGCATTCAGGTTCATCCTCTCATTCCTTCTTTCCTCTCTTTCATGTCTAGAAAAGGCCCTTGCATATTGTTTTTGGGGGTTGGGGTGCAAACCATCCACATCAGTGAGATAAACAGGAAAAGGTTAGACTAAAGCACATTACACTTGCAAACACATAGATTCCTACTGAGTTTGTACCAGTTTAGATGTTGTGCCTTTTCTTAGGAATCCTGGGGACTGTAGTTAGTTAAGGTGCTGAGAGTTTCCTTTCAGAGATCTCCAACTCCCTTCTCACTACAATTCCTTGGGAAGTGAGACTGATGGCTAAACCAGTTGCACTCTGTCAGGGCTTTATTGGCCTATATAAACAATTTGTCTTTTTAATTAGCTGGCTTAATTTATAACACATTCCCATTTATTGTTTTTGCATTTGTATTTAAACAGTTAGATGCAGTTATGTGCAAAGGATATACTTAGAACATTTACAGTGCCTTCTGATGGCCTACATAATAAATGTTGAACTACATTGGTTCCTTGATCTGGCAGAGATATTGTTTACACTAGTGCTGTGCATCAGATTCAGATAAATCCTGAACCCAATTGGGCCAATTCAGGGCCCTTTGTGCCCTGTCTGGCTCAAGTTGAAGTAGCCACAAATAACCGAAGAATGGATTGAGTTGTCCCAAATCTGTAGATCACTACAGTTTCTCAGAAAGCCAGACAGACTGTCTCCAAACTGTTGCAATTATTAATTACAGCACCATATAAGGAAGGAGAAGGGGAGGAAGGGAACTGAAAGAGGGCTAGAATGATCTCACCCAACTTCACCAATGATGGTGTTTGGAGAGAGAAGCTAGATTTTGAGAGCTGCCAAGGTAGCCTAGAATGCTATCACCCAACCCAACACTTTCCAAGTACTGTCCCTTATAAAGTGTTTAGTGGAGTTGAGTGGCATTTATTAGGCTTGTGTTCATCCTCTATCCTTTCCCAATCCATCCCAGTACTGTCCTTATTTTATTTTAAGTTTGTCTCCAAATTTTGGCTCTAGTTTTTAGGTTAGTTTTCTGTTACTATAGATCCCTGCTATAGTAGAGGAGACTGAATGAAATACCTTTTTGTCTTGGTTTTCTCTGCCCTGTCTGAGGTTAAAGCATCCTCCCTTAGTCCTAGGAAGCCATGCTAACTCTGTTAATTAACTGTAGTTTCTCCCCTTATGGCAGGTCAATGTATCAATGGCCGAATCCCGGGATTTCCAAGCCCAACTTCTCTCACCTTTGAATGATAAAGGATGTGTGTGTGGCGGTGAGAGGAAAACATACATTTGGAATATTAGCGTTAAAAAACTTGGTGAGTGAGCTTCTTTCCTCCTCTCTGCTTTGTAAACTGGTAGTCTTGTCTGTTTTAAACTTGCATAAGAAATGCAGTTCACCAAATGTAAATGCAGAATGCCTGCACATCTGACCAACCAAGTCTTTTTTTCTATAACCATGCCCCTCCTGCAAGACAGTAAAATCAAGAGATTTTATCAAGCTTCTGGTGGGGTACATTCAGCTTGATGTTTGGGGATGGGTGACTATGTCCATTTTGTTTTCTCTCACTTTCTGATTTTTCCATTCTTAAATTTAGTTCTCTACTTCAGTTTGTTCATTTTTTCCCTAATAAATAAATCAAAAAGCCATCATGAAAATTCATCAGCATTTGGGGGTGATTTTTCTCCTACGGTACGCGCAGTGCTGGATTTATGTACAAGCTAAACAAGCTGTAGCTTGGGGCCCCACTCTCTTGGGGGCCCCAAAAAAATTTAAAGGAAAAACACTGGATGTACATTTCCAAAATAGAAGATAAAAAACATATAAAATAAAACCTACATACATTGTGTAGGCTCCTGTGATGTAAGTAATGGGCCCCGCCTGCTCCCTAAAATATCACTGATTTGCTCATTTCTACATATAGGGTGCCCACATTCTGCATGGACTGGTTGTGTGGCAACATGTGCAAATGGCTTTAGATACCTATTAGGTCCAGAAATTACTATATAGCATATATTCAACACACAAAAAACAGTGACAATTTGTTGTTGACAAAGGACAGCTGGACATATAAAGGGCCCCATTACCTTCAGTAGCTTAGGGCCTCATCAAACCTCAATCCAGCCCTGGGTGTGCATTTTTAGATGCAGGTTTGTGTAGTCCTCCCTCTGTCAGGGCACATTGGGAGTGTCTCACAGAGTTCTCTCTAGAAAACCTCCAGGAAAAATTCTGTGAGCTTCAACTCATATCCTGTCCCTATAAATTGTTGGCCTGGCTGCCCTTTGAATATCCCACTGTTTGCCTAATACGCACATATTCACGTGGCAACTTTTTCTAATAAAATGAATTTTTGTATGTTATTTTCACTAATTTATGCATCCATATGCATGCTTTACCCTAGTACTTGCATTTTTGTACACATTGCTTGTCTGGAGAACTGCATTGCAAAATTTGCGGAAGTGCAAATTTTGAAGGATGGCTGTGTGTCAGTTTGCATATTATTTCAGGAAATTATAATCAGGTATATAAACCTTTAAATACAAACTAAAACAATTTTCTCCCTCATCTGTAAACACAAGTTTGCAGGTCTATAATTGGCCTGTTTTCCAGTGTTGATCATCTCCCTAATTTTGTAGCTCCATAGAACTCAATAGTTTAATTCTATATTTGTTCATTTGCATGAACCACCAGCTCTGCATTCTATTAAGCTCAGATCCAGTTTCCCACTAGGAGTTTTTCAGTATCCTGACCCTTCTTGCTTTCAGAGTTATATCTGTAGAAGAAATCTGAGAAGCTGAAAATTTGCCCATGAAAGGTTTTATTTTGGGTTTTTGCTGCATCTTTTCCAGGAAGCATATCAAAAAGACAACCCGCCATGGGTAAATTACATGCAAGTTCCAAAGAGAAACTGGCACAATGAGAGCAAGATCCTTGTGTAGACAGAAGGCAAAAAAACCCTAAATTAATCGATTTTCTATTTGTAATCTTCTTTCTAAGGGCTCACCCAGACTTCCTTTTGCGTTGCGCTTTAAAGGTCCATATTCAAGTGGGTTTTGTTTTCTGGTTTTTGTCCCGATTCTTTCAGCAGGAAAATCCATGTTTTATCACTGAATTGGAGCAAATGGCAATCCACACACACACACACACTATTACTGCTTGCTTCGATTCAACAGTAAAATGCAGGTTTTCCCAGGGAAAGTGCCAGAACAAAAATAAAAATTAAAATGTTTGCTTTCAGGTGCTGTGACCTTGTCTGTTACTGCTGAAGCTCCAAAAAACAGCGGGGACTGTAGAAATGGAACATCTGGGGGCTTGGATGTGGGACGGAAGGACACCCTGATCAGAGAATTGCTAGTAGAGGTACAGTGAGAAGATCTGAGCTTCAAAAAATGTGCTTCCTTCTCAGCGGCTAATTAGCTAATTCAGTCAGGATCAAATGTGGAGCAATTCCCGTTTTTCTCTGTAAGGGTATCTCATACTTGCTACACACTGCGTTTTACACCCTGTGGACTGGACATTCGTTTCCTTCCACCACTTTCCCTTTCCTTCCACTACTGTGCAAACACAGTATAACATCCGAAGTACTTTGTGTTATTGTCATTTTGAAAATGTAAGTAGCTTTTATGAGCTGAAAGGCAGGAAAGAAAAAATTAAATGGTGATGATAATTTATTTATACCCCACCCATCTGGCTGGGTTTCCCCAGCCACTCTGGGTGGCTCCCAACAGAATATGATTATGATTATGATTATGATTAACAAAGCAATAAAACATTAAACATTAAAAACTTCCCTAAACAGGACTGCCTTCATATGTCTTCTAAAAGTCAGATAGTTGTTTATTTCCTTGACATCTGATGGGAGGGCATTCCACAGGGCGGTGCCACTACCGAGAAGGCCCTCTGCCTGGTTCCCTGTAACCTTACTTCTCACAGTAAGGGAACCACCAGAAGGCCCTTGGAGCTGGACCTCAGTGTCCAGGCTGAATGATGAGGCACTCTGCATTGTGAAATTCCAGTAGCAAAGCTGGGAGGCAGAGAAGAGCGGGGAGATATGAGAACTCAACAATTGTTTATATATGCAACAGTTTAAATGAATGGTGGAACTGCACAGTTTTAAGTTTTGACAACTTGCTGGGGGGTGGGGTCGGGATGTATATGTTTAACTTGCTCTTAGACAGTCTAGTTTGTTTTCGTGAATTACATTGTAATATCCAGCATCTACAAACAACAAAAATCTGATCGACGAGAAGCAAGGGAATTCAGAGAGTTAGATTCCAAAAGCCATAGTAAGCCTAGACAGATATAAGTCAGCATCATGTTACACTACAATATGATACTGCTTCTCAATGTGAGTGTCAGTGGTGATAGTTATCATTTATAAAGATCTAGGATTTCCCTGTTTTGCTATTTCTTTGTTTCATTCATTCTTCATTCATTCATTTGTATGTCCTCCTTCTGCCTCTTGTTCTCATAGCCTGAAGGCATTGAAAGAGAATTAACCCAGAGCAGCCTTATCTGTGCAAAAGGTAAGAGGGTTGCTCTCTTCTGGTGGGCTGCTATGACCATGGGATCTGGAGGAACCTGTCAAAAAGTAATGAAAGGTTCATGGGATCAGCTAATAGTACTGTACTGGGGGTGCTGCCTTTTTCCTGCTGCCTGCAAATAAAATAAAAATAAAGAATAGCCTTGCATCACTTCTGCTGCACATTTTCTATGCTCGGCTTATATGGGGAAAATGATTAAACCAGGGTTTAAGGGTTTATTTTTGAGCCCTGTCAAATCACTAGGATGTACCTAGTCAGAAGAGGAATGCTTCCAACATTCTCCTCAGCTGAATTTCTGTTGATTTTTGGCGTTCCAAATTACCTGGGGTTGTTTCTGAAGTGGAACTGGGCTCTTTTGTTCTAGTTTTCATATATATCTGAATGTTGTACAGAGCACAAAGACAGGCAGTTTGCCGCAGTTCTTTGTTCAGTTCATTTTGTCTTCTATTCCTCTACATACCTAGTGTGCAAAAAAATCACTTTTGTTACAGTATTTATGGCTAGTTGACTATTATTTTTGCATAGTGTTTTACGAATGTGCAGGAACATCGGTAAGAAAATATACCGAAAGCCTTGAATGGTAACATCAAGCCTGCTCGACTGTGAGTGGGTCGTCGTGAGATCTAGGGCTTCAGTTCTTATGTCCCGGTTATGGAATTCCTTGTCCAGAAAAAATATGCCTGGCCAATCTTTGTGCAATGGCCAGACAATTTTCTCTGGGCAAGATCTTTTGTGAATAGGATGGTGTGGCATTTGCCCTCCTAGGTGTGTGACATCATACTGGGTTCATAAGGAAAGGGTTAACTAAGTGTAAAATGACTAACCAATAGGAACCCAAGAGGAGGAGTTAGAGTTAGAGTTGTTAAGAAGTCAGTCTGGAGTTAGGGAAGAGACAGAGAAAGGAGAAGCCTGTAGGTTGGGCTAGTCTGATGTGGGAGAGTGAGAGAGTCTGTTAAGAGGAGTCAGTCAAACAGTTGAGATAATCAGTCAGAAGGTATTAGGAAGGTATAGGCCGGTAAAGAAACTAAAGTTAAGAAACTGACAAGAATATTATCTGAGAAACCATAAACTTGTTTAATTGGTTCAATTTTAACAACCGTCTGGACTCAGTGTGTACCCGAGAGTAACGGGTTGGTGGCAGTGGGGAAGCGAGCACAGTGATGGCACAGGGATCACTAGACCGTCAAACATCCGGGGACCCTGTGTGATCGCCACAGATGGCGTCAGGGCTGAGCGGCTGTCAGCTGTCAGAGATGAACCAGGAATGGCATCATGGTATCGCAGTGGAAGAACTGAGATAGGGGTCAGAGTCACGGAAGGAAGCCAGGAGAGCCCTTGGAGGCAGTGTTGCCAAGGGGCGCTTCGAAACCTGGAGACCTAGAAAAAAACCCTGCCTTGCATAGCAGTGACACTCAAAGCAAGCTTTTGAAATGTATATGTGAACAAACAGAAGAGGGCTCTCCCACATTTATAAATAGGCAGCAAGATCAATCTCTTGAAGCTGATTGCTGTGCACCTATTTATGCTTATTTTCTGCATGTAGCACTTGGTTTCTATACTCCTTTGCATTCAAATAAATAAACAAATAAATAAATAAATAAGAAAGAGAAAGAAGGAAGGAAGGAAGGAAAGAAGGAACGAAAGAAAGAGAAGGAAAGAGAAAGAAAGAAAGATAGATAGATAGAAAGAAAGAAAGATTGGTAAAATAAGCTACTGAACTATGCAGGACATATTAGTTAATTTGAAACCCAAGAAAGAAAGAGGACTCTGAAATGTCTAATGCATATCTGTTAAGCTTTGTGTACAGATTTTTACATTAGGAAAACTTTTATATGTCACTTGTAACATGATGAAGAAGGTTTAAAATTGAAACAGAAAGAGTATAAGGTTTTTTAAGAACGTGCATGAAAGGGCATTAAATAATGAAACTAAGAGGGGGAGGGGAGTCAATCAAAATTATGATTCAAAAATTTGTTGAAGATTTTTTCTTGTTATATTTGGAAATTTAATAAATTGTTATTTTAAAAATGTATTTAAATACATTTTAAGTTTAATATTTTAATTGCAGGTGCTGTTGTCTCTGAGCCAGTGTCTCTGAAACTCCCTGAAAATCTGGTGGAAGGATCAGCCAGAGCTTACTTCTCTTGCATAGGTCAGTTTGTAGGTTTCTTGAAAGGACAAGGTTGTCGTTCACTCTCACTCATTTGGGTAATGATCTTGGAGATGTTTTAGCTGGAATCTTATTTTGCTTCTTATGAATCAGGAGACATCTTGCATGTCAGAAAAGATTTGCTTGCAAAAATATGCACATATGTCATGCTGACAAAACAATATTTTTGACAGGAGACCTCATGGGCACAGCTATGCAGAACCTTCATCAACTTCTCCGGATGCCCTATGGCTGTGGGGAGCAGAACATGGCGCTCTTTGCACCCATCATTTACGTCATGGAGTATCTAAAGGCAACAGGACAACTGGATGAGGAGACCAAATCCAAGTCCATTGGATACTTAACCAGTGGTAGGAGGCTTGTGGGCATTCCATGGCTGTCGTGTTTGCCACAGTGTGAACAGAACACCAGACTAGATGGACCTTTCCTCTCATTCATTAGTGCTTTCCTTATATCCTTATGGCTAACACTTTCCTTGGCATTCATTTTGCCCTGGACTAAATGTGGCGTTGGATTGAACTGCAAGTACACAAACACACATGCTGCCCATCATCTTCTCTGAAAATGTCCACTGGAAAGGCCATTTTACTTTTGAAACACAACATGGATCTGCATTTGTGGATCCAACCTTTTAATTTAATTAAGAACACTTAAAGGTAAAGGTAAAAGGACCCCTGACCATTAAGTCCAGTCGCGAACGACTCTGGGGTTGCAGTGCTCATCTTGCTTTACTGGCCGAGGGAGCCAGCGTTTGTCCGCAGACAGTTTTTCTGGGTCATGTGGCCAGCATGACTAAGCCGCTTCTGGTGAACCAAGAGCAGCACATGGAAATGCCATTTACCTTCCCGCTAGAGCGATACCTATTTATCTACTTTCACTTTTATGTGCTTTCGAACTGCTAGGTTGGCAGGAGCAGGGACCGAACAATGGGAGCTCACCCCATCACAGGGATTCGAACTGCCGACCTTCTGATCGGCAAGCCCTCGGCTCTGTGATTTAGACCTCAGTGCCACCCATGTCCCAAAGAACACTTAAGGGTGTCCTAATCATATAGTCAAATTTTATGTTGAGCACTTTAGGGGGAAAATGCTGTTTCTTTCCTGCGACTGAGAGCTGGCTGCTCTGCTCCTCTCTTTGGGGTCACATTTTAATTCTCCCTCTCTCCCTCCCTCCCTCCCTCCATGTCCTTTGGAAGAAGCAGGAGGAGAAACTGAACATTGCTCCTGAATGACATTGGATGGGGTTGGAGTTTGAATGCAGTAAAAAAAGTAAAACGCTACATAGGGATATGTGAGCAGTTTTTCACTGGTATAGCAGCATAAAATGATTAAAAATCAAGCAATAAAAAGACAACGCAATAACACATTATGAATGTAAAAAGTAAGATGCCATATATCCATCTACATTATCAAAAACATTTTTAACTCTTCCTTAACGTTAAAAACCATGAGTGTAGGTTCGCCTTAGGTACATGTCCAGAGGCAAGATAGTACATCCTGGGTAGGGGCCTTCTTTGAGTTGCTCAGATGCACAGAATTTGTTTTCCATAATAATGCCATCAGTGCCAGAGTAGGCAATTAATCACCCCAGTTAAGGCTGTAATCCTTTTTTTTTTTAAATTAATATTTATTAAAGTTTCAGAAAAAATAAAATCACATTAATAAACAAGAAAAGTTTGAAAAGAAAAAAGAAAAATACAGAATAGAAAATAGAAAATACAAAATACAAAAAGATAAAAAGAAAAAAAAACAGTTAAAAACAATTCCGTCTTTTCATAACTTCTTTTACATTTACTTGTTTCCCGGACTTCCTCATACCTCCCTCTTTTGTATTCCAATTCCGGTTGTTAATCCAGCAATTTCTTTCCCTCCTTTTTAATCCCATCATTAATCTTAATATATTATGACATTAGATTTTTACCTACCGTATTTAAAACCAATTTTTCCATTCTTTTAACCTTTTTAATCCTAATCCTTAATCTTAATATATTTATAACTTTAAAACCTATACAGCTAGAAGCCACTTAACTTCAATCCAACATCACTCTAACATTCATTAATTTTGCAATGTTTCTGTAAATAATCTTTGAATTTCTTCCAATCTTCTTCCACCGACTCTTCTCCCTGGTCACGGATTCTGCCAGTCATTTCCGCCAATTCCATGTAGTCCATCATTTTCATCTGCCATTCCTCCAGTGTGGGTAGCTCTTGTGTCTTCCAATACTTTGCAATAAGTATTCTTGCTGCTGTTGTAGCATACATAAAGAAAGTTCTATCCTTTTTTAACACTGATTGGCCGACTATGCCCAGGAGAAAGGCCTCTGGTTTCTTCAAGAAGGTATATTTAAATACCTTTTTTTAGTTCATTATATATCATCTCCCAGAAAGCCTTAATCTTTGGGCACGTCCACCAAAGGTGAAAAAATGTACCTTCAGTTTCTTTGCATTTCCAACATTTATTATCAGGCAAATGGTAGATTTTTGCAAGCTTAACTGGGGTTATGTACCACCTGTATATCATTTTCATAATATTCTCTCTTAGGGCATTACATGCCGTAAACTTCATACCTGTGGTCCATAACTGTTCCCAGTCAGCAAACATAATGTTATGTCCAACATCTTGTGCCCATTTAATCATAGCAGATTTCACCGTTTCATCCTGAGTGTTCCATTTCAGCAGCAAGTTATACATTCTTGACAAATTCTTAGTTTTGGGTTCTAACAGTTAAGGCTGTAATCCTAGGGTAGGACTTCCTAGTGGAAGTCAGTACGAAGTCTCCCAGTAGTGCAACAGGGATCCTCACATCTTCTCCCCCTGTACACACCCCAAAATTGGCTTGGGGGTTCAGGAGAACCCCTAGACCAGTGTACAAGGGGAGGAGTGGGGGGAACCATTGCATCTGCCAAACTGAAAAGTTTGGACTGACAAAACAATTGCTATAAAGCCACATTGAATTCTTCCCCGGGACACATTTACTTGGGAGTAAGCCCTAGTCATGAACATGCTTTGGAAACATACATAGGATTGTGCTGTACTTTTAAACTGCTAAATTGCAAACACAAATATTGGGGGCTTTTAATGTTAAATTAATGTTTTGTTTTAAAAATGTGTGCTCAGTTTTTTAAAAAACTACAGACTTTTCCGCATTCTTTTTTTCAGGGTATCAGAGACAGCTGTCCTATAAGCACCCAGATGGATCCTACAGTGCCTTTGGAAGCAGGGACAAGGAAGGCAACACCTGGTGAGAGCTTGGAAAATGCAGTAGTGTGATTGGTCACAGTGAGTGGATGCCAGTTCTTCTCTGTTTACGTGGGATAACATTTCATGAAGTGAACTATAGTCCACAGAAAGGTTGCACTGTAGTGTCACTCTTCAAGGTGCCACAAGGCTCTTTCTTTTTCTCCTCTGGTCACTAACAATACACTAACAAAAACGTTTACCTTCCTGCCACAGCGGTACCTATTTATCTACTTGCACTGGGAGACTTTCAAACTGCTAGGTTGGCAGGAGCTGGGACAGAGCAATGGGAGCTCACCCCGTCACAGGGATTCAAACCGCCGACCTTCTGATCAGCAAGCCCAAGAGGCTCAGTGGTTTAGACCACAGCGCCACCCACTCCCACTGGGCTCAAGAGAGCTTGACCTGAGTTTGGCTGTGATTGCTAATATTCCATGGCATTCTTTTGCAGGCTCACTGGCTTCACGTACAAGTCTTTTGCAAGAGCTTCAAAGACCATTTTTATTGATCCAAATGTCCAAACTCAAAGCGTCATCTGGCTGTCCAGCAAGCAAAAATCAGACGGATGTTTCCAAAATGTTGGAAAACTCTTTAACAACGCATTGAAGGTGAAGGCTATGGGCTTGTTGGTTTGTTGCAAAGCTCTCCTTCTGGGGCGGTGATGCTTTTTTACTTCCTGGCAAATGCTTCCTCTCCCTGAGATTTCTGACCCTTAGCCATCTTAAGTACCTGTATTATTTGGATATAGGCTGGGAGAAGGAGAAAGAGAGAGAGCTGGGGAAACAAGAGACTTCTTGTTAGTATTATACATGACCTAGATTTAAGTGAGCCATGAAGTTTCCTGCCGTCACCTCTGAATCACAGCCTAAACCTCTCAGCCTGCTGTACATCACAGGACTATTATGAGGATAGAATGGGATAACTACTAGGTATGCCACCTTGAGACACTCGGATAAAAAGCGGGTGTTATGTACTGAAGTTTTCACCCTGGGCCAGCAGGGGGATACTGTAGATAGTTCAGGTCCACATATGCAAATAAGGGATCGAAAGTGATGTTCAGTGATTGGATAGTTACAGAAAATGGTTACTGTTGCGTTCTAGTGGTGCTCTATATAAGCAGGCTGGCTGAACCCTTCAGTTCAGTTCTGTTCTAGCCTGTGAATAAACAAGAGCTGTTTGAAGAATCGCTGTGTCGTCTGATATGTTCGCCCACAACTTAACAGCGGGGAACCAATGTGATTTTAATAACAAATGTAATGGGCCTTTCAACAGCAGGTAAATGCCTTCATGTTCCAAGAGGCTTTTGGGAACCTCACCAAACCTGCTATTTGCCTCCATGTTGTCCCCTTCCTTCCTTCTTCATTTTTCAAACTTGTTCTCTCTTTCTGTGTTGTGCATTTCAAGGGAGGAGTAGAAGATGAGCTTACGCTGTCGGCCTACATCACTGCAGCTCTCCTTGAGTCTGGATTTCTCAGCTCGGTATTTATTTTCTGGTGTTGTCCAGTTAATTTAGTTCAGGATTGAAGAAAGTGCATGTGATAGTAGACTGAGAAGAAATAGTTTAGGCATATAGAAATGGTGGAGAAAGGAAGCCATACATGGACTATTGTCCATGTTTCTGTTTTGAATGTCTAGATCGGATGCAGTGTGCCTGGAAGAACAGCATAGGATGTTTGCTTGATGTTTTTAACCTGTTTGATGTTTTTTGTGGCATCTGCAAACTCTTACAGAGCCTTTCTCTTCCTCCAACCCAGCATCCAGTGGTCCGAAATGCCCTGTATTGCTTGGAGGCCGGATTAGAAAAGGGAAATCTCACTGTCTATGACCAAGCACTTCTTGCTTACGCCTTCCGCCTAGCTGGTAATAAGCCCAAAGCGGATCTCTTATTGGATGAGCTGATTAAATCGGCTACGAAAGGAGGTGAGTCGCATTTCCCAAAATGTGGACACATTTGACAGAATGAATGACGTGTTGAAACAAGAATGAGCAGTCATGTGAGCAAAATTATATAATGCTTTGGACATTCAGGAGTGCCAACCAGGCTGAGGGCCTTCTCGGTAGTGGCGCCCACCCTGTGGAACGCCCTCCCGTCAGATGCCAAGGAAATAAACAACTACCTGACTTTTAGAAAGCATCTGAAGGCAGCCCTGTTTTTAATATTCTGTTGGGAGCTGCCCAGAGTGGCTGGGGAGGCTCGGCCAGATGGGCTGGATATAAGTAATAAATTTATTATTAGTATTATTAATATTTATTTATTTATTTATTTATTTATTTTCTTTGCACATAGGCTGGACCCTCCATTACACTCACCAAATAAGACCCAAATTTGCATAAAACCTGCATACACTTTGTCACATACAAATTTGTACCCTTTTTTTCAGGCAGGGGTAGAGCACACAAAAACGAATCAGGAGTCACAAATAATAAGCTGTCCAGCAAACAGAATATCAACAGGTGAAGCAATCCCCAGAATTGTAGTCCCATACTATGAAAGGCTTACTCAGTTGAATAACTGCCTGCCACATAGTTGATATAGGCATGAGAGCTCTGCTGACCTCTACTGCCAACCCCAAACCATGCAAAGAACTCAGGTTTCATGAGTTGTAACTTGTAAACGAGCCTATGCTACTGTAACTCTTTTATAGAGCTTTTAGGTAGACAATACTGCATTCGTTGAGTGACCAGAAGTGGCATTTCAGATGGATGGAGTCAAAAGTGTCTTAAGATTTACAGCAGTTCTGCTCACGTTTGGATAAATTCAAGATTTAAATAGTTAAAAAGCAAACAGTGTGTTCATTTGCTGGTGTTATTTATTAATACCTCATAACAGCTACAGCACACACACACCCATTTTTGAACAAAAGGGATTTGAGATCCCCACTCAGTCATGAAGCTCACTTGCTGTCAATGGATCAGGCACTGTCTCTTCGGCTAACTTGCCTCATGGGCTTCATTGGAAAGTAAAAGGGAAAGGGAAAGAACTGCTATCAGTAAATTGCAGCTAGGAAGGCAACATCATGCACAATACTGACTCTTTTCTTGAAATTAAAACAATGTCCAAATACTTGTTAAAATATTCAAAAGCTTTAACTTGCAGAAGATATAGCTAAAGAAGGATATATATACACCAATTCCAAGAACCTCCATAACCAGAGAGGGGGTTTATGGGGGCATTCACCCTTCCCTGAATATTGCTGCTATAGTTAATTTAACCAACCCCCGCCCCCCATTCCACTGTTGCATTTCCTTAAGGAAGAAAACAACACATCAAGAGATCATATAACAAGACTACTTCAGTTGCAAAGCACATAGTGAACATTTCTCTCCATTCCACGCTGTTAAAAACAGCAGCAACAAAAAGTTTGGGCCGCTCAATATATGTTTAAGATTAACTTGTGTAACTGTATATTGGGTGGGGGGGTGGAGAGAGAGAGAAAGAAGTGATGAGACTAGAAACCGAAGCTGAATAAAGTCCGGTGGTCTCTGTACAGGGGCTTAATGAGGCAGATCTCTGCTTCTGTGATATTTCCCCTCTGGATCTGGAGGAAGAGTATCAGATTCCTGCAAGGAAATATTGGTTTGACCTGCCTCTGGACTGTTTCCTTAGCCTCTCTTTCAATTGTTAGGTGGCTCACTATATTGGGAGCGTGAGGATAAGCCACCTGCAGAAGAGTCTCCTTCCTTCTACCCTCGTGCCTCATCGTTTGAGGTCGAGATAGCTGCTTATGTGCTCCTTGCAATGCTCTCCGGAACCACACCGACTCCAGCACAACTGACAACAGCTTCGCAGATTGTCCTTTGGCTTACCAAGCAGCAGAATCCTTATGGAGGCTTCAGCAGCACCCAGGTATAGTAACTCCTGTGCTCTGTCCTCCATCACATGGGCTACAGTCAGGGCTCTGCATACTTGGCAATAAAATCATTCATATATATATATGAATAACTCAGAGGAGTTATGAGCTATGCCATGCAGGGCCATCCAAGATGGACAGGTCATAGTGGAGAGTTTTGACTAAATGTGATCCACCTGGAGCAGGAACTGGCAAGCCACTCCAGTATCCCTGCCAAGAAAACTCCATGGACAAAGACAACAACAAATATTTATATATATTTGTTGTTGTTGTTGTTTAGCCATGTCCGACTCTTCATGACCCCATGGACCAGAGCATGCCAGGCACTCCTCCTGCAGTTTGGTCAGACTCATGTTCATAGCTTCGAGAACATTGTCCAACCATCTTGTCCTCTGTCATCCCCTTCTCCTTGTGCCCTCAATCTTTTCCAACATCAGGGTCTTTTCCAGGGAGTCTTCTCTTCTCATGAAGTGGCCAAAGTATTGGAGCCTCAGGTTCAGGATCTGTCCTTCCAGTGAGCACTCAGGGCTGATTTCCTTCAGAATGGATAGGTTTGATCTTCTTGCAGTCCATGGGACTCTCAAGAGTCTCCTCCAGCACCATAATTCAAAATCATCAATACTTTTTCTTAAATATAAATTACACTTCAAAATATTCATTTCGACAACCTTAAATCAATGACTTCCCTTCTCCTCTTTCCGTGGTTCATTTTGCATACCATCCATTCCTGCATATTTTACCTGAACTTACTAAACCATTCAGTAATCCAATGTTACATGCATCAAATCTTATTTACACGGTTAAATTTATCTTAATGCTACCAGCGTTTTCAAATGAACACAATTTTCACCCATATACGCAGTAAACATTTTTCCAGTCTTCTTTAAACGTGCCTTCTTCTTGTTCTCTTATTCTATATGTTAAATCTGCAAGCTGCGCATATTCCATCAGTTTAAGTTGCCATTCTTCTTTGGTTGGGACCAGGGGTGTAGGAAGGGGGGGGCGGTGGGTGTGGTCCACCTCGGGTATCATCTCTGAGGGGTGTGTGTGACCAAATCCCCCTTGGGCAGGGATCTCCTCGCTGATCGCCCCCCTGGGTGCCCGAGCGGCTAGCTACGCTGCTGGTTGGGACCTTGCTCGTTTTCCATTTTTGGGCTAACCAAACATGGGCCGCCGTAGTAGCATACATAAATTGTCTTTTTTGACACCTGGGAATTTCCCTCTGAAGTATCCGCAACAAAAAGGACTCTGTTGTTGTTGTTGTTGTTTTTACAGTACTTCTAAACATTTTTTTCAGTTCATTATATATCATTTCCCAATACTCTTTTACCTTTCTAAGTCCACCACACATGATAAAACGTACATACTCGGCAGTAAAATCGACCAAATCAAGAGGGTGGGTAAGGGAAATGAAAGTCTGTGTGGTGTAACAGCAGGGAGTGAAGAGGGCTGGGTTCTAAATCCTGCTGGGCCATGAAGCTCACTGCGTGTTGTTGGGTGCCCTCGGTTGCATCCACCTAAATCACTGTGTGTGGAAAATGTCTTCTGTGAGCATAACTTCTGCTCTTTTCCCAATCCACCCCCTAATGCTGATCTGGGGGATCCCCCAGCCCTCTGGAGCAGATTGGGGAAGGAGAGGGAAAGGGTGTTCCATTGTATTCCTGTGTGCAATGATTCACAACCCTCTCAGCCTCACTGATCTAAGAAAACGTTGTAAAGAGAAAATAAAATATTAATAAAATAATAAAATATTGCTTTATTATAAGTTATTTAAGGTTTTTTTATTATAACTTTTTGTGTATTGGATCGAATTGTTATAAAATGTGTGCTTCATGTTGTATATTTGTTGCTTCTTCAGCTTGTAAACTGCCTTCTGTATACCCATTGCTTTTTTTCTTGGGGTACACACTAAACATTTTGTGAATCTTTGTACTTTTGTCCTTTTACTGTATTTATTTCCCCTGATTTGAACTATAAAATGCTGATTTTCTTAAGTCAAAATGGGAGTACCCCAAAAACATTTTAAAGAAAAAAAGCACTGTGTATACCAATACTTAAAGGCAGTATACAAATTAAAAGTGAAATGAAAAGAAAAATTAAAATAGGATACCTCCCATTTATGCTCCTCTGAGTACCTTGAGGGAAAGGGAGGGTGCAAATATGGGGAATAAAAACAAATTATTCACCAGGAGAAGCTTTTTGAGATTATGCAAATTTGTATTTTAAAATGGATGTAAGAGTTGTTTGTATTGTCTTCTTTAACTGGGGAAATTGCTCCTGGCTTCAGGGAGACAAGGGTCTTCCATATCACCTGCTACATGAGATCATTTTAAACAGGTGGTTCTGGGGAACAAGTATGAAAACTTCTGTGTGCTGGTTTGTTGTTTTTGTTTTAGTGAGCATAGGTCATTCTTCAGTTTTTGCTATTTAAATCACTAACTAGCTTAAATAGAATACTGAAGGACCTCAGAAAAAATGCACATTAAGTTTGTGAAATTAAGGCCTCCACCTTGGAAGAGGAGGAAACTGGGAAATGGTGCAAAGACGCAATTTTCCATGGAACAATGCTGTTTTATTGCATACATGTAAAAGGTAAAGGTAAAGGTACCCCTGCCCGTACGGGCCAGTCTTGCCAGACTCTAGGGTTGTGCGCCCATCTCACTCAAGAGGCCGGGAGCCAGCGCTGTCCGCAGACACTTCCGGGTCACGAGGCCAGCGTGACAAAGCTGCATCTGGCGAGCCAGCGCAGCACACAGAAACGCCGTTTACCTTCCCACCAGTAAGCGGTCCCTATTTATCTACTTGCACCCAGGGGTGCTTTCGAACTGCTAGGTTGGCAGGCGCTGGGACTGAGCAACGGGAGCGCACCCCGCCACGGGGATTCGAACCGCCGACCTTTCGATCGGCAAGCCCTAGGCGCTGAGGCTTTTACCCACAGTGCCACCCGCGTCCCATTGCATACATGAGTGGAAAACAAAACAAGAGTCTACGGGATTTTTTTGTTGATCCTAGACCGGATACAGTAATATCCTTTTTTTGTTGTTGTTTTGTTTATGCATCCATAATCAGGAAAAGAAGAAAGAGATATGTAGATTGCTTTTTGTATTGTGCTGTATCCTGGGGTGGAGGGAGGGCATGCTTTTAGTTGCCAGTGTTGAAAATTTCAATTTAAAGATATTAAAAGATAATAAAGGAACCACTCTGGCCTGTAAGAGAAATTTATAAACCTTTCCTACATAGCATTTGAACAAAGCTTTAAGCATCCTTTCGTTGCCACTATTCTCTTGCAGGACACGGTAGTGGCTATACAAGCTTTGGCTCTGTTCAGCCAATATACTTTCTCTAAGGATGGCCGGAACTCAGTCAGGATCCATTCCAACAAGCCTTTTGAGAGAGTCTTTGAAGTGAACAATGACAATCGCCTATTGCTGCAGCGGACTTCCCTGCCTGACATTCCAGGGGAGTATACGGTGGAAGTGAATGGCACTGGGTGTGTCTTTACACAGGTAATTGTTGATACACCTTCAGGGCTGTCTTAAGCATATGCAGTGCATATGCAGTGCCGGGGTGCAAAGATCCGCCCGGCGTCCCCGTCCCCCCCCCCCCAGGTTGCCCAGTCCCAGGTGCACAGGAGGACGGAGCCAGCCGGCTGCCTCAGCGTCTTGCTGGCTCAGTGGCGCAGAGCCACATGCAGCAAAAGAGCCTGCCCAACCGATGGGTGGGCTCTTCCCCAGACTCAACTCTCGGGCCCCGGACTCTCAGCCTGGCACCTCTGAGAGCCCAGCGCCTGGGTGCCCCACACCCCTAGCGCCTATTAAGAGCCAGTGTGGTGTAGTGGTTAAGAGTGGTGGACTCGTAATCTGGTGAACTGGGTTCACTTCCCCGCTCCTCCACATACAGCTGCTGGGTGGCCTTGGGCCAGTCACACTTCTCTGAAGTCTCTCAGCCTCACTCACCTCACAGAGTGTTTGTTGTGGGGGAGGAAGGGAAAGGAGATTGTTAGCCGCTTTGAGACTCCTTAGGGTAGTGATAAAGCGGGATATCAAATCCAAACTACTACTCTTCTTCTTCTTCTTCTTCTTCTTCTTCTTCGGGTAAGATGGCCCTGTGCACCTTGCACACTTGCAAAGACGAAAAGGATTTCAAAGGCCATCTTTTGCTATGTGCACATTATTCCTTATGGCACTAGCAAGGGATGGCGGCAGGATTTCCTGAGCCCGGTACGCTATATGTGGACTGGGGCCCCTGCTTCACTGGCCTACCCCACAAATCTGTTGATTATGATGTTGTTGTTGTTGTTATTCATAGAATTGTAGAGTTGGAAATGAGCACAAGGGTAATATAGTCCAACCCTCTGCAATGCAGGAATCTTTTGCCTAACCCACAACCCTGAGATTAAGAGTCTCATAGCGACTGAGCTAAGCAGGCAAGTCATTATGACTAATTTAATTTCTTTACCGCTTTATGTTTTTAAGAGAGAAACCTCAAAGTGGTTTACGACACATTGAAGTATCAAATAAAACGATCCAGAACAGAATGTTACTGAAGAAAGTCAGATATAAAGTATACTTTCAAAGCAACATAATTAACAGGAAACTTATCTTAAAGATTCAAAATAAAACAGAATGTCTTTGTGGACACAAATTCTGCTTGCAAAGCTAATTTGGCTTTGTATGAAAGGATAGGTGGTGGTTGGCAGGAACCAAGCAATACTTCTAGGAACTAAAAGAATCTGCAAAATATGTGGACATAGGTGATAACAAGATACACATGAGCACCACAGGCAACAATATCTCTCTCATTTACTATCATTTAAGACTCTAAATAAGCTAGTGACTGTCTTCAAGATTATGCCTTTCACACACATTGTGAAGGCCACATTGCCTTGAGTTTATTTTTTCACTCCCCTGTTTTTTATTCCATGTTTTCTAGGCAGTTATGAGATACAACGTCCTTCTTCCCAAAAAGTCTTCTGGGTTTTTCCTCTCTGTGCAGACGGCAAACGTCTCTTGTGGAGACACCTTCCAGACAAAGTTTGCCATTGCCATCACAGCCAGGTACCTTTTTATCAACCTCGTATGCATAGATTGTATGTGTGTGGAAGGGAAAGAAAAAGAGGTGTAACTTAAAACGACAGTTCCAGAGAGACAGAGCAGAATAGTCCTGCGGCTGCGTACCTTCCTATATGTGCTTCTATTGCCAACCTTTTAAAATGGGTTTCAGTTCAGTAGTCTGGCATGTAAACAATAAGCTGGTGAAGGTTGCAGTCCTGTACATTTAGGCCTAAGCTCCATTGATAACAGGTATTTCTGGGTATGAATGCAGAAGGGATAATTACAGGGACTATGAATACAGATGGATATGGACAATATGAGTGTGTTGCTGGAGTAACTGGACATGAGAAGGGGTTAATTTCCTTCATGAGCATAATCACCCCACGGATGATGCTTCACTTCATGAGCATAATCACCCCATGGATGAGCTAATCACAAGTGCAAGATCAGCCAGGCCAGTTGCTATGGTAACGGCCCAGTGCCCCAACTATATCTGTGAATTAATGCATGATGGCTCACTTGCAGAGTCTGTTAGTAGAGTTGTCCAGTGTTACGTCCTGAATTGCTGAAATTATTTAGAGCAAAGGAGGTACTTTGTACTTGTATGTATCTGTATATATCTGTATCTACAAGTTGTATATCTCTACGTCCATAACTGTTTTACTGAGCCTTATCTTCTGCAACAGAAAACTATCTGAACCTTTCTCTGCTTCCATGTAGTGACTGGTACAGGGAACAACTTCCACTGTGTGGGTATCTCACCTGAGATTTCCAACATGTGTGTAATTAGCAATTATGACAATGTTTTAGTACCCCTAGGATTTCAGCCCAACAACCATCAAATGTATTGACAGCAGGTCCTTCTGTTGTATGTTAGCTATCTAGCTTCCTGAAAACCACACCCCAATCCCCAATGGGCAGCTTCTGCCACAGTACTGGAGATTGCATTTCCTAGAAGTACTGGAGTCATTCCCAGCCAAGTAGGCACGAAATGACAGTGGCCAAGGTATTTGAATCTGAAAAGGTCTCATGACTGGTCTGAGATGGTAAAGGAGCTCCAAAGCATAGACAGAATACAAACACACAATTTGTAAGCAACAGCATTTTTCCTCTTATCCTACAGATGCATTTTACCACCTAAACAATTAAATATACTGTATCCCAAGATGGCTTTGGTCTAGGGATTCAGATTGACCCAGTCTTCCTTTCCTTTCAGATACACCGGGAAGCGCAATAGCTCCAACATGGCCATCGTTGATGTGAAGATGCTTACAGGCTTTGTACCTGACCAGGCATCCCTGCAAAAGGTAAATGTAAAATGTGGAATGGCTTTGGGGGATAGGATTGTGGGGCATTTAAATTTGCAAATGCATCACCTGCCACAAGAAACAGGAGGCTTTGCCTACTGGCTCCCACCAACCTGGCTATGACTACCAATCAGACAAAGTGGCCTGCGTGTCAGACAGCCAAAGGTCCATGCCCACACTGGACAGCTGTACCCTATCCCTGCAAAAAATGTCAGTTTGTTAGTGCTGAATACTGGGGTGTGGAGCAGTGTGACCTTGAGTTGCTTCCAATGAAGTAAAACAAGGGCATGGCTGACTTTCCTCTAGGTAGACCCTCCAAGTGTCCCTATTTTCCAGGGACATCCCCAACTCAGAGAAGCTGTTCCGGTTTCTGATTTGATCCCGGAATGTCCTGTTTTTCCTTAGGATGTCTCTATTTTCATTGGAGAAATGTTGGAGGGTATGGAGTTATCCAACCCCCGAGCTGTCTGAAGGCAGTCCTGTATAGGGAAGTTTTAAAAATGTTTAATGTTTTATTATGTTTTTATATATGTTGGAAGCTGCCCAGAGTGCTAGGGCAACCCAATAAGATGTGTGGGATATAAATAGTAAAATTATCATTATAGAATGGAACTTCCCTATTTTCATAAGAGAAATGTTGGAGGGTACATCCATGCCCCATCTACCTTTGTGGGGTCCTGTGCCCACATCCATACATGGCATTGCAACAGATTTTGCCACCAGAACTGCTCTGGGAAGAAAGCGGTGAAGGTCGCCCATAACCACTATATATCTTTGATGACTGTTACATTCAAAGGAAACAGGATAAGGGGAATAATCCTACAACTAACTGCATCCTGGTCATTGACTGCAGAGAACTGGCTTCTTCCAAACATACAATGTGGCTTTTCAACATTCTAAAGTGTAACAGACTCCACTTGTTCTCTTTCCTTTTCATAAAGATGATCTATAATACATATATTTTATTGTTTCACGATGGATGCATGCATCAATATTGTTCCTGCAAAGTTTATTGATTTCCTACATCTGTATCTGATTCATCCCATGTTTCCCTTTTGTGTGCGTGTTCTCCTCATAATACTTTAGAAGTCATTCCATACTCCTTCTAGTGTGTCTTCAGATGGCCAGTGAAGGTTCTCATCTTTCCTGTGCTTCCTTGTTCACAGCTTCGTGATGACAGAATTGTGATGAAGGTGGAAAGCAAAGAAAACCATGTCATCATCTACCTGGACGATGTATGTTCTGCTCAGATCTGCCTCTTGTTTTGTGGAGTATTAACTGGCTACAAGACTAACGATTCCCATTGTGCTTTTATTCCCAGCTCTCATCCAAGGGAATCAGTTTCAGCTTCATAGTTGCCCAAGACCTTCCAGTTTCAAATCTCAAACCAGCCTTGGTGATGGTGTATGACTACTATGAAACAGGTAAAGAAAAATAATATGCCATAGAACAGCCTTCCCTCATCTGATGCCATCTAGATTTTTTCGACTGCCAACTGCCTTCATCCCCAACCAGTGACCATTCTGGCTGGGGCTGACGGGAGTTGTAAACTGAGAGAAAACTTTATTCTATACCTAGGCCTTGGACCTTTAACTATCTGTGGCCTTTTAGAAGTGGGTGGGATGTTTTTAATGTATTTATGTAGGAGTTTTGCTTCTTTGATGTTTGGTTGTAAGTCACGTTGGATTGCCTTGGGCAAGATAAAGCAACTAAAAATAAGATTACGAAATAATAATAATAATCCTCTCAAGATTTTATTTTCATTTTTTAAATTGAAAAAAATAACATTAGAAGGCATCAGGTCTCTGTGTGGTAGAATTAATTTGCCATAAAGCATATGGGATGGTCAAATAATCAAATTCATATTACTTTCTCTGCTACAGATGAAATTGGGATTGCTGAATACAAGTTCCCTTGCTATGCTGATGATCCTTGAACCCTTTGGATAATCTGGAGAAAGTAAGTTGGAAGACAGGAGCATCAAACTTGGAAACAGAAGTGAGACTATCGTTATCAGATCTGGTGATTGGGGATGGGGAGAAAGGCGGTGAAGAAGATGGTTTCATAGAAAGGATCAAGCAATGGTCTTCTGTGTGTTACAGTTGGTCTTCTCTAAAAGCCATAAAAAGTCTTTACTTTCTCATTTACAGTCATGGAAGGAGTAGACACTCGCTGGCCTCAGAAATTAAAAAGCGCTAGAAGACATTCACGTCATAGCTTCAACGCAAAAAAGATGAGGGAATGATTTCACACTCCAGGCATCCTTGTAAAAGAATTTCAGAATTGCATGACATTCTGAACCAAAATGTATTAGGAAGTTTGATTCTGGATGTTTAGCATTCAGTCAATAATAGCATAACATCCTTCTCTGGGAAGGGGAATAGTGGTTGCAGAGTGCCCCTGTTTGCCTCACTGAGGGACAAATTATGGTATATATTTTTTTGTTAGAAGATCAGCAAATTCCCATTTGAGTTATTTGAGAACTCTCGGGTGGATGCCATCTGGACTCGGCAATTTGTCAGTTTTCATTTTGTTGATTAGGCCTAAAACTTTATCTCTCGTCACCACCACCTTCCTCAGTTCTTAAGACTAACTTTCTTGCAAAAGTTATTTCAGGTACTGGGATCTGCCCTATATCTTCCGTTGTGAAGACAGGTGCAAGGGAAGTTTCCCTCTTCTTGAAAGCAATGTTCTCCTTCTCCGAGACTCTCATTCTCTCTGAGAGCAGGGGAACTATCATCGTGGGAGTGGGGCACAGCTATAATGTCCCCCCAAGGCCTCATCCACCAACCTCTCTGCCTCTCTTAGCTCTTCCAGGTCTGCCACCTTGGCCTTAAGGTAACAAATTTGTTCCTGGAGAGCCAGGAGCTCATTTGACACTCATGACATCTGTCAAACAGGGAGATAAGTTGTACATGTGACAGACAATGCAAAACACTGGAAAGCCTTTATGCCCCTGCGGCATTCTAATTGCCTAGTTGTTTTTGTAGCTTAAGTTGCTTTAGAGTTTGGGTTTTCCGTAAGTCAATGAAGGGAGGGACAGAATGACACGACCTGGCCTCTTCTCTCTTCTCACACACATCTGCTTAACTTGCCTTGGTGCTTTGCCAGGGGGATCTCCCTGTAGCTCATGGATCAGGTTCCCCACTAGCTTGCTCTAAATCTGTACACCACCTGGCTAGTTCCTCCTAGCTGAAGAAGAAGAAGAAGAAGAAGAAGAAGAAGAAGAAGAAGAAGCAGAAGAAGAAGAGGAGGAGTTTGGATTTGATATCCTGCCTTTCACTCCCCTTCAGGAGTCTCAAAGCGGTTAACAATCTCCTTTCCCTTCCTCCCCCACAACAAACACTCTGTGAGGTGAGTGGGGCTGAGAGACTTCAAAGAAGTGTGACTGGCCCAAGGTCACCCAGCAGCTGCATGCGGAGGAGCGGAGACGCAAACCCGGTTCCCCAGATTACGAGACTACCGCTCTTAACCACTACACCACACTGGCTGTAGTGTCTGCTTCTCAAAACTAAAATGATATTTCTGTAGTTTTATTCTGATAATTGTTCCCAAGTGTCATATTTCAGTATCTAAAACTAAGGCATCAAAGAGTAGCCTATGGAAGTTGAGCCATTCATCGTTTTATATTGGGTTAATTAATGGTTTATTTTGTTTGTTTCCGCAGGACAAAGTTATGTCGTCATGAAAAGATATTCCTCAATTAAGTCTGCAACCATCCTAAGGGAGGTGCTCAGGGAGAATCATATTTGTTCAATTATTAGGTCTTGGAAGAAAATCACTAGAAAATACACCTTTCAACTGAGAGTTCTGCCACACATTTCAACGAGAGGCTGTTTCATCAGTTCTTTGCAATAAAATCTTGTGATTATTAAGAGTGCCTTGCCTGCTCATTTTAATCTCCAATGCTGATGGTCCAGACTCTGTTTACACTGGGTGGATTATATAAGACCTGGTATAGGATAGTTGGACACAGGTGGTGCTGTGGTCTAAACTGTGGAGCCTCTTCGGCTTGCTGATTGAAAGGTCAGCAGTTCAAATCCCACAACAGAGTGAACTCCCATTGCTCAGTCCCAGCTTCTACCAACCTAACAGTTTGAAAGCACGCCAGTGAAAGTAGATAAATAGGTACTGCTGTGGCAGGAAGGTAAATGGCATTTCCGTGTGCTCTGGCTTCCATCACGGTGTCCCGTTGTGCCAGTAGAGGTTTAGTCATGCTGGCCACATGTCCCAGAAAGCTATCTGTGGACAAACACCGGCTCCCTCGGCCTGAAGCGAGATGAGCACCACACCTCATAGTCACCTTTGACTGGACTTAACCGTCCAGAGGCCCTTTACCTTTACCTTTTTTACCTACTACCCACCTTCCTTAACATTTGGTACCCTCCAGACATTCTGGACTATAACTTCCCTGTTCAAACCTCAATTCAGCCACAAATTCATTGGATAGCTTTACCCCAACCCAGTGCTTTTCTTCTAGAAAGGAAAGGTGCCAGTGCTGTGTACCCTTGAGTACCCCCAGAAAAAAGCACTTCCCCAGCCTAATATGCAAATCCTGATGGTGGGCTATCTTACAATTTGTGTGGACCACTTGGAGCAAAAATTTTTGCAGCTGACACAACAGCCGACCCAGCCATTATGTAGGTTGAGGCCAGCACTAGGGGCAGAGGAGCCAACACTGATTTTGGCCAAGATGTCTCCAATTTCAGATGAGATTTCATCAGAAACCAGCGAGATCTCACCTCAAATCAGTCCCAATGCTGGCGCCACTTCTTGAAGGTGGCAGATGCAGGGCAGTGCTTCCTGTTTGACCTCAAGCAGCGAAATGGGACACACTACCCCAGAGCTGCTATAAAACCCAATTCCCATCTTGGTTGTGAATGGAGAAAATTCTGATAAGGAGCCAGAACATTTGACTGACAGCGGAGGCTTTGGGGTCTGGCCTACTGTCTCTTCAGGCCATGCTCTCTGAGAGGCCATGGTGCCATCACCAGCCACACTAATGGAACACTCCTGCAGGCCCCATGGCCGCCTCCGGCACTGGAACAGCTACGCAGCATTCCTGGGAAGGGGTCCTGGTGTTCTGGGGACTCACAGCTGCTCTCTTGTGAGCACCCGGTATAGCAGAGTAAAAACAGTGCAGACGGAGTTGAGGAGGTATCTGGGCATACCTACTTTATTTCTACTAATTACAGAATAAAGAACATAACAAACATGTATGAGAGGAGCAGCCCTCGTACAGACATCCTGTCTCGTCGCAAGACAGAGCAGAAAGAAAAAATACATCATCAATCTTTATTACGGCCCAGAGACCCAGCAAATCGTTACAAAGCAATACACAATTCATACAGCCTACCTCCGGGTTAAAGAAGCATTTTGTTCAGAATAAAGGGATCATTAGTTCTTGCAGGTTGAGAGGAGTTCCCTACCAGGACAGACTTTGTGTGCTCAAGACATCGATTCCATAAAACATATTTTGTTGCACAGTGCAAAATATGAGCAAGCCAGGGCTGAACTGATATTACCCTTGCTGGTAACTTTCCCGGGAAAATCAGAGGCTCACTATGTCAGGTTCCTATTGGAAGACTGGACAAACGCTAGAACTTTAGCAGTGGCAAAGTTTTTATTGGTGGTTGCAAGAAAAAATACAATAGTACCAGAGACAGAAGTCACACAAACTGGCTTCCTTTCTCATGGAACAGAAAGTAAACATGAATCAGATGATCCTTGCAATGGGAGGAGCGAAATGCCACAGCTGCCTTCGAAAAGCAGCATTTCCTCATTTGCTCTGACAACAGTTGACCTCCATAAAGAAGCAAGGGCAGCAACTGACTGAGGAAATGAGGAATTTCTGCTTTAGAAACAGAAACATGACTCTTGTTGTTGCCAGGATGAGTTGATGGAACCATTGAACCACCATACTAATATAAAGGACAGGGCATTTTGTGTTATGGCACCCATACTTCTCTCCATTATAGTCTCACCTTGCCACTCTCACTAAGGCAGCTACAGATTTTGTCCTTCCTCTGCAGACCCCTCCAATCTCAGTTGCGGTTAGAGCATTTTTAATTTGCATCATTTCCTGGACTAGTATGTGCAAATAATAATAATAATAATAATAATAATAATAATAATAATAATAATTTATTTATACCCGCCCATCTGGCTGAGTTTCCCCAGCCACTCTGGGCGGCTCCCAATCAAGTATTAAAAATACAGCATTAAATATTAAAAACTTCCCTGAACAGGACTGCCTTCAGATGCCTTTAATAATAATAATTTAATAAGCAACAGCTGTGTTTCCTTTCATGAGAACGGCAACAACTTCATAAAACAAAAGCTAACAATTTTGAGTTTCTAGTTCATGACCATAATCTGAGCACGTTCTTTAGGGGAAATGCTGATTTAAGAAAAAAAGAAGCTAGAATTATGTAGGAGAAAAGCAATTGTTGAGAAGAGGAAGGGGAAGGAGAACCCCGTGCTAAACTTTTGAGCTGCTTGGCGTGAGAAAAGTGCGATATAAAAACGCGAATACGTTATTCATTTAAATCTTATTTATTAAATTTGTATACGCCGCCCTTCATCCAAGGGTCGCCGAGGCGGCTTGCAGCATTTAAACACCAAAAGCGCGTAGCATAATAGCGAACATGACAATAACACACTGCGCAGCATTTTATTTTATTTATCCCATTCATTTAATAAACAGTCAGATATTCAAAATCTGAAGGGGAGGGAGGGGGGCCTCGTGACTATCCCGTGACAGCCGCTGAAGAGCCAATGAGAGCCGCCCTCGCCTTCAATCTGCCTCCTCCTTGTCGTCGTCGACAAGACCAAGAACTGGAACGGAGGCAGGTTGGGCCCCGAGTCGCCTGTCACGCCGAAGCCCCTCCCCGAACCCGCTCCTCCGCCTCTCATTGGTCAGGTTGCAAGCACGGGAAGGCGGGGCCGGAGGTAGGTGAAGGCGAAACGACTCGGCGAGCCGCTTCCACCCGATTGGACCAAAACCGCCCCTTACCCCGCTTCCTCCTTCCGGTCGACAAGAGGATGAGCCTTCGGCTGTACGGCGCGGGCTGCTGCTTCCTCTTCCGCTTGTGTAGCATGACTGGTCACGAGCCGCCCTCCTCTTCCTCCTCCTCCGGGCTCCGGTAACGGCTTCGGGGGCCGGCGAAAGGCGCGGGGAGGAAGGCCGAGACGCGACCTCGAGCGCCGCACTGGGCCGGGGAAGCCCCAGGTGAGGGCGCCGCTCCGCGACCCTGCTCCCCTTCTCCTTCCCCCTTTCCCCTCAGCCGCACCTCGCTTGCTGCAGGCTCCGGGGGGCGAGAGAGGTGAGGGGGCGGAGGGCATGTGGGACCCCCCCTCCTCCTCCTCCGAAAGCTCCGGCCTCGCTCCCCCCCCTTTGAAGAAGCCTGGCGGCAGTCGAGTTGTGGAAATGGCGGGGCTTTTTAGGCACTTGGGGGGTGAGGGGGGGTCAGGGAAGGGCTTCGCAGGGCTGAGGTAGAGTAGAGAGGGTGAGCAGCAGGCGGCCTCGTCGCCCGGCGCCTGCCATGCCGAAGGGCGAACCCGTCGCAGGGACACGCGCGCTTTTCGTTACGTCTGCACGCGAAGCGGGGCGGACACGTGAGCCGCAGGCAGGTGGGGGCCCGGTGGCGCGTTCCGCGTGGCGCTCTGCCTCCGCAACTCGAGTGACGGGAACGAGGCCGCCTCAGCAGTTTCGTCCCACCCCCGCCGCCACCTGTATGCGGCTCTTTCCAAAGCTCTCTCCACCCATCTCTGGCACAGATTCTTTGCAATTCTGAGCACAAGGGCTGCCTCCTCCCCGCCTAACCCCAAATCCTTAGGATTTAATGTTTCAAATGGTGCATCCCCGAAACATCCATTTCGGGCTATCAAGGGTGAGAGTGGATTCTCAGTTACTGAGAGGATGTTGACTTTTCCTGGGCTGATCTTTCAGAGCCCACACCCAGAGTTAGAGCAGCAAGAGTCCTCCAAGGTGAATGTTTCCAACATGATAGGCCACACTCGAGACCTGAGCAAGATGACACTGTCATATTCCTTTGCTGCAACTTGCAATTTCGCCAAAATGGCTCTTTCAAGTGTGCTAATAAATAAGTATTAAAATTTATCAGCAAAGTCAGTGGCACTTTATGAGCTGCTTAAATTTGTCCATGCTGTACCCATAGTTAAAAAGAAGGTGACTATTCATGCATCAAAGACATTAGGCCAGCCTTGCAAATACGTTCGCAGAAATTATCATGCAGCAAACCTACATTTGGATGGCTTGAAATTGCAAAACAAAAAAGCAAAATGCACCTACTGACTGATTTCTAAAAGCTTCCATGTGTGGTCTGAGTGAATCATCGTTTATGAGATGCTCACTTCTTGTTTTAATGATTAACAACATAAAAGTAGCATATGACAATGCAGAATTAACAACAGTTTCTGAGAGTGGTTTGAGATGAGACATAACGATAGTAAAACACTGAACAGAAGATGTACTTCATACATTTCAAAGAGGATGTGAAACATATCTGTTGGGGCAAATAGGGATTCAGCCTACTGAGTGGATCCAGTTGGCCGCTCCTGCCTTAAGTAGTGAATTTCCTCACTCTCAGTGCCAAATTATTTCAGGTTGTCATTTATGTGAGACTAATATTCCAGTTGTCTCTTAATTCAGGACTGTGAGATTGCTTATAGAATGTCCACCTTTCCATGTAAAAGCCATAATGAAAAAGTAGACATTGATTGTTCAACTGAGCTCTGCAACCCAGGTTTCATATGTCAGGCTGCCATATTAACGCCTTGTCTACATCTGTTCTTCATCACCTGCCCTTACTCTAGACAACTGCTTATAGAATGTTCCTGGCTCACCCTTGCTTCCATGCTGTGCTGCTAGCCCTCATAACCACTGTGATGGCAAAGGACAATGAATGTGATCTGCTTGGGGAGGAAGGCAGTGAATCCACAAAAGAAAAGAAGCTGCTGGAGAGGTTGACGCCAATTTTCGGCAGAAGGTACAGTGCCTGTGGCTGATTGACTTGTTGGGGTGGCTTCAGTGTAGCTGATGTCAGGAGCAATTGCTCAAGAGGGAGTTTTGAGTCACTGCCCTTGGGGAATATCCAACCACCTTAGCTGCTTGTCAGACCCGGCTAGTGTCAACAAGTGATTCTCATAAGTATTCTACTTGCTCATAGCGATTGCGTTCCTGTTGTGAAAAGATGGCTGCTGAAGGAGTTTATCTCCCCCCCCCCAAATAAAATTAACAGCTCATTGGCAATATTCTGTTGTTCATGAAGCCTTGTGGACATCTGGTATAGATACTTAATGCCCTTACTGAGTAAGTCTCAGATATAATTTCCAGATGTTTTGGGACTACAGTTCCCATCATCCCTGACCACTGGTCCTGTTAGCTAGGGATGATGGGAGTTGTAGTCCCAAAACATCTGGAGGGCCAAGTTTGGCCATGCCTGAAATAGCACCTCTGTTCTTGCACTACTTGAATACTTTCCCCACCAATCCACATTACAGACTCTGCAAAAGGAAATATGCAGATATTCATTATTGACACCTGGGTGAGCAGGCTGGGAAGATTAAGCGTTAACTCAGCTTTTAGTCTCCAGCTACTTGGTGTGGCACCAATCCCAACTGGGTTGGGGAGAGTCACAGCTGTAATCCCTAAGGAGGCCAAACCCTACTGACTAGATTTGAGGGGTTTCATGGTGTTGAGTCATTGGAACAGACTAGGGATGCTGCTGGTCTCTTGTCCACCCCATTGCATGGCACTTCCTTTGCTAACCTGAAGGTTATCTTGAGCATGGTGTTGGAGAATCCTTCCAGAGTGGTGCCACGTACCTTCAACACCCACTCCAATTCAGCTGCCAGTGAACTAGCTTGGGACCTCATGGCCACCTGGACAACCATAGATTTGTCCTGATCAATCAGTGGTGCAATCCATGTGTCCAAACAAACATACTCTGGACCTGGTCTTTGCAACAGAGAGGGATAGCTTGGTTCAGTTGATTGTGGAGTTTGTAATGAGGCCGTTGTCCTGGATGGACCATTTCCTGATATGGTTTGGATTCCCTCTGATGGTATCACCCATAGGGATGGAGGGCCTATTGAGATGGTCCGCCCTGTAGACTAATAAGACACATAAAGGTTCCTGAATACTTTGGGGGGATTTTCCAGCTGAGATGGCTGGCACTCCTGTTGAGGCTCTACACTTGCTGTAGAACAGCAAGATGCACTGGGCCATAAACACAGTTGCTTCAGGAGTCATCATTGCAACTGGTGAGCATGCCAGGGTTCCCTGGTATACCAGGGAACTGCATGATTAAACAGGAGCGGCAATGGCTAGATTGTAAATAGTGCAAATCCCGATGCAACACTGACCAGATATAGGCAAGAGTACTTGGTCATGCATACTGCATGGCAGCGGTGACGGCAAATAAAGTGTGCCTCTCTGCCACCAGTGCCTCTTCAGTCCAGCAGGGCTGTTTCAAGTGGTGAACAAGCTGATTACATCTGCCCAACATAGGGCATCTCTGAAGTTCTGGGCACCAGGTATAGCAATACCAGATGACAATCTAACTCAAGATTTGTTGGCTCAATGGAGAAGCTGGTTATAGGAGTTTGGCTGACTGACCCTTGCCCATCATGTCTTACACAGCTATCTAGAGGGGATTGGTGGAGTGGGCTCAAGGATTGATCAGTGCCTTACTGCAGAAGGGGGATGTGCTGCCTGCCTTGAAGGACCAGAAGGACCCTTCAGAGGACCAGAAGTGTTACAATACAATTGCCTGTTCACAATCTTGGGCAAGATTCTTGAGAGGCTGGCAGCAAGCCACCTGCAGGCATTATTGGAGGAAGTAGATTATCTGAACTGATTTCAAACTGGCTTCAGTCCCAGAGACGGAGCCTAAACTGCCTTGGCTGCCCTGCTAGATAATGTTTGTTGGGAGAGAGGCAGGAGGAGTTGAGTTGATTCCTCTCAAGCTTTCCACACCTCTTGATTCCTTTCACCATGGTATCTTTCTGGCCTGGCTCTGAGTATGGAAGGCACTGTGTTGTAGTGGTTCAGTTCATGCCAGCAAGACAGGATTCTGGAGGTGATTGGAAGTGGAAGGACATTGTTCCACCCAGAGGAATTGACTTGTGGTGTCCGACAGAGCTTCATCTTAACACCCTTGTTGTTCAACATCTATATGAAGTTGCCAGGGACACATAATGAGGTGTCATCAGTATGCCAATGATGCTCAGCTCTATCTCTTGTTATGTCAGAATTGGAAGAGGCCGTTGAGGTTCCTGACCAGTGCTTGCAAGTGGTAATAGGCTGAATGAAGACTCTTGAATTGAAACTGAATCAAGACAAGACAGTTTCTTGGAATGGGGGTGGGATGTCACACTGCCATGGAAAGGGAGTGCTCTTTGATCCAGCTCTGTCACTTGAGTCCCTGGTTACTTCAGAGCAAGGAGTGCTTATTTCTAGCTCTGGCTGATTCACAGAGAAGGCTTGGCACCTGTGATCCATGCTCTGGATCAACAGTACCTGGGAAAGTTTTGTGCTGGCCACCAAACCCTGGAACTTGCTGCCCCTGGATGTGTATGCTTTGTGTCTACATTATTTACATTTTGGTGACATGCACACATTTTCACGCAGGCATTTGGGGGATGGCTGAATGTGAGTTTTCTGTATCCAAAGCTGTATTGTTTTACTTAGATCAGTGTTTTCAGCTTTTGGATTTTAAATACAGTTGTATTTTAATTTGTATTCCCCACCCTGGGACTTCTTGTAATGAGCACGTAACAAATAGTTTAAAAAAATAATAATATGGAGATACATGCTGATCTCCCTTTTTTCATGCCTCAGGATTTGGGGTGTTTCTCATTCACTTTAGAGCAGAATTTGTAGAACATGATTTTTTTAAAAAGTTTGTGAAAACCTCTGCTAATGGAATTTGGAATGAAAGAGGGTTGGCTGTTATAGATGCTCCTTAATTTGAGTGGGAAGTACTATTGTTAGGATCCCTCCCACCCCCGCAAATGTGTGAGCAGCAATGTTTGTAAGGCTTCTCTCTGTGGCGTCTCCCTCTGCAGTTTTGAAATTGAAGGTGAGAGTGAAGGTGAGAAATACACCTACAAGTTCCGGGTGTGTCGAAATGCTAGCAATAAGACCAATTCTGGCTTGGTGCAGATCAACAATAAGCAACAGACAATGGTGTTGGGACGAATCAACGAAACCCATCTTGCCAGTGGAAGTAAGATACATTTATCCTTCAACAACTCTTATCCTTTGCTCTTCCAATACCACACATGCCTCACAGGGTGTCTTGGTTTTCTGTCTTGGCAGGTTCATGGATTTTACTGACCTATAAGGGGGGAGACCCCTATGGTAGCCACTGTGGGAAGGAGCCGAGAAAAGCCATAGTAATGATCACCTGCAACAAGAAGACACTAGCAGTGAGTAGCTACTGGAAAGGGTTATTAAAAAATAATAATTCCAGGGTATATTGGCCAATGGTTAGGAGTCACCCCTCATTACACTACCTCCAGTATTAATCCTGCTGAATAATTTAAGAGCTGAATTACATCCTTGGAAAATGATATTTTTCAGCTTGCTAGGAATGCTTGAACCTGTATGTTGGTGGGAGGGGAAAGGCTGCTCACTTAGAAAATGAACACATTTTGAAGAAGGGTAAAGGGACCCCTGACCATTAGGTCCAGTCGTGACCGACTCTGGGGTTGCTGCGCTCATCTCGCTTTATTGGCCGAGGGAGCCGGCGTACAGCTTCCGGGTCATGTGGCCAGCATGACTAGGCCGCTTCTGGCGAACCAGAGCAGCGCACGGAAACGCCGTTTACCTTCCCGCCGGAGTGGTACCTATTTATCTACTTGCACTTTGACGTGCTTTCAAATTGCTAGGTGGGCAGGAGCAGGAACCGAGCAACAGGAGCTCACCCCATCGCAGGGATTCAAACCGCCAACCTTCTGATCGGCAAGTCCTAGGCTCTGTGGTTTAACCCACAACGCCACCCAAAGAAGGGTAGTCCAGGGCTATTGGGAGGGCTGGGAAGTTCCTGTTGTAAAGAAAAAGTCGAACACAGAGCCCCTACTAGCATTTTAAAGTACAGCCTAGGAGGCCTACATCATATATTTATCTGAACATGTATCTCGCTCACTCAGAAGTGGGAGGTGGCACTGTTAGATGGTTCTTGAAGAAGATGAAGGACACTGGCGAGCATAGATCTCTGGGGAAGGACGGAACTTTGTCCCTGTATATATTTAAGGTGATAGATGTATTTTACTGGGCTTCCATGAGTCTGCTATCTTCCCATAAACAGAGTGGTTTCACCATGGTGTCAGAAGAACGAGAAAAGATGGAGGAATGCTTCTACCTCTTTGAATTAGAGAGCAGCTTGGCCTGCCCTCCAGAAGACGCTCACTTAAGTATTGGCTCTATATTGCTCATTACGTAAGTTTGTCTGAAAGTTTTAATACTCCATCTACGGTTTAGCAATTTCTAGGGTAGCTTACATGCATATTCTTTTTAAACAAAACGGGATTGAAAAATGAAGATAACAGTTAAAACTGAGCAGCATCAGAGCAACTTGAGAGATAAAAGCCATTCTGATAATACAATTTAATAGTGCCTGGTTTCAACAATAAGTTATTTACTTGGTGCCAGAAAGACATGAGATTTGGTACCAACAGCCTGGTGTATATGTGTACAATCTTAAGGCCTGTACTTTGGACTAGTTGAAATTTCAAATGTGTCCCCCCATTCAGTGCATCATGGCAGTGTAAGTTGTATGCCACCAGTTCATGAATAGTGGCTGTTTCTTTTCGGGTGGGAAGGTGGGCACCAGACTTAGAACATAGACGGCGCTTCACGTCATAAAAAGGTACAGCTTCCGGGTCATGTGGCCAGCATGACTAAGCTGCTTCTGGCGAACCAGAGCAGCGCACGGAAACGCCGTTTACCTTCCTGCCGGAGCAGTACCTATTTATCTACTTGCATTTTGACGCCATAGATGCCACTTAAAGGCTAGATCTTAAAAGAATTCAAAGCTGCAAAGTGCAACCCCATCTAAAATCGGCTGGGAAATACCTCTCAAAACAGGCACACACCCTACCAACAAGTATCTTCACTTTCTCAGGACTTGGCGAGAAAGTATTCCAGATTTTCAGAGTATGTCACCTGGCAGTTCAGTACAGATTTTAAACAGAATTGGGGACAAAGCTTTGAAGAGTACATGTGGTATCGGATATTAGTATTCCCAGTGTCGCCCTTGTCAACTGAGCATACAGGGTAGAAATGAAACAGTGGAACACATTGTCCTCCATTACAGAAGGGTGCCATGGTGCTGTTCCCTACTTTTAGTGCCTTATTAGAAAGGGTCTAGAAAAGTAATCTGCTGAAAGTTTATCCACGAGACACTTTTCTGTAAATGCGATTCCACAGAATCAGGTTTTGTATTGAGCATAGGGTGAATGAAATAAAGGTCTTTGGCCATGGGGAATGGAAGGTTTATCCCAAGGCAGTTGCTTTAAGACAAAAGAATACATATGTAGTTAGGGGCACTGGCTTCCTGGTAAGTATTTAGTCAGGCATGACAGTATGGCATGTGTTTATATCAGAGCTTTCCAAACTTTTCACGTTGGTGACACACTTTTTAGACATGCATGATTTCACGACACAGTAATTCAGTTTTACTAGCAAACCAGAGGTTAAACTAACCCCTTTCCAGCCCCGGGAGGAGTGCGGGGAGCATTTGTGGGACACACCTACACACTGCAACCAACACAGTAACTTGTCACGACGCACAGTCTAGAAAGCTCTGGTTTATATTATACATGTGACAAATGCCCTGGGCCTTGCAATTTTATAGATGCACAGGAGAGCCTAAATTACTGCTGTTTAGACATAAATTATAAGCACAGCTTCTGATTGGGCTTCAGCAAATCTCACAAGATGTTGGAAGATTTGGATGTTACAAACGGATACAGTGGTACCTCGGGTTGCAAACTTAATTTATTCCGGGGGTCCGTTCTTAACCTGAGGCGCGGTTTCGCTAATGCGGCCTTCTGCTGCCGCTGCGCTGCTGGCGCACGATTTCCGTTCCCATCCTGGGGCAAAGTTCGCAGTCCGGAGCAACTACTTCCAGGTTAGCTGAGTTTGTAACCCGAGGTACCACTGTACAGGGAAATAAACTTGCACAAATGTCCTCAAATGTAGCCTGCAATTTAGTTTCCCTAAAGTGTACCCATTTTCCTCCCCATTTCTGGGCAAATAATTTGCCTGACATATTGATTCCTATTCCCCATTCCCTTCCCATATTTTATGCTGCTGTGTATACTCAGTGTGATACCTAACAACCATTAAGCCTAAAGTTGTGCACATTGGGCTCTCCTCTGGTTGCTCAAAATTAGAATTTGACTAGACACTTTAGGAGTAACACATATTACACCATAAAGGTTGGAATCTCATATGCCAATCAGCCTCATTATAAGTTCTTAAGCGGTTTTTAAGAGAACATCAACATGTTCTGAGTTTTATTAGAAATCATCATAGCTTTTGCCTTCCTGGTTTGTTTGTATTTTGACATTCTCTTTCAGGCTTGCTCCATTGGTTGCAGTGTACCTCATTGGGGGATTTCTTTACCAGCGTCTGCTGGTGGGAGCAAAAGGCATGGAGCAGTTCCCCCACTTGGCCTTCTGGCAAGATCTGGGCAACCTAGTGGCAGTAAGTAGCAAAACAGACAAATCCGTACAGCAGCAAGGGGCAACCTGCGATTCTTCCAGAGTTTGCATCTGATATCATGCACACAAGCTGCGTCTACCTGTGCCCCAGGAAAGGTATACAGTGGTACCTCGGATTAAGTACTTAATTCGTTCCAGAGATCCGTACTTAACCTGAAACTGTTCTTAACCTGAAGCACCACTTTAGCTAATGGGGCCTCCTGCCGCCGCCGTGCGATTTCTCTTCTGATCCTGAAGCAAAGTTCTTAACCCGAGGTACTATTTCTGGGTTAGCAGAGTCTGTAACCTGAAGCGTATGTAACCCGAGGTACCACTGTATGTGCATTCAGGCATTTTGATGAATCTTGTTTTAACATCTTGTTTTAAGCAGGCCCGGGTAACCTCCAACCTGTGGACCAATCATAGCCTGCAAAGCCATTTTCCTCATGACGTCAGCTGATGTGTGGGAGGATGGGATTGAATCCTGACAAACACCATCCTGATTCAGGAGCTGGTTTGCATCAGAATCTCGCTAAAACGAAGGACTTTCAAACAGCCCTGTGCTGTTCTTTGAAGTCCTGACAATTTGGGCTTCAAAGCACAGCATCACCTGACACCATAGTGATGCCCAGCTGTCGTATTCAGCCCTCCAAGGGAGGGAGATAAAAATGGCCCCTAGACAGAAAAGGTGCCCCCACCCTCATGTAAAGAAGCTGCAGTGAAGCTTGGGGACCCAGTTTGTTACAATTTTTTAAGGGTCATTTAGTATGATGTCTAATGCCAGACTGTGATTAATCTTTACTAATATTTGTTGATAAAAGCCACTCTCGGAGCCATGGTTTGAAATTGCATTGTGTCAACTAATAATTTGAGATTACCCAGTTTGCATTCAGACAAAATGATATACTGTTTAATAAGATGGAAGCAGAGCCCTTCAGTTCCTTGCAGCTGCACTGAAGGAGAGGGAGTGCATGAACTGAAAGTTTGTTCTGGCTAGATAAACAGATTTATTGCGTTGTCCAAATATAGCTATTGTTTTTGTTGGAGATTGCAGCTAATAAATTACTGTCAACGGGCTTCCCTTCAGAGTTGTCTGGGAGGCAGCTGACACAGCCTAGGCTTGTTTCCTTGTGGGAACTTCTGAGCTGACACTCTCAAGCTAAGCTTTTACTTACTAGTTGCCTATGCAAAGCCTTTGATGTGCTTTAGGTACGGCAGTTGTGCTTATTTGGCTGCCACGTCTTTCTATAGTCCCTTCAGCATTGAAGTCCTCAAATCATGCTAAGAGGTGGAATCTGGATGGAGACAGAGGTTCATGCTGCAATCGCTATTCGTGGTCTGGCATTTGTACATTAACCTGTGTGTGTTTACAGGATGGCTGTGATTTTGTGTGCCGGTCGAAACCAAGGAATGTACCAGCTGCGTATCGTGGTGTTGGCGATGACCAACTAGGGGAAGAGTCTGAAGAGCGAGATGACCATTTGCTACCAATGTGATCTTTTCTTTCTTTTCCTTCCCTGTTTGTTCACATAAGCGGGTGTCACCTGGTCGCTTCCCCCTCATCTTTCTTGTGATCACCCCTTAAGCTGCTTGCTTTTTACCATGGCTGCCCCGTTTTTCCTCTCCTGCTATGAATGAGTACTGGGACTGGGGCTTGGGGCTTTTCTGAATGTAAATCTGTGGCAACAAACTTTGAAATAGGGGGACTGGACAGAGCCCTGACGGGCAAATGCTTCTCTAGATTGCCTGCTGAGGCTGATTTTCCCCAGCTTATGAAGAAGTGTTTGTAGGTTTGGAGTGGAGCAGCAAGGGGAACTTCAATATGTGAAGTTAAAGGGAAGAACCTGAAGGTGCAGGGAAATACTAGTAGCCTTGGGTATGGGGGGTGGGTAGAGTGGCTGGGATTGAGTGCTTTTACATATTTTGTATGGGCTTTATTCTACAAAACACTGGATTTCTATTTTCAATTATTCATTTGTACATTTTTCTTGAAAGGTGAGGGAGCTTTCCTTGCATTTTCAGATTCACCCTTTTAAGATGCAGTAGACAGTCTGGAGACTCTTCCATCTTAAAGTATGAATTAAAAGTAGATTTGAGGTCTTTTTTTTCCAGTCACTGGTACATGATGATGGCAATAATATGTATATTTTGCTATATGGCCTGAATTGAAACAGAGGCAAAGAGGAAAGAAAGTTTCTCAAACAGCAGGTGCACCTGAGTGGAGTCCCTGCATTATCACCTCTTTAACTGCTTTACGAGAAAGAGGAATTATCTAGCTTTAGTTGTTTATGTGCTTATGGCGGAGGTTGAAAAATATAAGGAAGACCAGTCTTCTTAGTAGTTCAACAGGGGAATAAGGAATGAAAGTCTGTCTGGGTGGTTAGTCAAAATCTTAGCCACAAAAACCTATGGAATAAACTTTTATCCTTCCAGACTAGTGCAAACATCACTGCTGGTCTGTTCTCAGTAGGGATGTTAATCTAAGTTGCACCTTCATCTGCTTCCTGGAGGGATTGGGACATGATAGGTCTGTTGCTTTAAGAGATTGCTTTCTCTACTTGGTGCATGCTATGTTATCACCTACTGAAGAGATCAGAGTTGCAGCTCAAAAATATTCCTTACTTTTGAAGATAAGCCATTTACAGTTCAAAGTCTCCTGAATTCACTAGTAACACCAGCTATCTCTTGTGAGGAATAATACATTTACTTCGTAGGGAGAGCTGGTGGTTCAAACTGGGCAGCGATCTGTGGGGTACACAGCAGGGCGGAATCTCTCCTTTTCTTACTCAAGAGCAATGATCAGCTCTCCTGCTGGAATGAAATTAGATAAAGCTGCATCAAGTGTCTCAAGTTCCCTCCAACAGGGATAAGGTCACTGCAATGGTCACTTTTTCATAGTGGTGTTTAAAAATAACTTTGTACAAAGACACAACTTTAAAATTAAAATGGCTTGAAGCCCTGAACTGTGCGTTTGTGAGTTAATCATAGACATGCTGATGGGAGTTGGAACTTAACATGGAAGGGCTGGAGGTTCCCCTCTCTTAAGTCAAAGCAAGCTGCAGCAAATTAACCTCGTTAAATACTACTTTCCTGTTCTTCCTGCTCTCCCAGCCACACAAGGAGAGGGAACATAGCTCAGTAAACAAACACAGAACTTGGCTGGAGAGTGCTTAAATTTCAGTTACCTGTATCTCTAGTTTAGAATTCAAGGACTGGGAATATCAACTACTGTATTGGCCCGAATATAAGCCGCACCTGCAAATAAGCTGCACCTTTAAAATTGATGGGGGGAGGAGAAAAAATGACAATACCCAGGCTGCTTCCTTGGTTGGGGAGGACACCACTTTGCTGACAGCGTAAGGTCATGAATAAAAGCCACACTTAACTTTTCACTGTCTGAATTTTTTTTTGGGGGGGGGGGAATGCGGCTTATATTCAGGCCAATGCTGTGCTTCATATAAACATGCTGTCAAAGGCCGCCTCAGCCACACCTTTTTGCTAAGTGCTATAGCATTATTTAAGCTATTCTTGTAGTTAAGAAGTATGAACCAGCACACACAAGGAGATGGCTGCTGCTTCCCCCACCCTTCCTATAATAGCTATTATAATCTCTTCAATTCACACTAAAATGGTGATCACTTTTAACTAATGGCACAGGAAATCCGAGCGCATTTGACTCTCCAGAGTACTCGAGAGAGTCTATACTCCTTGTGGTTAAAAGCTCTCATTTGTTAGTGATATTAAACTTTGTGTTCAGATTTGGGTCATTTTGGAAAACATAAAACGTACTGGGACCCCTAGTTAGACCACCAAGCCCCACATACCAGCCTGTATCTGACATCATGGAGTCTTAAAACCCAAGCACAGTACTTTACAAGATCCAACAATCAGCTGCCCATCAGTGCTTTTCAGGTTGATTTCAAACCTTGTGGCAAAAAACTGCTTGCTTGATGTCACTGTGACATCAAATAACAGGTGGACAATCCATGTCAAACTTGGGGCAGGAGGTGGGGAAGATAGCCTGGTGCTATGGAAGGAAACTTGATTGAGCCAACAGCCCAGAAAGCTAAGGCAAGAATCTCAGCTGGTAGGCATGAAGTAATACTGCCAAAACTCTGGTTCCCTCTAGTGGGCTTTAAAAGGCCGTTTGAGTTGTGAAAATGCTACATACCCTAGCATTCAAAAAGTTTTAAAACGACATTTTGGCAGATAGAACTTATTAAACACTATTTCTACTAAGCAGAAGTAAATATGCTTAAGCTGAGCTTTATGCTAAGATTTTAAGCACACTTAGGTTTGCAACAGAAATGAGTAAACTCCTATAGAAATATATGGAAATCTCTACAAATGATTGCAAGGTAGGTTTAATTGTTTTAAACTACTATACTCCAAGAAATATTGCTAAACCTTGTTCAGTGTTCCAAAACTGTAGCAGAGGACATACAGTTTCAATCTCAGATTTGAAGTTAACACAGTTAACAAATTTCAGTATCCTTAACTGCAATCTACAGTGACAAATATCACACCTAGCTTTATAAGTACAAGTAAAGCTTTCTCCATAGCTCCCCTGCTCAGTACATGTCCCCCTCCTCAAATTACACTGCTTTAAAAAACCGTTAAAAACAGTTGCTGGAAAAAGGAATGGAAAAACACATCCTTGACCAAAAGCCATGGCTATCATCCAGCAGATACTGTAAACTGCTCTAAACCTATTACTGGAAGAGTCATACTTCAAAAGGGGTAATGATTACTACTAGATATCGCCACTGATTGGAACAAGCCTGAAATATGCAAGCACAGAACAGTGGAAACACCTGCCCTAGTATAAACTCTCAGACACAACATAAAATTTGAAAGGTACAGACTTTGAGACAGACATACAGGTTACATCAAAACTAAGATTTTGAACATGCTCTGTATGAATTGTAACAAATCCCTTTTGTAGTTCAAAGCAAAGCTGTACCCTACTTTTGAATGATTTAACATGAACAGCAACAAAGCTTGCCTTCATTTAAACCTGCCGTCTCTCCAAGTGAAACTATTGCACTGGTGTGTATCAGGAAAGTCGGGGAGAAAAAAAAAATCAGGCCACGAGAGGACCGGCAACTTAATTTTTGAAGCATTCTTTTTACTGAAGAGAATATTTGTATAATAAACAAAAATAAACAGGCTTCTGACAGGAGATACAAACCTGCTAGAAGAAGCTTTGTCCCATATGCTCTCAGGGGGAGGGCAAGATACAAAACTAGTAAAAGAAAAAATTCAAAAGCAAGATAGAAACAAATGGTGCTTCAGTACAATTGGATTCTCCTTTGGATATTGAATGGCATCTTCCAACTCCACAAGACATGTAGAATTAAAGTTTTTTCTTTAAAAAAATCCCTTGATATCACAGAAGTGCTCGTGTTGTCTTGGCAAGGGTCCTATTTAGGCATGAACAAGCTCCAATCCTTAAGTGAGCCAGAACACTTTCCAGTATTCTGTATGGGGTCAGTTTGCTACTTACTTCCACATGACGCTATGAACTGAGAAAGGCGTCATTTAAAGGACCTTCCAACTTCCCCTCCCTCCCTCATCAAGAGAACCCATTCCCAAACTTCAGCACTAACTGGTTCCCTGGAAAAATGAATCTGTGTAGGAGGGGAAAAGACCGCATGGGAAGGAAAATGAGAAAACAAAAGCAACTCTAATTCTGAGAAGAGAAAGGGTCCTTCTCAGCCCTTCCTCTGAGAAGCCTCACCAGAGAACCCTCATCATCCTTGCTGTATTGCCACCAGAACGATTCAGAGGCTAATTTTCAGGCAACACAAGATACTCTTGAAGAGGTGTTTCAAGGCCTCCTGGGGAGATATACTTCCTCCATGTAGCACCAAGACTGGCTTTTAAGAGAGGTCAGTTTCCCTCTATTCAGTGTTGAGAGCTTGAAATGGTCCCAGCGCGAAGAGGGGGAGAACTCTGGCTTCTTGTGTTACTAGGTCTCTTTGAGGATGTTGATCTTGGCACAGATCTTGAGGGCAGGACCCAGCTTGATATTCATGGCACTCATGAGGTGCTCTTCCTTCAGTAGGAGCAAAGCCTGACCGTCAATCTCCTGTGACCGAAACTCCTCCGCAATCTCCTGGCAGCCTATAGGATTCAAGAAGGGGGAAAAACAAAACACCAAACCTTGTGAGATGTCAAAGAGGCAAGCAGCTGATGTCATTTTGAAGAACAGGATGTTTGTATCAAATCCCTTAGCAATCTTAATAATTCTCACAACAGGTCTGAGGTGAGTGACCGAAAAAATAAAGGCTTGCTGAAGGAAAGCTGGCTGAAACGGAATTTCCTAGGCTACAGCTCACATTTTCAGTGATTATGCTATGTTAACATACAGATAAGTCATCTATCGTCATGACCTTCATAATTCCTGGAGCACACAGAATAGTGTTCATAGTACAGTGGTACCCTGGAAGTCGAATGGAATCCGTTCAGGAAGTCCATTTCACTTCCAAAACGTTCAGAAACCAAAGCGCGGCTTCTGATTGGCTGCAGGAAGCTCTTGCAGCCAACTGGAAGCCATGCAGGATGTTTGGCTTCCGAAAATTGTTCAAAAATTGGAACACTCGCTTCCGAGTTTCAATCATTCGGGAGCCAAGGTACGACTGTATATTACCGTTCCACAGACTGAAACCTCAGTTATACCCAAGCACCTTGTCGTCTAATCTCACTCCTCTTCTGGTGGTGTCAGACTCACCTTGCAGAGATGCAATGAACTCATACACTTCCTCTACACTCCAGCGGCTGGGGTTGCTAGAGAGGAAGACTGGGTTGATGCCATGGAGGTCAGGGGTAGGCTGAGACATGTTGGAGCTGGCAAGGTCTCGCTCTCCATGACTAGCCCTCACTGAAAGGGGTCCAGGAGATGTTGGGGACAATGCTTCATCATAACTGGAGTTATCAGATCCTCTACTAGAGTCTTCTTGGCCCTGAAAGATACAAGCACCAGAAATAAAAGAAAGGGGGGGGGAATCCTTAGGTGGGGGGAAGTCATTGAAAAAACTAAGATGATGCACAAGATCTGGGTTCCTACACAGTCCCTTTACTGCTTTAGTTGTTGCCTAGCAAGTATCTTGGGAGCAGTTGCACTGCAATTAGACTCAGAGAAACAGTGTCTGCCTAACTGGACACTCTTAATTGATCATGGTAATGAACGTGGGGAGAACGAAGTCATCAAGTACATACTGGGCCCAAGCTACTAAATATTCTAGAGCTCAATACCTGTTAACTGTTAGCTTCATCTCAGAGATTGAAAATGTACATACTTTGGTACAGTGAACAAGATTTGGCAATACTGACCATTTACCTGGCTTGGTGCTCTTCTGTGCCTCCTTTTTCATAAGGATGGCATGTCCATTGTGGCTTGTTTCTAATTAGACATCTTTGAGAGTATCCAAATAGTACATCACCAGGGATTAAAGGTCTCATCTGATGTACGGAAAATGCAATATCCTATGTCTTTGCGTAAGCATACACCAGACATAGGATATTAATGTTTTCTTACGTCAGATCACACCTTTAATCAGATGTGACATATTGTTTGGATACTCTCAGAGATGATTGATTAGAAACAAAACACAAGGGACAGAACAGCACAAATCTGGGTTAACTCAGGCCAGCCTCTCCAGGTTAGACTACTGTTCTAAAATCAGCTCAACCTACTTATTTTTATACAGCTCCTACCCATATTCCCACGAACAAACAGCGCAATCCTAGTTTACAAGGCACCTGCTGATAGGTAGAAACTTCTTGCTTATTCAGTAGCTATCTAGAAGAAAGAAGCGTGAGAACGTGTATGGACTGAGGGAGCAGAGACCAAGTTCAGTAACTGAACATGTTAACAAGAGTCCACAGAAAATTTCCATCTGCCTAGTAAGCACAGAGGAGAAAGATGTGCAAAGATATAAGGAGGGGACCATCCCCTTTGTTTTGCAAGGAGATAGATGTTGCTATGCAACTTCCCTGGATCTTTTACTGGAGTCAGAATTCATTATAAGCACACAATCCACCTCAAAGGGTATGTCTTAGAAGGAAAAAAAAGATTCCTAACATGAAGATGAATCTTTATTATGGCCAAAGGCCAGCATAAAAACATGTCCATGTTCCTCATTTACTAAGGGATAGAAACAAAAACACCTGGCCTTGATCTCTGACCCAAGGATGTGTAGAACTCAGTAGTCTCTAAGCAGAAAGACTGGGCATCAGAGGGGCTTATCCAGAAGATCCCACCTGACCTCTAGTGGTGGCATTAAAGAACAGCAGTTTACTTATTATGAATTAAGTAACAAATGTGCACTCTCCTCCACTGAAGTTCAAAATTCTCTTCACCGGAGTTTCCACCTGTCTGGGAATTTTTCTCATGGTGGAGTACATATAAACCCAAGTGTGCCATAAGGCAAAGCTGGCCAGATTTAATATGGGTTTTAAGTCTCCAGTTCCGGGTTTGTAAATAGAAGCTTGGCTTTAATATTGGAACTTACGCCACAGACAGACAACTGTGTAACAGTCAGGATGGCATATGCTGTAAAGGCAGTATTTTCTAGCCCTTATTTGAGTTGGGAGTCTGTGGTCAACACGACTGGAGACAAGTCTTGTGTAATTTGTGGGTCCGTAGCTCCTTTCTGTTATTCAACAAACATAACCACACCAGAGACAAGCGCAGCCACTTGGGCATCTAGTGTAGGAGCTTAAAGAGGACCATACATTCCTTCAGCAAGTTAAAGGTGTGCTTTTACTCAACAACTACAATTCTGGAGGCTCGAAGATTAGGCCACTGTTCCCTCAAACGAGCCTCAAAAGCTTCAAAGGCGGCAAGAATCTAATCTCTATCTTTTGGAAATATTTCCCTATTTCCCCTAGGCTTTAGCCAGGTTCTGTGGGGTCTTAAGTACAATTCCAGTACTTCAACGGCCTTAGCAAATATTGCCCTCATCTCCCTTTGAACTATTTTATTGATGGCTTTAATTGACGTTTCTTTTATTCTTGTTTTTACAGTGCTGTATGCCGTTATTTATACAAGAACGGCAGGGTATAAATATTTTAAGCAACAAACTTAAAAGACCTCCAGTCCCTGCCAGATAAGCCCCTCACAGCACCAGAGCAGGTGAAACTCTGCTGTCCTAGGCAAGGAGGAATGAGGGATGGAAGTATACCCTTACCCGGTGACGCTTGCCCTGTATCTTGGCTCGGGCAATCTCTGAGCTGCTGCGCCGAGGCCCCCGTCGTCGTCGGGCATAGTTCGCTTCCTGGAGCTCCTTCATTTTTTTCCTTTGAAGCCGAAGTTGGTGACTGCAGCCCACATTGTACCTGGCACAAGAAAGAAGGAAGAATAAATGAAGCAAGGCTCGTTTGAGAATTCCTCTGCAAGCTGAAAATTCTAACGTGCTAGTCCTTTTCCAGCAAAACAGTTTTGAGTATGGGAGTGCTCAAGCCCTACATGAAGAGTCGTTTCCACATCAGCCATCTAACCAGGCTTATTGAGATCCTTCCATCAGGAGGTAGAAGCAACATACAGCCTCTAAATTATTACCCTCTAAATCTGGGCTTGAGGAATCCAATGGGAAAAGCAACCCTAATACCCAGGGTAAGACTGTCTGTACAGGTTTAACCTCAACTTTCAGACTTGCTTTCCAGGGAAGTAATTCATTATAAAGGTGCCTGAAACATTCTAGGTGCTATTCAGAATGGGTACTTATTGAAACGGATGCGGGTGGCAATGTGGGTTAAACCACAGAGCCTAGGACTTGCCGATCAGAAGGTCGGAAGGTTCAAATCCCCACGACGGGGTGAGCTCCCGTTGCTCGGTCCCTGCACCTGCCAACCTAGCAGTTCGAAAGCACAAAGTGCAAGTAGATAAATAGGTACCACTCCAGCAGGAAGGTAAACGGCGTTTCCGTGTGCTGCTCTGGTTCACCAGAAGCGGCTCAGTCATGCTGGCCACATGACCAGGAAGCTGTACGCCGGCTCCCTTGGCCAATAAAGCGAGATGAGCGCCGCAACACCAGAGTCGGCCATGACTGGACCTAATGGTCAGGGGTCCCTTTACCTTACTTACTGAAAAAAAAGTACTTCCTCTTGAGAGGGTAGGAGGCATCTGTCCACTAATGGGATAAGTCCCCAGGGGGCTGGGAGAGGCAAGGAACCACAAGACTACTTTTGTATAATGTCCCTGTCCTGTCCAATTAGAGGAGTGATCCTAGGAGATGAAGACTTCCTTCTAACAGAGGAGAAGAATTAAGAGCGATATATGGTGGCCTTGGTGGCACAAAGTGCCTTCCATCAGCTTTGGCTGGTGGCCCAACTGTAACCCTATCTGGACAGGGATAACCTTCAGTTGTTTATGCTCTGGTAGCCTCTAGTTTAGGATACTTCAATGCTTTGCAAGCACAGCTGACTCTGAAGATGTTTTGGAAAATACTTCTGGTGTAGAATTTGGGGGTGAGACCGGGACCAGAAGATTTGAAAATATTACATCGGTTCTGGCCCAACTGCAGTAGCTACTGATTAGTTTCCAGTCTCTATTCAAAGTGCTGGTTTTGACCTATAAAGCTTCAAGACCAGAGTAGCTCAACAAGTGCCTCTCCCAGCCCAGGCTCTGCAGTCCATTGGGGCCCCTTCTACAAGTGCTCACTCAAAGGCACTCAGAGGGTAACCACGTGGCAACAGGCCTTTTCAGTGATTTTATCCTGATACTGGTCATTGACCACAATAAAATTACTTGACTTTGCAGGGGTGGCTCCCACCTGTGGAATGGTATCCCCAGGGAAACACACCTGTCTCCATCATTATCAAGTTTCAAGGAGAAGTTTCCAAGCGCCATTACCTCTTGGCACACGTTACAGAACAGAACCTTTTGGAACCACGAAATTGATTCGCTGGACCGTATTTTCCGCAGAACTCGCATTTCAGCAGATTCCCTTTCTTGTCTTGCTCTGAGGAAGCAAGAGAAGCAGACACTTAATAGTTAGTAAAATAACTAGCTTCATTAACTAGCAACATCAGAATGCAAGCATAAGTTTGTCTGTTTGATAGCAAGCTATACTCTCTGCTGAAAGCCAAGTATGGGAGACTCCCCAGAGAGAAAGAACTGGAAACCCCATTAGCCATTAGCTCTGCAAAGCTGTGTGTAACAAAAGCACATCCCTTGTTCCCCTATGCTTATTTTGAGAGTGTGAAGTGGTGCTCTTCCTTATTCCACAGATAAAATGGGTAGTGCTTTAGTATAAACCATGTGATCCAATACAGCATCTCCACTCCTCCTTTCCCCTGGGCACCCTTTCAAGAAAGAGGAATTAAAGCTAAGCATTTGGCTTGGCTCTCAGTAACCTACAGGTTTGACAAAGGTGAAAAATGTGAACATAGAACTTGAAAGACCCATACCCCACCCTATTCCTTCTCATTGACTACAGTCCCTAGAGGGGACTCACCTGCAGCAATGCTTTCCCCTCCTGGGGAGTTGCTAGGCTGGTTCTCAGTTTGCCTAGCGGGAACTCCTCCCTGAAGGGGCTTTTCAAATTCTTTTAGGAGCTGAGAGCAGCTCACCTGCATTCAAGACAGTGGAAGGGGGAAACCCGAGTCAGAAAGCAACTTTGTGCAAGAGTTTCATTGTCTGATGCCAAGCATGCTTCAACTACAGGACTAGTAGAATTTCTTTCCTGGCTAACATAAGCCAAGTTAGCAAACGGATCATGCTGGCAGAACAAAGAGAGAAAGAAGCAGAGAGCAGTCCCTGCCCTAGATACCCCAGGCTGAACCCTCTTACCGGAAAAGGCTCTGCCCCTTCCTGAATGACAAAGCCCTCTATGATGTGCGTAAGAATCTGAGGCTTGACAATGGCTTGCGGAGGTTTGGAATCTCCCGTCTGGCGTGACAACATGGCTAAGGTAGGCATAGGAGCAGCTGTAGGAGTGACAGAGCTGGAGTCACTTGGAGGTGCATTGGGGGAGGCACTGGGGAGGGACTCAGATTTCTCTGAAATAACAGAAGCAGCATTAACAAATTAGACCCATCTGAGTTCTGTATGCAACTATGCAAATTATGTATTTGCAAATTATGTATTTGCATACATTAAAAAAATAGGCGGAATTGGTTTGGTTTGCGACATCTGTGGACTGCAAGCGTTACTGTATCAGTATGGCTTGCATAGGGCATGCAGAGCTGGGCAGAGAAAGCTGCAGGTGTCCACTATGGCAGGATAGCTCTTGCTCATTGTCAACTTCAAGTCACGGATGCCAAATACACGAGATGATCACATGTTGACCAAAGGCATTCCCAGGACTGCATTTGTGAGCCGTGTAAGGAAGAAAGTTAAGCCATAAAACAAGTCCTGATCCAAATCATTTCCCCCAAGATTCAGAAGCTTCACCTGTGGTTTATGTGTGTGTTTTAAAGTTAAACACCATCACCCAGATTCCGCTCTGTGTACAGGGGCATTCATTTATACATTCCACCCTGAATCTGCCACCAGGCCTAACCACTTATCTGCTCTACAGGGAGCAGGCAGAACTTACCCCTGTTCCCTTCACCTCCAAGGCCCCCCTTATCTTCTGTGGCTTTGGGACTCTCTGCCACAGGAGACGACTTAGCAGGCAGGAGAGAAGGTGGTGCACTGGAGTCATCCCTCTCCTCTTCCGATTCTGCTTTGCGCTTGACTGCCGAAGTCTGTGGCTTGCTCTGTGTGGGAAGATGGGAAGGGACATGCAGATCCAAGAGAAGGAAGGAAATAATTCTATCCCAGACACTAAATAGGCAGCAAAATGCTGCTAACCTCCATAGGCTGCATGCAAAGAGATGCAAGTGGACATCACACCACAGGGATCTGCTTCTTCTTCACGCTGCATTTCCTTGCACCCCCACCCCCAAAAGCCATTCCTGAAGGTCTGGAACAGCATGGTAATAGTTTTGAGAATTCAAGTGACTGAAGGCAGAAAATAGGAAATGGAACTGCACCACAGTGGGCACAATCTACCAGGAAATTTTCCTACAGTGCCTTCATTAAATTAAACAAGAGCTGCAGTGTTGTTCGAGTGCAGTAACTTTGTGGATTGGAGGGAAAGGCCTGATAATAGATGGAACCACTGGGTGAGCTACAAATTATGATCTCCCAAAAAGCGCCATGAGAAAACCTTCCCAATTGCTTTACCACCTTCGAAAGATCCCTATCCAGATGACGGCATTTCACAGCTCACCCACTGTCTTGTAAAAAAAGACTGGGAAATGCTACCCAGACACCACAGTCTACAGTCCGTTCCTGGTAACCAAGGCTACTAGGGAGACTGTGAAATAGGCAACATACTAAGACAAATGCAGTCCACCAGTCACATAAAACAGCACACAAAAAGCTAAATAACCTTCCTGTTTAGCTGCTTTCCTAGGTCACCAAATACGAGAGGATTGTAAAACAGCAAGCAAGCAGACCACCAACCAAACATGGCAGATAGACCATATGCTTTGCAGGCCTGACTGTACATGGTAAAGGGAGTGACTCTCAGTTACTGGATAGCTAAGGCTATGTCATATCCCAAAGCCACATGTGTGAGCAAGTGCGGATTTTGCTCCCCCCCCCCCAACATTCCTACTGTACTTGTGAGGTAACTTACAGGTAACTGGACAGGCTGCACGTAGTAGGCAGATGTTTGTGCCTGAGCCATGACGGGAGAGGAAACCGTATTCTTCACCTGGGTCGTGCCCTGGACTTGGGCCACGTTGACCCCCGAAGTGAGCAGTGGAGGAGCTTCTTGTAGAGGAGGAGGAGAACAAGTAGAAAAGGAGGCAGAAGAGGTCTGGGACAATGAGGATGCCGTGTGGGCCTGGGACACCGGCTGGACTACGGCTGGCAGGCCCCGGGGGGCCTGCACTGCTGTGTTCATCTGCGGAAGACCCAGTGCCTGAGCCTGGCCTGAACCTTGCTGGCGGCTGCCAACAACCTGCACTGGGATATGAGGCGGGGGCTGCTGAGACGCCGACATTTTGGCGGCCCCGAGCTGCGGAGACTTGAGGGGGGCTATGGGGGGCTTCGACTGAATGGGGACAGGCGTCTTAGTAGCTGCCTGGCAGAGGTTCTCCTGCTGGAGCTGCACCGGCTGAGGTTGTGACTGCAGCATGGGCTGGACGACAAGGGTCTGGGCTTGCTGTTGGCCCTGGAGGGGTGGGGCCTGCTGCTGAGCCTGCGCTGGCCCCTGCTGCTGCTGGGCCAGGGGCGGAGCTTGCTGTTGCTGCTGCTGCGCCAGCTGGAGGTGTGTGGCAGTGTGCAAGAGCTGGGACTGGCGGTGCTGGAACTGCTGCTGGTGATGGATGGCGATTTGCTGCTGGATCACCACTTGCTTCTGGAGGTGAATCTGTTGTTGCTGCTGGATCAGCGAGTGAGGCTGGATTTGGGTATATGTGGCTGTAAAGTATTAAAAAAACTCACAGTATTATGACACACCATCGGGGTGCACACCGCTTTATAAAGCAATTTAGGCAAAAGAGACCAACCCCAAGAAAACTGCAATCTTGGGCAAGGCCAGGCCACAAGGGTAGGAGGTGAGCAAAAGCAGTTGAATACACTTAAGAGTGGGGAGGTACGGTTGCTCAGTGGCAGAGTGCAGTCCCTAGCCCAAACTCTGGCATTTCCAGAAAAGGAACTAATGTAGTAGAGCTGAACAGGACCTCTGCCCAAGACCTTGAAGCTACTGCATGCATCACAAAAGTGGCACCTGCAGGCACCCAAAGAGGTCTTCATTGACACTTACTCCTCTCCCTCTGCAACTGGATTTGATGGGGAAAGAAGAAAACAAAACTTTTTTTCAAAGCCAACTGGTGCCTAGGGGTTTGGGAGGAGGCACACTGTTGTGAGGCATGTGTGGTGCCCATGACAGTTTCTCTGGAAATATGCCCAGAAGCCCAAAAGGGCTGGTGTCCCCACCAATACAGACTAGAAGGACAAGCAGAAGGCAGCTTTATATGCTTCACATCTCAGTAATAAGCCATCAGCGCAAAATGAAGGAAGTGAGTGAGAGTACACTCTCCAGGGCACATCGACTCCAAGCCAACTGCCCAACAAGAAGCAAGCAATGGGCTAAAATAGATTGCAGCCAATCTGCCCTGAGCCATCCAGCAAGGGGCTGTACAATTGTGAAGATGGTGAGCCTGGTTAAGGGGTACATGGATAAAGGTATCAGTCAAGTCACTGGAAGGGTCACCAGTAAGGAAAGCATGAACTGTCACCTACCAGAACTGATCAAGGTCTGGCTTGGGGCTGGTGTTGCTGTCCTGGTCAAGTTCATGCCTACAGTCTGTTGACCATTACCATCTGCTTCAGCCTTCTTTGCTGCTGCATTTTCTCCTTCCGTCTGACTTCCCTGGCTCACAGTCACTGCCTGGGCAGCAGAAGCCACCGGTAAAGGCTGAACTACACCAGTACCCTTCCTCTGGCAGCTGCCCCCTGGGCCGGATGAGGCTGCTTGGCTTAGCCCGGAAGTAGTGTGGCTCCCCACTGAAGATGCCACAACCCCAGAGATGCCATTGCTTCCCGCTGCCCCTTGACTGAGATTAAGTGACTGGCCTACATTGCCAGAAGCGGCTTGAGTCACTGTCAAGGTCTGGCCAGCATGGGTGGCCTGGGGTAGTACTGAAGACTGGGAATTCCCGGATAAAACAGCCTTTGGAGCAGAAGCCTGGAGCTGTGCATTAGCTGCTGAGGTCTGCTGACTTCTAACAGCCAAATTCTGCACCTGGGAAAAAATGCAGAGAGAGAGATAGAAAAAGAAAAAGAGGGAGAGAGAGAAATAAATGACTCATTAGCTTCAGGTTACAAGAGGCAGGGACCCCTGGTATCTACTCTGGCTTAACCAGCAGTAAAAACTGACCATGCTGAACAGCTGTTAGGAAGCTCTTTTCACTTTTATTTTGGTGCTGCACCCTTTGTCTTGTACCCAAAAATAAGTGTCACAAGGTACTACAGGGAGTGAGGAATCAAGCTTTTTATTATTTTAAAAGGATCAATCCTTTAAAATCGCAGCTCGTTTCTTCCTCATTTTCAGTAAAATTAAAGATCTCATGGCACTTTCTGTAAGGAGCTTAAAGACAATCCATTTAACTCAACCCTGTGCAGTCACCCTCATTGTGTTGAAAGGCTGCTCTCTCAAACTGAACCTTGTATATTTGTTTTATGGTTCTCTTTTGTAAGCTATCTAGATTTAAATACACATTTTCAAATAAATAAATAAAAATTAAAAGAAAAGAAACTGAACCTTTTCTCTCTGCAACCCCTTGGTGCACAGCTTGGTGCACACTAGGGCCTAACATATATTATTGCCTGTGTTTGGATACACTTTCTCCTAATGCAGTTTTGGGATAAAAGATTACTTTTACCTAAAAACCACTAATTGAGATAGAAAATAGATGCAGAGAAGTTAGTTGCGAAATGTCTTTAAAGGCTCCAAGAAATGCTGGGGAGGAAGAAGGAGGAGGAGGAGGAGGAGGAGGAGAAGGCAAGATATGTAACAAGCGGCAAGCCACAGTCAAAGCCTAAGCAACACTGAAGGTCCACAGAGGTCGTTTCTCCTGTCTTGTCAAATTAGTCGTTGGCCTCCCCTTCCCCCCACTTTACCTGGAAAAACCCTCATCATGCAGAAACAGGCACCTCAGGTTTCTGGAGCCCCATCAAGTCTGATTGTTAAATCTGGAGTACTTGTCAAGCGGCAAACAGCACATGTTCTTCGCATCAGGATGAGAATACAAGGGCATAACCAATCAATGGGGGATAACCAATCAATGCAAAAAGTGCAGCTGACTAGCTAGCTTCAGTCATCTGCAAGCATGAACCCAGGTTTTGAGAACCGGAAGGCCACTGGCTGAAGTGTGCAGGGACTGAGTGGAATGGGGATGTTCTTCTCATGGGATGTTTGAGCCAGAGGGACACACCCGAGACTGGGGCAGGCCAGGCTGGTCATGGGAACCCCAGAAGAGGGTGTCACTGACCTGGTCTGTGTCTGTGTGGACCCCAGGAGAATGAGTGGGTGGTGCCTCCTGCTGAACAGCAGCCACGGCCCCGTTAGGCATCAGGATGAGCTGGGAGGTAAGAGGTACATTGCGGCCCAAGGTCCGGTTCACCTGCAACAGGTTCCCCAGCTGCGGCTGTTGAGGGAGGGTTAGGTGGTGTGGAGATGGGAACAGCAGGAGGGAGAAAAAGGAGGAAAGAAAGCGAACCACAAGCAAATAGGTTATCACGGTGCATGGGGCCTAGGGTCTCCGATAAGACAGCCATTCTGTCTCAGCATTTTCCTCCATCATGGCCACTTTGCAGGCGGTGGAAAGTAGGTTTATTATTTCCAAAAGCCAAACCACCTCCACCTCTCCATACTGGGCCAGCAGCATAGGTTACCTATAGGTTTGTGTGGCAGATGTTAAGCGTGGAGTGAAGGGAATGAGGGACCCCTGCTAGCTTAGATCAACTGCAAAACTTTTTTTTTTCCATACTGAAAAGCTGTAACCAAGATAACTAAATATAATCTGAGGCCAAACAGATCAAAAGGAGTTTGCTATTTCACAGATATGCAACCAAGGTCAAGGATGGAAATGTGAGGAGGGGAGAGTACAAAGAAGTGTGTTTCTCATTTAGCCTAATTAAGAAGATGGCTTTCCGGAAACTCTTTAAAGAACAGAAGAGAAAGCATTAAAAGTCAGGGTATTTAAAATGGATGAAATGGAGTCGTATTTCAGATGAGCACTTTATCAAGGCTGCTTTAAAAGAGATCTGTTTTGTAATGCATTACATAAAATCGTACCAAGTGCCATGGGGTCTTTAAGATTCATGGAAAATAAAACTGCAAATGACACTAAATATCCTCTGTCCCTGTAGTACATCTGCTGAATTGAGAATCAACCAACTGTTCAAGGGAACAGAGATTGCTAACTTTTGTCTGAGCACAAAATAGCAGACTGTATGAAAGCTGGAGATTCATCAGAGGGCTGCGAGGTATTTATGATGGGTGAAAGCAACACGTGTACAACTCTTACCCGAAGGTACATCTGAGCTTGTGACTGGTTAAGAGGTGGTGATGTGGTGTTACCAAGGAGCACCGATTGTGTCAAGGTGGTGGCACTAGGTGAACTCACACTCTGCGAACGGCTGATTAACTGTGCAGCTGATGTGGTAGCCAAATTAATCTGTAAAGTGAAAAGTTGGTGTGGAGGGAGGGGGTAGATGAAAAGTAATATTAACAGAATCTAAGCTAGAAACAATTTCAAAGAAAGTGTGGCTGAACTCCAGCAATACGACTGGAACAAGGCCCACCAGCCACTTTCATGCTCCCCTCCCAAACTCACCTTGTTAAGAGCCCAGAAATTATCTGAAAGAAAAGTGTGTGGGGAACACAACCCACTCTTTTCAGCAGCCCTACCAGGCTATGTGAAAAGGAGCAGGGGAGGGGAGGGGAGTGCAGCAGCTGCTTTCCAAAACCTCTTTGCTCAAATTATTCTCAGAACTTCAGCAACTGGAAGAACATAACAATGGACTTGCAAACAATGACCATTCGATTATGATTTCTGCACCAGAAGCACTAAATAAAAGCAGCATATGCAGTTTTATTATCAACAGGCGACAAGTGCTTGACACAGCCCTCTTCTGTAGATGCTAATGTTCCCCTTTTATTCAGTTATCATTAGGAAGGAATATCCCCTCTAGGGATGCTGCTCAGTCTTCTCACTTGCAAATAAGGAGCTCCCATTCTCTTTTTCCACCCTGACTGACAATACTATCTACAGTCATACCTCATGTTATGTTTGCTGCTGGTTGCGCGTTTTCAGGTTGCGTCCTGCGGCGTCCCAGAAGTACCGGAAAGGGTTACTTCCGGGTTTCGCCACTCGCGTATGCGCAGACGTGCAAAATGACATTACGCGCATGCACAGAAGCGGCAAATCACGACCCATGTGTGCGCAGACACAGGTTGTGTTCTTTTAAGGTTGCGAACGGGCCTCCGGAATGGCTCCCGTTTGCAACCAGAGGTACCACTGTACTCTCCTCCACCAATACTAGCAAACATTCTCTCAACATTGAAGTTACCCATCCATAGCCAACTAATTCTCCAAGAAAACAGACATCGGTTGCCCAATCATTTGAGGGCAAGTTAGCTGCTTACCGAAGCCTGTGTAGTAGCTGTCTGTTGAGAAGTGCTTGTGTTTGGAGAGCTTGCTTGTCGGCTCGCTGCAATTGTAGCCTGTAAGAAACATTATATATTCTTCCAAAACCAAGATTTAGCCAAGGGCCCCATTATTCCCATGTTTTCTGGTCCTCAAAAGGTAAAACACAACAAAATGGTCATTAACATCTGCCTCGTGTTTATTTCTCTAGCTTAGTTGAAATGCAGCTGCTATACCAGGGGTGGCTAACCTTTTCCTCTCTATATGTTGCTGGACTACAATTCCCATCATCTCTGGTTATTGCTCATATTGCTTGGAGCTTATGGGAATTGTACTGCAGCTGCAGGGCCAATGGTAAGCCACCTCGACCCTTCAATGTAATTAAACTTGCCCCTCTACAATGCTCCCCAACAAAGCGCAAAAGAAGTGAGGAATTAATCTATCATCAATACATACTCTCTCTTCAATCAGACAAATAACCAGATATCTTAATTCTGTTTAAGAATCAGTGTAGGCTGAAGCTCCCATTTATTTAGATGATTTGAGCAAATCGTTGGTATTTCTAGATGTGAGGGAGTTGGGAGTACAGTTTGTGATGTGCAAGACAAGACCTTTAACCTGCTATAAAAGCATTTTGAAAGCAATGTAGCCATTGCTAAGACAATGGCAGGTGCTGGGCAAGACCTTTTACATGGGCAGAAGGGAAGTATTTTCATCACAAGCTACAACTGACAGCTACACCTGCTCTGTCAGAATAGGCATTTATCAGACATAGAAAAACACCTACTCAGGTTCACATCTACAACACTAAGTCAAGTTGTTTCAAAACCTCTCAGGGAAATGTGGAACAGACTTAACATCATTTTCAACACACGTCATCTAAATTATTATCACCTTCCCAACTTTTACCTGTCAGGAACAGAACAGTTAACTATATAAAAGGGAGGGAAAGGAAACTGATAATCTAAAGGAGGACTATTTTAAATTCAAGTTTGTTTGTTTTTAAGCTGGGGATGGCAGAGGGGGGCAAACAGAAACAAATAACAAAAGTTAGCAAAATGCCCTGCTTCATGACTCATGTGTAGAGTATGAATGGAAAGGTAGTTTGTAAATTATAAGGAAGGTCTGCAGGAAGGTACATCCCTTTCCACACCGCACCTTCCTGCAGGATCTCTGCCAGCAAGAGCCATGCCACCAAATGTAAGGGGTGAAAGCGAAGTTTTGTCTTTAACTGCAACTGTGTCCCAGAACCAACCTGGAGTGCTACAGCTTGTAGTGAACTAGCTGGTAGATAGAAAAGTTCAAAATGCATGTAAAATCATATACAGGCAATGACCATTCTGTGCATGACCAAGGCACACATGACTACAAGCACACACATCATTTTTGGCCCCAGAAGTGGGCAGGGCAGGCTTACATGTGCTCCGCCAACACATGGGATGACCCAGAATGCAATCCCCACGCAAATGGGGAGTTGCCTGTACTGGAAAACCTGTACCAATAAGCTCTTAAAGAGGCAAGAGTTAATAAGCATTTTTTTTTCCAGAGCAGAACAATTAGTGTCCACTAAGTCCATTACTGTGAAAGTACAACGTTCTTTTCCCTTCCTTTGAGATCCCCTCTTTGGGCCCTATCCATCCAAAACCTCATTTGTTTATTCCAAACTAGGTGTTTCACTCTTCCCTGTTTTAGGTAACTCCTGTCTTTTGAACAGTCTGTCTCACCTGCTGGACTGCAGCCAGACTGTGTAACTGAGCACTGTTGAGCTGCTGTTGGAGCATAAACTGGTGGAAATACTGGGCTGCATTGGGCTGCCTCTGCAGTGCTTGAAGCGCCTGTAATAAAAAAATTTAAAAAATAAAAATTCAGAATACAAAACAGAACACATCCTAACATGCCCGAGGTCTCACAGGACAAAATAAGTGAAAACATATAGAATCACAGCCCCCTATCAGCAGATCTGGACCACCACATATTTATTAGTGGAATAGCAGAACATTAGGCTAAAAATGGTTCCACCAGCTTAATTAGAATGGCCAGGAACACAATAATCCTTAGATCTATTAGGTATTAAGCAGGATCTAGCAATGCATGGGGCATGTTTGATGCCTCACATTGATTTTCCTAGGCCATTGGATAAGGAAGGAGTGAAGAACTGAAACTGGTCAAAGGATTTGATCCTTACCACCCCACTCCTGGGGACCAACTTTGACAACTTCAAAGGGACTGATCAGCTGATTGACAGTTACAATGAGCCCCTCTGAAGTACATTTGCTGGCAGATTGGATTCAAACTGTACGTACAAACTCTGCAGCTGTCTGCAGAGGGAAAATATCCATTTTCAGGTGCAAATGGACAAAGTGGGGCTTGCAGCGAGCCCTCTTGAAGGCACACTGCCAGTTCCAATCGCATCACTGATGCTTAAAGCACACCTTCAAAGGGACACACGGATAGGCACTGACAACAACACATACACCCTGCAAAGGCATTAGGGAATTCCTGATGGAGAACTCCTTAGTGCAGCTGATCCCAGTGGGGCTTGCTATCAGTGCCAATCAAGCAAACCCTCACTTGATGCTCCCAATAGCTCCTTTGGAGCTACCTACTTACCTGCCCCAAACCTGACATCAGGTATGGTGGGGAGTACTTAGGGGGATACTGCCCTGCAGACTAAACTGGGAGCTATGCTGAAATTAACAACTGCTTTGCTGCTTCCTGCTCTGGGCATCTTCAGGAAGAAGAGCAAAACAGCAATTGAATAAATAATAAGGCCTGTAATTTGGAGATTCACCACCCTTGAGATAAGGAGAGGTATTCACTTCTCAAGACTGGCCTCTTGTTTCCTGAAGAGAAGGCTGTCTGCTTCTCCTCTTATGTGAGGAACATAACCAATTCAGTGCTAGTCTCCTACAGGTTCACTGCACTGGCTAAGCCTCTGGAGCAATTTCCCCTGTGCTCATAAACAGGGCACCTACTGGCTAAGCAGCAGTTTAAAGTGATGTGCTGCTACTCTGATGATGATACCTTCCAGGGCAGTTTTTCCCCAAGAACAAAGATGGTCCCCCACCTGCACTGCCTGCCGCTCATATAGAGTCATCTGAGAGATCTGAGGGCGAGTGCTTCCTCCAGAGCTTGAGCTGCCACTAGCAGAGTTTGAGTTTTGCTCGCTTTCCGTCTCCATAGTGTCAGGTCCCCAAGATCCTTGCCTGAAGCTTTGTCTCAAGCCCTAGATGAAGAAAACTGGGGGTTAGCTCATGTCACAGAAACTACAACATTTATCTCCCCCTGCATTATAAATTTATGGAACCCTTCCTTCCTAAGCTCATCATCACACAGCTTAACCAAAGCCTCTAAAATGTCTTTCCTGGGCTACAATACTGAGAGAAGAATCTGTGGGACCCCAATAATTGAGGCTATATTTAAAATAACCATTAAAATCACACATTTTGATATGCAAATTCCTCCAGATGTATAGCCATGATTCTATAGCACTAAAGCAAAGTTAGGTTACCTGTGACGGTTTAAAGACATGGAAGTCAAGAACAATGTAGATTATTCATAACAAGCATTCATCACTGGGGCTCATCATAGTTTTGTTTTTGTTTTTTTACCAGGAAGCATAAGGTGGGCAAAGGAATATCTGACGGGCTTATACAACATACGGGCTTATGCATGTAACAAATAGGAAGTTTCACAAGAACCGCCTAATGGATTAAGTACCAACAAGTTTTCTTCTAGCACCACGCTCAGAAATATGCCTGGACTTCTTTGGGGATGTGTCAGGGCACTGGAATGGTTTTGTATCAACTTCCTAGAATGCCCCCACAAGGGTGGAATCCGAGAGGGAGACTCTGACTGTCCCACACTGGAGCCCGGTGAGAAATATAGATCTGAGTTATCCTATGGCCCTGGGATGCTGTCCTTGGGACTGTAAGATTCCACCCTTGGTATAGAGGTGACTCTCAACTTACCTGCGGGTTTCGTTCTGGCGCATAAAGCCAAAATTGAGTATGGCCAGAATACATTTGGTTCAATGGCAGGTGAGATTGTCAAAGTCTTTTTTTCCTGGACACCCACCCCCTTTCCATTTTTTTTTAAAAAAAAGATTTGCCAAGCGTGTTAAGCTGAATGCGCACAAGTTAAATGTGCGTAAGTTGTGAGTTACTTGTAAGGCTATGTCCAAACAATTCAAAGCTTTACATGGAAAATGTGTTTATTGCAATACTTTAAAATACTTTAAGCAGAGCATACTCAAGAGCATACACTTTATTTGCATTGTTGGATTTTAAGGAAAGCATACCGAAAGTATTTTCGGTCCATTTTCTGTAGCAGCTCAAACTACCAGGATCTGAATACAGTCTCAAACCACATAAAGGGGGCGACTGTTTTAGGTGTGTCCAATTGATGCACAACGCATGGGTCCTTTTAGACTTGGAAGAGGGCAGAACGGAGCATGGAATCCTTATGCACATTCCGCCAACATGTGCAGAGGGGCCAAGAATGGAACCCCTGTGCAAAATGGTCACCGTTTATACAATACAGTGGTGCCCCGCAAGACGAAAAACTCGCTAGACGAAAGGGTTTTGCGTTTTTTGAGTCGTTCCGCAAGACGAATTTCCCTATGGGCTTGCTTCGCAAGACGAAATGTCTTGCGAGTTCTTGCGAGTTTGTTTCCTTTTTCTTAAAGCCGCTAAGCCGTTAATAGCCGCTAAGCCGTTAATAGCCGCTAAGCCGCTAATAGCCGTGCTTCGCAAGACGAAAAACCGCAAGACAAAGAGACTCGCGGAACGGATTAATTTCGTCTTGCGAGGCACCACTGTATAACCAAGTAATACATAGATTCGTCATTTTCCTAATTGTACACCATTCTGAACTGTGCTTAGCTTTTTAAAAAAGAAAATTTAAAATAGAAGAGTATGTAGAACAAAGGGGAGATACAGATATTTAAGGCAGTCATTACGACTGGGCTTGCAAAGTGTTTCACATCCTTAAGTATAAGGATCAAATGTTTTAACAGCTATGATTTTTCCAGCTTGGCATTATATTAAATCTTATTAACAGCATTACAGCCTTAATACATAGCATTACGAAGAGACCTGCATCACAAGAAAGGTTCATTATTTGTGTGATGAAGCATGGAATGTTGGAAGAAAAGCAACATACTCCACCAACTGAATTCAAATGTTACCTTCCCAAGTATTGCATTTATTATATAACTGATTTACACATTTGCAGATCATATTTATATACTTATCTGAGGGTGGAATATTTGTTTTTATAACTTGTTTTTAATTACGAGCATTGTGGCAGAAAGCAGGGTATGAGTAACTGATGAGATATCAGCCTGTGAAACTCAAATTCCCTCCATAATTTTACCAAATCATACAGCCACTAGCTTTTGTTAATAAGTCTATCTGTACAGATCTGACTGAAAACCTCAGCACCTCTGGCTTTTATAGCCCAATATTAAGTGCCAATGCACATCCTATCTAAATTCAGAAGATGTGCCCAAGCATGGAGAATTATTTAAACTGCTATCTATCCACACAGCAGTGGCTCTTTCAAGATTATCAAATTTTAGTTGCAACTTGTTTCTTACAGACATTCTATTACAGGGATATTGCAATTTCCTAGAACTAGCTATGCTGTATTTATCAGAAAACCCAATAATTTTCCAAGATAGCACATGCATCGTCCCTGCAGCTTCAAATACAGGTTCATTAATATTCTGATTTTCAAAGCTGTGAACTTTGTCTCCCCAGTTGTGGGGTACACATTTAATGTAATTATTTGTTGCCTGAAATAATAGATACAAAACTGTATAGTCAAGAGTGCTATGAGATCCATCATGGGAGAAAGGTGGGATATAAAGGTGCCAAATATTTGAGGACTACACTGGCTGCTGCAGAGAGTGAATAAATTTAAATTAAACCAAATTTTAATTCAATTATTTTTAATAGAAATGACAGTAATTACTACTTTTTTGTTTTAAAGGAAATCTTAAGTTAATGCAAACAGATATGTTAAAATCTACCCCACTTGAAATTGAATCATGACTATATCAGACACACTGAATTAAAGTTGTTTTTTTGTTTCAACAGAAAAAACAAAGGGAGGGAAATTTCACTTTTGAGGTTAAGTATTACATGTGCCACACTATAAGCTTGTTCAGACAATCGTATCTCAGACTATTAAGACAATATGCATGTGCTTTTGTCACACACAAAGGTCTATTGTACATGCTGCAATTAAACCAGGAAGCTTCCAATTAACTGTACTTTCCCACTTCATCCAAACTAGCAAAATGTTATCAGCTTTGGAACAAGCCAGGATATTACACCAAAGTTTGAAGCCAGCATATTAGCCCAGTAAGGTTAATTAGAGGTTTCTTGATTTAATCAAAGCTTACGGCAAAGGGAAAAACACAGAGACGGCCTATGCAGGCAAAAGGCTTGGGTATATCACAACTTTATAATCCAAGGTATGATTGGTCTAAATGTTGCCATAAATCATGAACTGTATTTATTATTATACATCTTCTGCTGGACCCAGGGCCAGGAAGCAGGGTGGATTTGATTTAAATCAAATCGATTTAAATAACGATTTAAAGTACTAGTCAGTAAGACTTGATTTAAATAATTGGTTTTTTAAAAAAACATTCCTGCTGGTATAATCTTAATATTTACAACCAGATGAAGGTTTGATTTTTGGAATAATAAATTTTCAGAGTAGTTTTTACAGTTATATCAAAAATTACAGATTTGGTTATACTATTAGAAATACATAGACAGATAATTATGAAATTATTGTGAGGCTTAATAAGTTAACTGTTTATATTTGGACAACTTTTCCACTGTACATTATTGGAAGAAGAAAAATAATAATTTCCTTAATAACAATTTGAACATTATAGTATATGTATCAATGTTTGTTAACTGATGTGGTTAAACTTTTTTTTTAAAAAACAACCAACTTAGACTGAGTTTCAGCACACATGAAGAACTTAAAACAAATCCTTATTTCCTGATTATAGCCTTTGGACTATAATGTAACTTAAATAGAAAACTATCTTTAGAAATATTTTTCCCTCCAAAACATTTTATTTTAAAAATCCAATTTAAATCAAAATAATCAATTAAAATTTTTTTAAAATCCCATTTAATTTTTTAAAAATCTGATTTATTTATTTTTTAAAAAAAATCATTGATTTTTATCCACCCTGCCAGCAAGCCATCAGTGGCTCAAGGATCCAGTATTTCACCAGGATCCTCCACTGAACCAGCAGGGTGATCTGTACATACCGTACTTGTTTTATATCTTCTGATGGAGGGATCTTAAGAGAGCTGTGCATAAACAAATGCTAGCAAACCTCAATGGACTGAAGCAAACTTGTAAAAAAAGAGTGGACCAAAATTCTTCCACAAGGATGTAAGAGACTGATGAAGTCTAAATTATTTTTATAGCCTCTACAGGTATTAAATCTGCCCCTGGGGCTTTCCCGTTTCAGTTGGGCTACCAGACTCTAGATCAGAGGTCCACAAACTAAGGGCCATGGGCCGGATAAGGGACTTGTTTATCCGGCCCACACCCCCCCAGCTCTTACCGGCGCTGCGCTGCACGGCTGCCCACTTCCAGGTCGGAAGAGCACCGGAAATAGCTTGTGCACATGCACTATTTCCGGTGCACATCTGGGTCAGAGGAGGTCTGTGCACATGTGCACAAGCTATTTCCGGTGCTCCTCCGACCCAGAAGTGCGCCAGAAATAGCATGTGCGCACGCATATGGGCACGTGCTCCCCCGCCCTCTGGCCCGCCGCACGATCGGCGCTGGAGACACTGGCCCGAGACCTGGTAAGTTTGCTGACTCCTGCTCTAGATCTCTTGACGTTGTCTGGGCAGCATGAAACAACAGAGCATGCCCTTCTTCATTTCCAGTATTACACAGACAGGTTTATCCAACCCATCTTATATAAGTTCCCTGGGCATTCAAAACAACACAAGATCTCCCTGTTACTACAGGACAAAAGCCCAGAAATTACATATTCAGTCACCAGATTTTGCGTTGCCATGATAGATATTCATCGAAGGATGGTCTATGATACAATTCAGTCCTAAATTGAAGGCCCATATTGTTAGATCCACTCTTTTGAAGCCCTACATAGTTGTTTTAACTGGTCTTTTTAAAATTTTCTCATCAGTTTTTTTCATCCTTTATTTATGCTTAATTAAGTATTCTATGTATAAGGTTTAAGCTATGTTTGGTTCTTGCTCCCAATTATTTAATAATTATTTGCTTAGACTCTTACTGTTATACTATTTATTTAGATGCTCTGCTTATGCTGGTCTGTGACCGTAATAAAGTAAATTTCAACTGATGAAGTCATACAGAAAATGATGATTTATTGCTGCTGAAGGTGGTTCATGAGGTCTACTTAGTTTTTCACACACAGCTTTTCCACTTTGGCTTTATTTCTGCTAAATAAATCATGACACTGTGTAGTATGTCATGTGCTGCTGTTCATCTGAGGTTGTATTTACCAAATTTTAAGACCTCATATGCAAAACCACAGAATTCAAGGAGTATGTACTTCCTTTTTCCCATGATTGTATAGGATAGCTTATGACAATCCTGGAACATTAGCTACTGTCACAAACTGAGATCAAGGGAACCCATTAGAGAAATCTCTAAATGCAGAATAGATCATGTAAGGAAGATTACGACTGAAGTCATAATACAGATAGTACGGTCAGAGAGTTAAGCATATGGAAAACATTTAATACATTTTACAGGAAGGTAAAGACAGATGATTTTCTGGTACTGTATATTACATTCCCTACACATAAACACATACCAGCAGCAGGCATACCCTATGAGGCTTACAGGATGGATTTTTGCTGCTGCTGCCACCTATATTTTATCTCTCGGGAAGAAAGCTCAACAAATGCAGCTCTGCAAAATTGGCATCAAGTAAATGTCCCATTGATTGAAAATAGGAACTTCCAAACATCATTCTTAGGAATAAATACATTTTCACCAAAGCAGCAAAAACATTCCCAAAATTTTGGATGAAGATATGTTTGGAAGGCCACTAACATCATTGAGTGTGTAACCCTCTTACCTCAATGCAAAAATAATTAATTACTGTAACACAGTCACTTTTCAGTGCCCGTTTCTGAAAGTTGGCCAGAGTATTGCAATACACAAGGTAGATTATCAATGCCAGTTTTCATACTGTTAAAATCAACACATTTTGTCTTATACTGGTATACAGCAGAAAAATAAGACACTTTAGCCACACCTGTGCCTTGAATCAACTGATTGAAAGGCACTATAACATATTTACTTATATTATTTATTTTTGGAAAGATATTTGCTAAGCCTGCATTTTTTACAACTTAGGACAGGGTGAATTTTTCATAGTGAAAGGAAATATAAAAGGGCACACTAGATAGTAGATCTTGCTACAGGGACACAAAAGATCTGTGCGCTAAATTCTACCTTGATCTAGCATATTTTGGGGAAAGTGGTTTGTTTTTCCTTCTGTTCTCTGTGGGTTTGGATGATTCTTGTTATATTGCTGTCAAACTCGGCACAAGGTTTCCCAAGGTGAGGGTATTAGTTTTCATCAACGCTGGACTGCTGGCCACCATTCTGAATCAACATTGTGGGCCCAAGCATTATTTTTGTGTGATCGCACATTTTAGGGCATGAAGGGTCTAAACTACAGCAATTTTGAAACTATTTGGCAGGTCTTTGTCACATCTGTCACGATGGTTATAACCTGCGCCTAACCTGGCATGAAAGGGCCTGAGGTGGACAAACTGATCTTCATCTACATTTGGACACTAGAGGCAGTTTTTAATCAATATGGTAGGTCAAATTAACCCTAATTAAACTTTAGTTCACAGAGAGAGAGAAATTGATTCGGGGTCATGCAGACCCCTGGGTTAGTGTGTGTATATGCACAGTCCTGTTACAGTGGTACCCCGCAAGACGAACGCCTCGCAAGACGGAAAACCCGCTAGACGAAAGGGTTTTCCGTTTTGGAGGCGCTCATAAAACAATTTCCTATGGGCTTGCTTCGCAAGACGACAGCCCATAGGAAATCTCAGGGACAGCGGGGAGCGCAGCGCGTCTTCCCACTGTCCTCGGACCTCCTCCGAAGCCTGGCGGCGGGGCGGGGACACCTCCTCCCGCCGCCGCCGGGCTTCGGAAGGCTCCTCCGAGCCGGGCGGGGAGGGAACACCTGCCGCCGCCGCCCGGCTCGGAGCGGTGCTCCGAGCCGGGCGGGGGAGGGAAGACCTGCCGCCGCCGCCCGGCCGGGCGGTGCTCCGAGCCGGGCGGGGGAGGGAACACCTGCCGCCGCCGCCCGGCCGGGCGGTGCTCCGAAGCCGGGCGGGGGAGGGAAGACCTCCCGCCTCTGCCCGGCCGGAGCGGTGCTCCGAAGCCGGGCGGGGGGAGGGAACACCTGCCGCCGCCGCCCGGCCCGGGACGGTGCTCCGAGGCCGGGCGGGGGGAGGGAACACCTGCCGCCGCCGCCCGGCCGGAGCGGTGCTCCGAGCCGGGCGGGGGGAGGGAACACCTGCCGCCGCCGCCCGGCCGGAGCGGTGCTCGGGCCGGGCGGGGGAGGAAGACCTCCCGCCGCCGCCCGGCTCGGAGCGGTGCTCCGAGCCGGGCGGGGAGGGAAGACCTTCTGAAGGCGGGCGGGGGCGAAAGTCTTTGCTCCCCTGCCTGCCTGTCCCGGAGGGCTTCTGAAGGCGGGGAGCAAAGACTTTCGCCCCCGCCCGCCTTCAGAAGAGGTCCAGGACCTCTTCTGAAGGCTGGCGGGGGCAAAGTCTTTGTCCCCCTGCCTGCCTTCCCAGGGGCTTTAAATTGCCCCGGACAGCGGAGAAGTCCTCCGCTGTCCCGGGGTGATTTTAAATGGCCGCCCGCCAGCATTTTAAGATCGCCCGGACAGCGGAGAAGTCCTCCGCTGTCCCGGGGTTTTTTAAAATGCTGGGGGTGGGAAGAAAAGCCCTTGCCCCCCCCCAGCCTTCAGAAGAGGTCCGGGGACAGACTGTCCCCGGACCTGAGTCTGAAGGCGGTTTCCCTAGGAACGCATTAATTGATTTTCAATGCGTTCCTAGGGAAACCGTGCATCGCAAGACGAAAAACTTGCAAGACGAAGAGACTTGCGGAACGAATTAATTTCGTCTTGCGAGGCACCACTGTATCTTTGTCCCCATGGAGAAGGGGACGACAGAGGATGAGATGGTTGGATAGTGTTCTCGAAGCTACCAGCATGAGTTTGACCAAACTGTGGGAGGCAGTGGAAGACAGGGGTGCCTGGCGTGCTCTGGTCCATGGGGTCACAAAGAGTCGGACACGACTAAATGACTAAACAACAACAACATGCACAGTCCTAAAACTTAAAAAAAATGCACTATCCACTTAAAAATATTTTGAGATTTATTCAAATTCCTGGGCAGTGCCAGGCATTTCCCACTAGTAATATATAAAAAAGGAGCATACTTTGGAGTAAAATGAAAATCTGATCTAAGTTTCAAATGTAAAAATCAAGTCTCAAACTGAAGACACTAAGATGGCCACGGCTGGTCCTCTCACAAGCCAATCCCATCTGACATAGGAAGTATTTCTATCTCTGACTTCTCACCAGAGAGAAACAATAATGATTGCCCTTCTAGAATTCTCCTAATCTTCAAACATCAAGACTGCTCTGCCCAACCATTTTCCATCACCAGAGAAAACTTCCAAATATTTTTGTTTAAAAAGCAGCTATACTGTTGCAAGCAAAGAAACCACACATCATCTGTTTTATCCTAATTATACATATTTCAATGAAGAGTGCTTCCCACTATGTATTGCCACAAAAAACTCATTTCTCATTTAGTTTGCACACTATTATATGTTGTCTATATACATTCCTTCATCTGCATAGAAAAAAGCAGCATTTAGTCACAAATAACCACAAACATAAGCTTCTGATGTTTTAGGTTGCTCATTGTTTACTTCTGTCCCTTCTACAGAAGGGACTGTTAGTTGATTGATTCCCAGATGTCCTGGATTAAACATATTCCACTTGAATCTAGGTAAAAACCCTGCTTATCCCTGGGCTTGAGTTAAATCATATGAGCAGATCGCTTTGGAGACTTCTTACAAACTTTGCGGTCAGCTCTCATGGTTCACCTGACCCCCCACTCAAAGGATTACAAACCAAATGGGAATGAAAATGTGAGTGGGAAAAGGCCATATAAGCTGCCATGATAACCAGCTCCCCTCTGGCCAGCAGTTGAAACAAACAATGTAATTTACTCACATAAGATTTGGTGTAAGGAGTTGCTACGAGTATCAGCCCTGTTTCGTATCTTGCCTCAACCAGGCATGTACTAAGTGGTTTCCATAAGGCACTGTTCTTCCAGCCTTAACATATAATAAATACTAGTTGTCCACTTTTCACAGCTGTTGTTAATGTTACTGAAGACCTTTCCACATGTGAAATATGCTGTGCAAGGGCTGCTTTAAAGCTGATGTGATCACAGCACCCTGATTAATGGATTAATCAGTCCTGTGCAACTCTTCCCAAATAGCAGCAGCTCCTGGTGCAAATCCACTCCATGTTTGTGCATAAGCATCAAATATTTCTAAGTTACATTTACCCACTGTAAACAGTTACCATATAAAAGCATATAGTAAAGCCTGGGGGTCAAGTGCAGCCCTCAATGCATCCCTATCTGGCCCTCAGGACTCTCCTCCAGGCCACACACCCTCCTTGGATGTTTTTGAACTCTGATTATGTCTCATTCCCCTGAATTGAGGATAAAGAGAGATACACAAATGTGTGTAGAAACAAGCCTAGCGTAGAAGGGTAGAAAAAATACATTAACTACTCCACCCACTTTTGCCGCTGCCCCTACCCACCACTGGCATGCGGGTCCTAGAAGACTGTAGCCAAATGGTATACAAATGTACAGCAAATAGTCTTGGCCCAAAAACTTACAAATAGGAAATAATCAGACAAGAGAACTTCAATACAGACTGGCATTGCTTCATTATGCATGTTAACTTATCAGTCTACTAAACGAGACTGCCATCAGCAGATAGAGACCCATGGAGAGACTATTAAGATAACGCTGATGCATTTTACTGTATATATCTGTGTACAAAGGACATGCTGAGATTGTTTTGTTCATGTCTTATTTTAAAAATGCCCAGAAGGGACTGCAGCCCTTACTCTGAATAACTTTCCAAACACTTGGTGTTTAGAAACCCATTATTTAATGCATTTCTCAACTGCTCAAACTGCTTAACACACATAATCTCACAAAATGCAAGGCAGGTCCATATTATTGTCCTCCTATTACAAAAGGTGGGGGTGGGGCATGAAGGAAACCCTAAATATTAAGTATTATTATCAAAGCCTCTTGCATGCAGAGGAAGCACGGTGGAAGCCTTGTTTTTTATATTGTATTTTTTATGCTCCAAACAATCCTGATATCTACGGGTAAGGGCGCTATACAAATTTAAAAAGCAATGATAAATAAGTAATAATAAACCAAACAGCAGAAGCAGCAAACCATGTGAAAGACAAAGTAATGATGGGAGACCCCAGAGCAAGACGAAAGCACTCTAGAGATAAAAGCCTCTTTTTTCTTTTGCAAAAGACTAAAAAACCCTGAAGACGCTCCACAGCCTAGAGCAGGACCAGGGCAAACACGTGTTTGCCGACACAGGTACCGGGGTTACCTGTAGCTTGCCTGCAAAACATGCACAGCCCAGACAGCACAACCCAGGTCTACAGGTCGCCGTAACGTGTGAATCAGCCCTGTGGGGTGTTTTGGAAGGAAGAGCACGGGATGCGATTTGGGGGGGAGCGGGGCGAAGCGGCCTCGGAAAGGCGGCTCCGGGGAGGCCCGATAACGAGCTAATAACGGGCAGCGGCTGCTGGCGAAGGGGGCGTGGAGCGGGGCGGGCGGCGCTGGCCGCCGCAGCGGGAACAGCCGGGGGCCGCCGGCGCTCGCTTACCTTCGGTTCCGCCTAGGCCCGGTACGTGCCCCGAGGGCGGCTGCACCTCATGAGGGGCCGGCGGAGGGCCAAGTGGGCCCCCTGCCTTGACGGGAGGCGGGGAGGCGGAGCCGGGGCCCAGCGGGGAGCGGGGGGGAGGGGCCGGGCGGGCTGAGGAACCGCGCCCCCCTCTGCGGGTGGGCCGGCCTCCCTGAGGACTAGCGCCGCTCTGCGCCCTCCCAGACGCGAAGACGCCGCCGCCTCCGAGGAATTTAATTTCTTTGGCTGCTGGGCTCCCCCTCCTCTCTCTCTCTCTCTCCCTCAGCCTCACCACTTCCTGCCAGAGGGGGCGCCGGAGAGGCGCTTTTCCGGGCCACGTGACCGCCCTGCCTCCGACTCCGCCCCGCGCAGGTTTTGCGGTTGCCATGGGGACGGGAAATAGGGCCTAGAGGGGCCTAGCGAGCCCCGCCCTCGCCTACTTTAGGGGGCCGAGCCGGCTCTCTGGTAGTAACAGTACTTTGCCACCTGGGCAGGTGCGGCTTGTCTTAGCTCGGCCCGGCGAGCGGTAGATCCCGCCGCATCTAGCGGGGCAGCGCGGACTCGAGGCCGATGCATCGCTCGCGATTCCCTTGCAGTGTTCACGCCAAGCGCACGCAGGCATGAATTCAGCCGGTGAAGCTCGAGGGGGAAAGTTGAACCTTCTGGCCTGTTGCGCGGCGCTCGAAAGAGCCCGTGATTTAAATAAATAATAATAATAATAAGACTGGCGCAGCCTTACCTGGACCGGTGTGTGTGTAAGCTTTGTTTGTTTGTTGTTTCGTCGTGTCCGACTCTGACCCCCTGGACCAGAGCACGCCAGGCACTCCTGTCTCCCACTGCCTCCCGCAGTTTAGTCAAACTCGTGCTGGTAGCTTCAAGAACACTGTCCAACCATCTCGTCCTCTGTCGTCCCCTTCTCCTTCTGCCCTCCATCTTTCCCAGCATTAAGGTCTTTTCCAAGGAATCTTCTCTTCTCATGAGGTGGCCAGAGTCTTGGAGCCTCAGCTTCAGGATCTGTCCTTCCAGTGAGCACTCAGGGCTGATTTCCTTCAGAATGGATAGGTTTGATCTTGCAGTCCATGGCTCTCAAGAGTCTCCTCCAGCACCATAATTCAAAAGCATCAATTCTTCGGCAATCAGCCTTCTGTATGGTCCAGCTCTCACTTCCATACAACACTAATGAGAAAACCATAATAATAATAATAATAATAATTTATTATTTGTACCCCGCCCATCTGGCTGGGTTTTCCCAGCCACTCTGGGCGGCTTCCATAGAAACAAAAAATACAGTAAAATATCACAGATTAAAAGCTTCCCTGAACAGGGCTGCCTTAAGATGCCCTCTAAATGTCAGGTAGTTATTTAGTGCTTTGACATCTGATGGGAGGGCGTTCCACAGGGCGGGCGCCACTACCGAGAAAGCCCTCTGCCTGGTTCCCTGTAGCTTTGCTTCTCGCAATGAGGGAACCGCCAGAAGGCCCTCGGCGCTGGACCTCAGCGTCCGGGCAGAACGATGGGGGTGGAGACGCTCCTTCAGGTATACTGGGCCGAGGCCGTTTAGGGCTTTAAAGGTCGACACCAACACTTTGAATTGTGCTCGGAAACGTACTGGGAGCCAATGTAGGTCTTTCAAGACCGGTGTTATGTGGTCTCGGCGGCTGCCCCCAGTCACCAGTCTAGCTGCCGCATTCTGGATTAATTGTAGTTTCCGGGTCACCTTCAAAGGTAGCCCCACGTAGAGCGCATTGCAGTAGTCCAAGCGGGAGATAACCAGAGCATGCACCACTCTGGCGAGACAGTCCGCGGGCAGGTAGGGTCTCAGCCTGCGTACCAGGTGGAGTTGGTAGACACCTGCCCTGGATACAGAATTGACCTGTGCCTCCATGGACAGCTGTGAGTCCAAAATGACTCCCAGGCTGCGCACCTGGTTCCTCAGGGGCACAGTTACCCTATTCAGGACCAGGGAGTCCTCCACACCAGCCCGCCCCCTGTTCCCCAAAAACAATACTTCTGTCTTGTCAGGATTCAACTTCAATCCATTAGCCGCCATCCATCCTCCAACCGCCTCCAGGCACTCACACAGGACCTTCACCGCCTTCACCCATAGCTTTAACTATACAGACCTTTGTCGGCAAGGTGATGTCTCTGCTTTTTAAGATGCTGTCTAGATTTGTCATTGCTTTTCTCCCAAGAAGCAGGCGTCTTTTAATTTTGTGACTGCTGTCACCATCTGCAGTGATCATGGAGCCCAAGAAAGTAAAATCTCTCACTGCCTCCATTTCTTCCCCTTCTATTTGCCAGGAGGTGATGGGACCAGCGGCCATGATCTTCGTTTTTTTGATGTTGAGCTTCAGACCATATTTTGCGCTCTCCTCTTTCACCCTCATTAAAAGGTTCTTTAATTCCTCCTCACTTTCTGCCATCAAGGTTGTATCATCTGCATATCTGAGGTTGTTGATATTTCTTCCGGCAATCTTAATTCCGGCTTGGGATTCATCCAGCTCAGCCTTTCGCATGATGAATTCTGCATATAAGTTAAATAAACAGGGAGACAATATATAGCCTTGTCGTACTCCTTTCCCAATTTTGAACCAATCAGTTGTTCCATATCCAGTTCTAACTGTAGCTTCTTGTCTCACATAGAGATTTCTCAGGAGATAGATGAGGTGGTCAGGCACTCCCATTTCTTTAAGAACTTGTCATAGTTTGCTGTAAACTTTGTAGGAGCTTGCTATGTCCATAGTCGCACACCTATTTACTGTTTCTTTCTATTTACAGCATTTCTGTGCTGCTTAATTCTTTGCATTTCTAGGTGGTGCACATAAAAATAATCTGTAGAAAATGAGGCATTTTTTAAAAAATGCAGCATCAAACCAAACACAACAAACGGGGCCTCTGCATTTTTCACCTGAGGCCCTGTTCCCCACACTGCCTCCACAGGAGATGTAGAGGATAGTGGCACAGAAAGAGACCTTTTCAGTGTTGGCTCCCCATTTATGGAATGCTATCCCCAGGGGGAGGCATGCCTGGTGCAATCACTATCTGGCTTTAGGCACCAGGTAAAAAAACATTTTTATTTACGCAGGTGTTTGGATCTTAATTTTCTGCTTATCTTTTTGTAGTTGATGGGTGAGATACAGTGCGAGTCACTTTCTCTAATAAATACTTTCCTATTTTGTGTTTGGGATGGCCCCCTGTTTAGGTCAAATCAAATGCACTGCCATCTGTTGGAGGATTATGGTTTGAGTCCCCTCTCCGCGTTTGGCAGGAATGAATGAGTTCTGGCTTAGGCTGCAGAGTTCCTAGTAATGAAGTCTTAACTCATTTGGCTTCCCCTTTGCCTCCCTCTTTTCTCCCCCTCCCCCAGAATCACAGCTCTTGTGCCTTCAGGAAAAATTGATCAGGTCAAACTTCCCAATAGCCCAGTCCAATGCATGCTTACTCAGCGAAGTCCTATGTTCAAGGAGGCTAACTCTCAGGTAATGTGTATAGGATTGTAGTCTTACTCTTGTTGTGGGAGGGTTCACATTATGCTAAATTTCTGCTTGTTATGTACCTATTTCTGTTCATTTCTAGCTGCTCAGTGCTGCTGCTGTATTGCTTTAAATTTAATATTAATAGAATTTATATAGCCACCAATTTTATATTTCTGTAGCCTTGTGGGCAGGATGGCATATCTCAACATTTGCAGGCAGTTGTAAAAGGATATTATGAGGCATTTGTTGTTGCATATAAAAACTTGGCAAATAATAGTACAGGGGAAGAGATGGGTTAGGATTCAGATGTACAGTATTGACCCCAACCAATGTGTGGGAGGGAAGAAATTGGATACTTGTCAATGGATCAATAGGATCTGCTTCGGGGGGGGGGGGCATCAAATATATCTTCTACAAAATCAATGACTAAATACATTTTTTCTGCCTGCTGTCGCCCTACTGGATTCAACGAGGCTTTTGTAGGATTGCAGTATTATAAGGTCTTCCTTCATCCTTATGGAAAGGCATGTGGGAGTTATATGTTAATCTAAGATCCTGCAAATTAATAGTCTTTGAGGTTCCATAAGTGACTTTTATTCTTTTTTTTGCAACATATAGACTCTATTTCAAGTTGAAGGAGAGGGTAAACTTTATTCTGGTGGTTTGCTTTTGATATGTGTGTTTTCATCTATCTCACAGTGCAATCCTACATACAGGTCTATTCAGAAGTAGGTGCTTAAAGGTAGGTGCTTATAATATAACAGATTAAGTTACCTCTCATTCGTACTGTTGACAAAAAAATTTAAAAGCTTTTATACAACTTCAGTGCTTCGGTGACTACTGCTTCAAGGGAAGAGGATGGTGAGGAAGCAGGACTTCTTTGGCCCCAAAGCAGCCACCAGCAGGTCCCTAAGTCACCAGCTGTCATTTGATCAATAACCTCTCCCCCACCTCTTTTTGGAACACCCTTTTTGGCCACCACCACAGAGCATGTTTCTGTCCTCAAAATAGCTTCACTGCCACACTGAAGCATCTCTGGTGGTGGACCTGCGTGGAGAGGGAGATGCAGAGAATCCAACAGCTCCTGAAAACCCTTTCCAGGAGCTAAAGATTGCTCTCTCATAAGCTCTAGATTTTGTTCCAATATTTTAACTCTTGTCCTGTTCTCTTACACAATTAAAGGTACCCCTGCCCGTACGGGCCAGTCGTGTCCGACTCTAGGGTTGTGCGCCCATCTCACTTAAGAGGCCGGGGGCCAGCGCTGTCCGGAGACACTTCCGGGTCACGTGGCCAGCGTGACGAAGCTGCTCTGGCGAGCCGGCACCAGCGCCGCACACGGAAACACCGTTTACCTTCCCGCTAGAAAACGGTCCCTATTTATCTACTTGCACTTAAGAGTGCTTTCGAACTGCTAGGTGGGCAGGAGCTGGGACCGAACGACGGGAGCTCACCCCGCCACGGGGATTCGAACCGCCGACCATGCGATCGGCAAGCCCTAGGCGTTGAGGTTTTACCCACAGCACCACCCGCGTCCCCTTATACAATTACCATAGCAAAAAAGGCTGGTCTGTGTACATAAAAATGTCTTTATTTACATCCATGAATAAGCATGCTACTCTGCTACATTGAAAGGAATTAATGCTTAGCAAATAAATGTCACAGTTGCCAAAATTCTGGACTTCCTTCTCTGGATCTGCAGTAATGAGATACTGAAGAACTCTTTGGGGAAAAAATAAGAATCGATCTTTTTAAACTACAGATAAGCAAAATCAATTATTAAATAGTAATACCATAGCAGGCAATTGATCAAATATTGTTAAATACTAAATATATTTACATATCACTTATAATGAATTGATCGCATATCAACACAGTTCTTGTGGGGTATAATGACCGCATCATAGTTTCCAAGTCCATTCTGTGCCAGTGTGTGTGTCTGCTGAAAACGTGTGGCAAGATGCTTAACAGGTTCTGTGTGCTGCTGAGTATGAGGCATTATGGTTCATATTTTATCTTTTGTTCCAAATGACGTTAGTGCTTTCTGTAGATGCTGAACATTTTAAGCTGGGTCTAAGGTTTTGAACTCCAAATTGATGAAGTTGCTAAGTGGTTTAGCTAAAGCCTCTCGAGCTCTAAGTGCCATCTCTGTAAGATGTTCATTTGTCTAGCTGTCCCCAGTAAAAGCAACGATCAATAGGGTCTTGTGGCTTGGAAAGCCTATCTCTGGCTTCTCCCAACAAAGAACAGAGCACAGCCCCAGTGTGCACGTGAAGGTAGCCTCAGAATGTCTTCCTCATTTACTCCGACATTTTCTCAGGATGCAGGTGTTCATGACAGCAGAGAAGGGAAAACTGGGACATGGAGTTGAATATTTCAAGAGTATTCTTCCTGGAGTGTTGCTGAAATACCATTTCCCCTCCCCATTGCCCACTACCTTAGCATTTCAAAGTCCAAGGATTCGGAAGGCATCTCGCAAGTCATCAACCTCATAAAGTGGCTGTGAAAGAAAGAAGAGAATGGTCAGGTTTGCAGGAGGCACAAGAAGAAGGAGAACAAAAGGTTAGAGGTAAAGCTGATGAGTAATGAAGTAAAGATAAGGGCAGAATAAGATGGAGGCTAGTGATCCTGAAAAATCAAGTTAAAGGAAGCAGAGAATGGCAGGTGAGGAAAAACAAGGGCAGCAAGGAAGGAGGAGGAAGAGGTACAAGAAAAGTGGTAGAAAACCTCGCTCCAGAGTGCAGAGGGAAATACTTCTCACCAAAAGGATACGGCGGAGCCTTCTGGTCAGACGCACAGAATTTTCATGAAGCCCTTCCCAAGCTTTGAAGGTCTTCTTGCGGTTCTCTACAAAGGTGTTCCAGCAGTAAAAGTAATCTGACAAAAGAGAGACGTGGTGTTCATCTTCCATTGCTTAACTTCCCCTCCAGATCTTATGCCACCTACTAAACCCATCCCTAATGGGATGCGGGTGGCACTGTGGTCTAAACCACAGAGCCTAGGGCTTGCCAATCAGAAGGTTGGTGGTTTGAATCCCCGCAACGGGGTGAGCTCCCGTTGCTCGGTCCCTGCTCCTGCCAACCTAGCAGTTCGAAAGCACGTCAAAGTGCAAGTAGATAAATAGGTACCGCTTCGGCGGGAAGGTAAACGTTTCTGTGCGCTGCTCTGGTTGCGCGAGAAGCGGCTTAGTCATGCTGGCCACATGACCAGCTCCCTTGGCCAATAAAGTGAGATGAGCGCCGCAACCCCAGAGTCGTCCGCGACTGGACCTAACGGTCAGGGGTCCCTTTACCTTTACCTAAACCCATCCCTCTGCCCTGTTTCACCTTTGAAGGTCATGATGGCAATCTGAGCTCCTGCCCGGTGGAGGCGACGCAGCCCCTCAGGTTCGGCATTCCGTTCCTCACAGAAGTACAGGCGGGCAGCAAAGATGCGCAGGGTTAGGTTAGGGTAGGCATACAAGAAGTCAGCCACATGCCGGGCGCAGTCATAGCACGGACTCCATGAGGTGAACCAAGTGATCCGATAGCAGTGCCTTGGGTCCAGGTCCCAGGTGGCGATGTAACGCAGGAAGAGAACTTCAACGTGGCAACCCGACTGAAGTAGCAACACAGAAGGATTGGGGGCGGGGCAGGATCAAGATAATACCGATAAACAATGAATGGTCAAACAAAGCATTTGTGCTGAGAGACAAGAAGTGAAGGTGTGAGAGAACATAAGACATTACTGAAGGTTCCCTGTTTCCAGGACTGAGTTGGTTAGTCTTGGACTAGTTCGTACAATTAGCAGAAACAAACGATTTCCCTCAAGGATACCATTTTGCCTGTGTATTTGAATGATACCTTCCAGAAACCCTGCCCAGAAACTTAAAAGTACACAAGTAAAAAGCACATCAAAGAGAAGATTAGATGAGCTTTATGCATATAGAGGTACCTCGGTTTTCGAGCGTGATGCATTCTGGAGGACTGTTTGAGTTCTGAAACATTCAAAAACCGAGGCACAGTCAGTCACAAAAACAAATTGGTTGCAAGAGAGCTCCTGAGATTATCTGAACACAGACTGATTGCATGCAGAAGCCACGTGGCATGTTCGACTTCCGAGGCGTGTTTGAAAACTGAAGCATTTACTTCCGGGTTTACAGCATTTGAAAACTGAAATGTTCATCAACAGACGTTCAAAAACCAAGGTACCACTGAATAATAATAATAATAATAATAATAATAATAATAATAATTTATTTATACCCTACCAATCTGGCTGGGTTTCTGCCACTCTGGGCGGCTCCCAACATCATCATCATCATCCATCATCATCATCAAGTGATAAAATATCAAACATTAAAACTTCCCTAAACAGGGCTGCCTTGTCAGACTTTTTGTATGTGTGTAAAATGAACACATGGGGAGCCAGTGGGGATCAGTACACAAACTCCACCCTGATGGTACTCCAGCCTCAAGTCTTTATTTTACATGCAGGCACTTCTAAAGGACCCAGATTACAATGTGAAGGGAGGGTGGTTGTGGGGAGCATGCAAGCAAGCCGCTCTCCAGATCTGTCTCAAAGTGCATAAGTAAAGTTTTGCCATTTGGTTCTGCTATTTGTATTATCTGGCCATTAGATTAAGATGTTGAGAAGGTATAGGGATGCTTGGAGGGAAAATGGAAGAATGGGTAGTGGAGGTGCTTGCTCTTAGGTGGGGGCAAATCCATACGTCGGTTCAAATAGAATGCTGTATGGATTTCTAAGGGTCTTAGATATAGGTCTTGTATTCCATTAGTGGTGACGTTGCTGCTTCGGTGTCATCAGTTCCTATGTCACTCTAGTCATGTTGGAACTGAGATGCCACAACATGGTTATTGCTAATTCCGCAATCACTCCTCTTGAAGGCTGGGCAACATTGGCATAGGAAGAAATCATATTGTCAGGCTATCCAGTGTGATCTCTCCAAATCCAGCCGTACTGAACCAGTGTGGGAATATGCAGAAATGGCAATTTCACCGCTAGGAGAAATGATTCTAATCTGGGAGTGAAATGGATTGCTAAAATTATGGATAAGATGCTGAGCATTCCATTGCTCATTGGTGCAGAAGGATGTATTTATGGATATGAGCTTCACTTGTGTTTTGTACCTTATTGCGCAGATATCCAAAGTCCAGGGAGCAGGATGTTGCACTGTTCCGCCGTTTGACCACATAGCAAAGGTACGTTTCGTGACGGCCTTTGGCCCAGCGCAAGTTCTTGAAGTTGTAGAGGAATTTCTTTTGTTTCAGAAGGACACTGCGGAGGGAAACAGACTCTGAATTTGAATGTATTCAAGTATGAATGGGGACAGCTGTGATCTGAACAGAGAGCAACTCTAGTGGAGTCCATTGGTTCAGGAAAATATATATATAGAAATGAGAATTCTTGGATGCCAGGATTCAAGTTTGGGACAAGTTCTCTTTGGTGAGAGAACCCCAAACAGAGATTTAAAGTCACAAAATTTGAAGCAATGTAAAGCGTGGTAATATAGGCTGCAAAATCTTAATGTGTGCCCTTTAAAAAGTTCTTTCCAAGGTTTCCCAGTTCTCCCAGCATAGGAAAAAGACCACACATTTGTTAAGCTACCAGTGGTTTACATACAAACTCTTCAAAGGTCAGGTTCATGTGCTTTGGAAAAGTTGCACAGGCACTTTTTACAAAGCGGTAAAAATTCCTAGATTATTAGTATAGGAACTCAAGAGTGGCTTGTGAAACCCATGCTGAATCCTCTTTGCACGCTGAGCTTCTCAGGTAGACTAAGGGTGAAAGGCTATTCTCACCGTCATTCCCCACTAAGTTTAAGAATAAGAATACATAAAATACCATGATGTCTGCCACAGGCTTCTTTTTATACTGTATAACGTCTCTAAAGCAGGGTGGGAGCAAGTGTGCAAAGTACAGAGCAGGAGTGTGAAGAACTGTGTTCACCAAAGCGAAACATTCACACCCCCAAAGGCAATGCAAAACAGAAGCGAATGGGTTAAAAATAATCCCAGCGCACCATCACCTCCTTTCTCTGCACTCTCAGTATGGGCTCAGCCAGCTACTATATTTTCCATGCATGGATGATCTGAGGGTGGACTGAAACACAGGCTTTATAAGTTTGAGCGCTCATACAAGCACAATATAATGACCCAGTGCCAACAGAGAGGCTTCACCTTCAAAGCAAACTAGTTTTTACTGTAGCATGGCAAGCAACCTTGGCCATATTGGCAACTTCATAAGCCCATGAAGCAGGAGATTATAGGTGCTTTCAGATGGTTTCAGTTCTATGGTGAGAGTCAACGTCATACTAAGGAAAATGTTCCAAATACCTCCCCTCTTCCTGCGTCCCCAGGCCTGTGCATTGTTCTGAGGGGTTTCCCAACACTCCAGAGGTGTTGGGGGGGGCAGTTGTGAGCAAAGCCCTGTTGCAGTAGCAGAAGTGTTGGCTTCCACTACTGGAACTGGGTAAGGTAAGGTAAAAGGTAAAGGACCCCTAGACGGTTACGTCCAGTCAAAGGCGACTATGGGGTGCGGCACTCATCTCGCTTCAGGCTGAGGGAGCCGGTGCTTGAACGCAGACAGCTTTCTGGGTCATGTGGCCAGCATGACTAAACCACTTCTGGTGCAACAGGACACCACAACGAGTGCCAGAGTGCACGGAAATGCCGTTTACATTCCCACCGCAGTGGTACCTATTTATCTACTTGCACTGGTGTGTTTTCAAACTGCTAGGTTGGCAGAAGCTGGGACAGAACAACGGGAGCTCACCCCGTCGCGCGGATTCAAACCACCAGCCTTCCGATCGCCATGCCCGAAAGGCTCCGTGGTTTAGCCCACAGCGCCACCCCGTCCACAATGGAACCGGGTAGTTGAATCTGGCCTTATATTCCCAGGGCTACAGTGGGAAGATGCTGTCCTGCATATATTGAGCGACATGTTTGGGCCATAGGAAACAACACCTGTGCTAATTTATATCCATTATTTGCTGCAGTTGTAATTTCCAGCAGGTTATAGGCCAGGAGTGGGTAACCTTTATTTTCTGTCATGGGCCACATTTTCTTGGGAATAATCTGCCAGGTGCCACAGGCCCTTGGTGGATGGGGCTCAAATCAAAAGTTGGAGGGACTTGGAAATATTTCAGGATTGCATACCTCCCCCCCCCCCTTTGCTCTGTCCATTTCAGTTTCTCCTGTCCCATTTCTCCCCATCCATTTACACAGCTTAGAACCATTCACTTGCAGAAGGCTCCTCTTTGCATCCCTCCATCCATCTCAGCTCTGTCCATTTCCAGGGCTCATCCAGACTTCCATTGGTGCCATCACTTTCCTCCTCGAGCCTCTGCTCCAGGTTAAAGCAACTAGAGTGCTCTGACATAACAGCTAATGTGCCATTAGGAGACCTCTACGTACAGTGGTACCTCGGGTTACATACGCTTCAGGTTACATACACTTCAGGTTACAGACTCTGTCCCAGAAATAGTGCTTCAGGTTAATCACTTTGCTTCAGGATGAGAACAGAAATCGTGCTCCGGTGGCGCGGCAGCAGCAGGAGGCCCCATTAGCGAAAGTGGTGCTTCAGGTTAAGAACAGTTTCAGGTTAAGAACAGACCTCTGGAACAAATTAAATACTTAACCCGAGGTACCACTGTACTTTAATTCTGGCCTTGCCTTCTTCCAAACAACCTTCATTAGATTCAGGCACATCAAGCTTGCTACATCAAGTGTCATTGAATCATCTAGTCACTTCTGATGCAAAGAAGAAAATATCTACCCTAAGAAGAGGCTTCCTGTTGTGTTTCTGTATGAGTCACTGTTCTGGGCTTGTTTCTTTGCACCAGAAGGCATGTGCAGGACATTTGCTCATGCAGAAACGCAGGGGGATGGATTCCTTTGAAGGACTCCTCTTCTGAGTAATTCTTACTTGTAAACACTCTAAGGGTGCATAATAATGTGCAACATTTGAATAGTGGGCCCCATTGTCAAAGCACACACCTCCCCCCCAAACATACAATTTTCTCTTCAAGATGGAATTTATGTGTATTTGCAACAGATATAGGCTGTGCATAGCGAAGATAAGCTGCAATTTGTATGATCAAATGAACCAACCTTCATTCCCCTTCCCTAGGCAGATTTCCAACATTTTAAAGTACTGGCAAATGTACATTTAATTGAATAAATGTGCGTAAAGTACTTTACAAATAAAAATGGCTGAGAGTCCGCCTGTAGCATGGGGTGGGGGGAGAGGTGGAAAGCGGATATCTGAACATGTGGCAAACGCATTGTGCACAGCAGAGAGGAAAAGCAGACGCCCACTTAAGAATAAGAAAAATTGCTGAGTGCAGTTTCTTTTTTAAATATGTGCACACCCATTACGTTTGTCGACCCATTATGTATGTGCACATCCTAAAAACAATTTGGATCTCTCAGTCTGGCAGTATGCAGAAGAACTTGGACTGCTTCCAAGTTCTAGTGTCCCGCTGAAAAACATCTGGTCCCAGAACAAGAAATACCGTATTTTTTGCACCATAACACTCACTTTTTTCCTCCTAAAAAGTAAGGGGAAGTGTCTGTGCGTGTTATGGAGGGAATGCCTACAGGTGGCATGCCTACGGATTTTCCTCCTCTAAAAACTACGTGCGTGTTATGGTCGGGTGCGTGTTATAGAGCGAAAAATACGGTAGCTATATGTGAAAAGCCAATCCTGGTGTAGCAGTTCAAAAGCGGATTGCATGTTAAAATGGGACTGGCTTTGGGAGGCAAGAGTTCCTTGCAGCTATAATCCTGTCTTATCAGCACCAGCCTTTTTTGCATCATGGCAGCCCTGTGAAGTACCGTATTTTTCGCTCCATAAGATATACTTTTTCCCTCCTAAAAAGTAAGGGGAAATGTGTGCGCGTCTTATGGAGCGAATGCAGGCGGGAGGCTCTGCTCAGCGCTCCCTTTAAAGAGCGTGTGGAGCATGTGTGCAGCTCTTCAGGGCTTTTCCCCGAGGAGGGAGAAGGGCAGCCCATCAGTCCCTTCCCCCACCTCCCGGAAAAGCCCCCAAGAGCCGCGCTCCTTTTAAAGAGCCGCGCGGAGCATGTGTGCGGCTCTTGGGGGCTTTTCCCGAGGAGGGAGAAAGGCAACCCGTCAGTGACAGGCTGCCCTTCTCCCTCCCTGGGGAAAAGCCTGCAAGCACTGCACACACGCTCCACGCGGCTCGTGAACGGGAGAGCTGAGCAGAGCCTGGGATGCATACTGGCTCTGCTCAGCGCTCCCTTTAAAGAATATTTTTTTTCTTGCATTCCCCCTCTAAAGACTAGGTGCGTCTTATGGTCAGGTGCGTCTTATGGAGCGAAAAATATGGTAGGTTAGGATGAAGAAATAATAAACTGCCCAAGTGCACCCTGTGAGTCTCATTGCCAAGAAAAGATTTGAACATGGGCTTCAATTCCCAAGCAATGCTCTTGCCACAGTGCCCCACTGGCTCAATAGAAGTAGATTGCAACCTCTGATTTCCAGAGCAGAAACCAGGGACATGTGGCAGCCAAGGTTAATAAGCACTTTCACACCAGTCTGAATCCAAGGGGAAAGACTTAAGCACATGTGTATTGGTCACTTACTATAATACATGGGGACTTGAAAGGGCTTATATTTGGCTGTCATGTGCCCCAAAGTTTCCACTCTTCTGGAAATGGGAGTTCACAAACTACTCCCAAGAGGGGTAGGGAAAGGCATGCCATGAGACATTTTTGTCCAGCTGAATCTCATAAAGTCTTCTAATTCTTTAATGAGTTATTAGCTTTCCCATTTGCCCAGATTAACCCAGGGAAATGTTCAACCCTTTGCTGGGGTAATACCGAGGTAAGAGGGAGAGGGAGCTGAGAAACTAGAGGCAGATCGCAGAGTGAGGTGAAAACTCAAATAGTATCTCATGCTATTTGCAGCAGCAGATGGCACAAAATGAGAGACTTTTTGTGGTTGCAGCGGACATACTCCTAAAGTAGCTATTTCACTTGCACCTGATTTAAAGAAATGAAACAGAGGAGGAGGAGGAGGTACTCAGTACAAGTTAGTATAAGTTATGCTACAATACAACTCGATACACATTATGATCCTCCGTGACGAAGGAGGAGTATTTTATGAATAATAGAAATATTACATATTCTGAAATTCTGAATTGTGCATCTAAGGACAAGTGCACACTCACAAGAAGGACTGGAAGACCTATAATTTAAGACCTATCAGGTCTTGGTTTTGAATTCGTTTGAAAAATCATTTTTCTTTTTAAATGATATATTATGTTTTTAATTTTTATCAGATGAAAAGGAGCTCCATTGTGAGACAGAAACTGAGACAAAGATATTATGATAAATAGACAAATAGATATGAGTCATTCACATCTGGAAACTGCAATTAGACGCATTCATCTATAGAAAGCTACTTTCTTGCTAATCCCAAAATAAAAGATGCATTTGTTAATTATAATGCTTTCTCTTTGCTAATGTGAATGAGTGCAGATTCAGAAAATTTGCAATTAGATCCATTCATCTATAGGCTAGACAGGTGTTCTGTTAGCACCCATACATGCGAAGTATTGGAAATCTTTATTGGAGTAACACTTTTTGATGCAGAAAAACATAAGCTTTTGAGTTACACAGAAATCTCATCCCACTTGTCTAATTATTTTAATTGCCCAAAAAGGCATTGTAACCAAAACCTAAGTATGTGAAACTGTATATAATTGTTCTCTGCTAAACTCACTGCCCTCCCCTCTGTTGCACCCATCATTGTTGATTGTAAGCTTCTTGGGGCAGGTGTCTGTTTCTTTTGATTCTGTTATTATATACTACAGACATGAAAGTCAAGAAGAAGAAATAATAATGATATCCCTTATTTTCAAGAGTGTATGGAACAAACTGAATTAAAGGGGGGAAATTGTCTTAGCAAACCGTGTGCAAAAAGAGAGAGAGAAAGAACAGAAAAATTACTGGGGACATGGGTAGAAAACAATAATGATAAAACGTGTGTGAGCAAGAGAGAGATAGAAAGAGTCAACAGCATCAGAATATTGGTTACTGAGAGATATGGGAAGAAGCCATCTGGAGAGCTGAGTCAGATGGGGAAAAGACAATAAAACACAGAGCAAGTTCATACTCAATGAATTCAGTGATGTAGCAATTATGCACTGGGGCAAAAGCTGCCCATTTACCTGTCCATGACTGCGCTGGGGCTGATGTGGGAAGTCGCTTTGAGTCACCAAGCTGCTACGCCGTGCGTCTGAATAGCCTTATGACTGAGGTACAGAAATGAGAAGTGTCGTTGGGTGGGTGTTCCCAACCCCCTCGACTCCCCTTAGGAGTCATTTTGTCTGGGGTGGAGTTACACAGTTTGCTGGAGTTGTGGGCCCCCATTCTAAAAAAGATGCTTGGTTCTGATTGGCTCCAGTTTCTTCAGCCTCCTCCCTCCTTAGAAATATATCTGTCAATTATCACATTAAAATGTAGGTAGGTAAGAAAAATAGTTACTGGTTCCAGCAAAAAAAAGAAATTGGTGCGCCTAGGTTTTGCTTTCAGTTGCCCCATGGCTCAGCTGGTTTTCTTTTCCTTTTTTGTACTTTAAATTTCCTTGGAGACCCCCCTCCAAAAAAATACATTATGAAAACCTGCATTCCCACACATACACTGCAACCAATAACAGTATACATCTGTAAAGCACGTAACGGATGCTTTAGTTGTGATTCCTGAATTGCAGGGGGGCTGGACTCGATGACCCCTGGGGTCCCTTCCAAGTCTACAATTGTTTGATTCCATGTTCCTATTAAGTGAGCCACAAATTGGTATTGCCCCTTGGAACTGGCCTTTGGTTTTCTGGAGAACGTGCAAAGGAAACAAGGCACCACCATTCTCCCTCACCTTTGTGCTTCGTGCCTCTTGCCTCTTGCCTCTTGTCAGTCTCAAATTGTGAGTCAATTTTTCCATAATGCTCTCTTGTGCCCAAGTGCTCAAGTTCCTCCGTTGGTTTTCTAGCAAAGGGGCTATACAGTGGTACCTCAGGTTACAGACGCTTCAGGTTACAGACTCCGCTAACCCAGAAGTAGTACCTGGGGTTAAGAACTTTGCTTCAGGATGAGAACAGAAATCGCGCGGCGGCAGCGGGAGGCCCCATTAGGTCAAGTGGTACCTTGGGTTAAGAACAGTTTCAGGTTAAGAACAGACCTCCAGAACGAATTAAGTTCTTAACCCGAGGTACTACTGTACTTCAATGAATGCTATGCAGGCTGGACTTAAGGGGTCCAGGGGTCCTTTACCTTTACCCTTTTTTCTTTCTCTCCTTGTGACTCCACCCCGTGCTGCTCAGCTGCCTAAGGAACAGCCAGTGGTGTAGCATGGGTTGCCAGTGCCTGAGGGAAGGGCAAATGTTGTGGACTGGGCAGCTGTAAGTCCCTTCACCAGCCAGCATCAAATCAAGGGAGTCTCTTCTTGCAAATTAGCCCCAACCTGGGAGCAGAGAAAAGGTATAGAAAAGCGATGCCAGGAGCGCCGCTGTGTTGCTTTGCCCTCCTGGCCTTGCAGTGAGGCACTCTGTGCAACGCACATTGCTCTGGCAGTGCTTTCCCGCCTTCCTCTTCCTCTTTCCCTCCTCAGTGGGCAGCGGCACCCTCCCTCTCCCTCTCGGCCAGCCGGGGCGGGAGGATGTGGCGCACACAGGCATCCTTTTGCCGGCCATGAAGAGAAGGAGGAAGCGCCCCTGCTCCAAAGGCCCGGGCCTCGTTGCACCTCTTCAGGATTTTGTGACCCTCTGCCGCACCCATGCTACGGCACTGGGAACAGCTGGGATTGGTGCAAAGGAGTCTGGACTGCAGCAGGGAAAAGCTGATCTTTAACTGGAGCCCTACCTCTTCTTAAAGCTGGACCATAAAGAATGCTGATTGCCGAAGAATTGATGCTTTTGAATTATGGTGCTGGAGGAGACTCTTGAGAGTCCCATGGACTGCAAGAAGATCAAACCTATCCATTCTGAAGGAAATCAGCTCTGGGTGCTCACTGGAAGGACAGATCCTGAAGCTGAGGCTCCAGTACTTTGGCCACCTCACGAGAAGAGAAGACTCCCTGGAAAAGACCCTGATGTTGGGAAAGATGGAGGGCACAAGGAGAAGGGGACGACAGAGGACGAGATGGATGGATAGTGTTCTCGAAGCTACCAGCATGAGTTTGACCAAACTGCGGGAGGCAGTGGAAGACAGAGGTGCCTGGCGTGCTCTGGTCCATGGGGTCACGAAGAGTCGGACACGACTAAATGACTAAACAACAACACCTCTTCTTCCCAAAGCTCAACTGATCAGTGGGGAGGGTACCTGGTGGTCAGGACAACTGTAGGATGAGGCAGCTGGCCAGCAGCAGCTGGGATGGTGGCAGGGGTAAGGGAGGGGGCTCGGATGGCACACTTCTGAACTGGAGATAGAAAGCAAGGCCATGATCCATGGAGACTATGTATACTGAGCAGAGGCTTGAGTAGTGCCCTGAGAATATACAAAACACAGTCAGGATAAGCACATTTCCCAGGCCTGCTGGAGATGATATTGGCCTGGCGTTGTGCACAAATGCAAACAGATTATGTGCACAGTCTCCACAAAGCCTGGCGAATGTGCACAACAGCCAGTTATTCTGCACATTAACTGTGCATTACTGTATAATCTTCACAACAAAAACATATAGTCTTGAGTGCTCAAAGAACTTCATACACATGAAATAAGTGCCCTCATAACAGTCCTATCATATAGGTAAGTGTAATGAAATGTCACATTGCAGAAGGGATAGAGGCTTGCTCAAAGTTGCCTGGCAGATTCCTGCAGAGGGACTTCTTGGTTGTCGGCTCAGCCTCCTAGCTACTGTGGCACCCTAACTCACATGCCTGCCATGGATGCTTTTGTTTAGATTCCTGCATTGCAGGGGATGGACTAGATGATCCTTGGGATCCCTTCTAACTCTAGTGTTATATGATTCTATGTGACATGTAGCAACTCTGAGCCAACAGCCTCTTCTGGAACTGTGGAGAAAGACAAAAAAAATGTTGTTGTTGTTTAGTCGTTTAGTTGTGTCCGACTCTTCGTGACCCCATGGACCAGAGCACGCCAGGCACTCCAGTCTTCCACTGCCTCCCGCAGTTTGGTCAAACTCATGCTGGTAGCTTCGAGAACATTGTCCAACCATCTCGTCCTCTGTCGTCCCCTTCTCCTTGTGTCCTCCATCTTTCCCAACATCAGGGTCTTTTCCAGGGAGTCTTCTCTTCTCATGAGGTGGCCAAAGTATTGGAGCCTCAGCTTCACAATCAGTCCTTCCAGTGAGCACTTAGGGCTGATTTCCTTAAGAATGGAGAGGTTTGATCTTCTTGCAGTCCATGGGACTCTCAAGAGTCTCCTCCAGCACCATAATTCAAAAGCATCAATTCTTCGGTGATCAGCCTTCTTTATGGTCCAGCTCTCTCTTCCATGCATCACTACTGGGAAAACCATAGCTTTAATTATAAGGACCTTTGCATCAATTCATTTGTTTTTTCAAAAGCACACACACTGTGACATCAGATTAGTTTGTACGTCATACTTGCTAACAAAGCACACTGGCTCTCCTAACCCCTTCACCACAGCTGTTTGGTCCTAGATCCTGAAGCTTTTACGATGATGTTCCTCAAGAATATAATCCCTAATACACATCTCAAAAATGATACTGGAGAACTGGAGAAGATGCAAAAAATGGCAAGCAAAATGATCTTGAGCCCATTGATTGACTTTGCCACTGATTGACACACGTTTGGGTGTGATAACTGCAACATCAAGGGACAACTTAAATGTATGAATACCTCATGTATAACTTCTTTATGTTTCTTCAGATGCAGGGCTTGACAATTAAGCCTGTTCACACAAACACATGGTTGCTAATCAAGTGTAGAGAAATCTAGTGATATACATGCATGTGTGAACCAGGGCTGCATTAGGAAAGCTTGCATTTGATGGGCATTGCCTTTAAAAATCCCTTGACCCATCCATTCTCACTGAAGATTCAGTCAGCAGTAACCTGGCCAAAAATCAATCACAGAACAGAAATACATTTCAGCCAAAGCACTTGGAGGGGCAGATTGTCTGTTTAATCAACAGGAAGTGGTGTGATCTGCTTGTAAGATATAAATAACTGTTTATTTTCCACTCACCTACTTGCTCAGAAATCACAATTTGAATTACGCGCCGACAGCTTCAGTTGGTTTAAATAAAAAAAAATATTTAGCCACTTCCTTTTCCCCTAAAGTGAAAACCTCACTGCTGAACTTTCTCCGCTTGCTAAATGTAAAGCTGAAACTGTAGTAGCAACCTCTGCTTTGTGGGCTAATTATCACTTTGTGTACTCTAGTCTAAATCTATACTTTCCCCCTTTTTCTTTTTCAAAGCTATAGTCCCACTGTTTTGGCTCCAAAGCAAATCCTGCAACTGCCAAGAAAAGGAAGGAGAAAGTATATAATGTCCCAAATTAAAACAATGACATGGCAAAACCACCAGCAGAATAAAAAAAAGCAAGCCAGCCAGTCCAAAAGTATTTAGAAAAAAATACATTAAAATCAGTTAAAACAATTTGCAATCAAAAGGATGGGGTGGGCAATGTGCTCTCTGCCACAGGCAGAGATACAAAATATACATTAGTATGACTATGTATAAAATTTGGTGCAAAGCCCTTTACAAAAGCAGGGGTCTTATTTCCTCCACATTTCCTTTGTGTTCTTTAAAGCGACATCCATACATTTCTGTGCATGAGCCACTTGAACGCTAGATGTATTTTGTGTTTGGTAGTTCAAGCCACACATAGTTCAATCCCCACTTTCCTTTCATCACCTGCTTCAGAAACCTCCTGTTGTAGTCATGGTACATCTCAGTCTGTTCCCACCACTCAATTTAGCCTGTTTCCAACACTTGCAAACAGGGACCGTTTTTCATACCAAGGGCCATTACCCAAGGCCAGAGCTGGCCCAAAACATTTTGCTGCCTGAAGCAAAGGACAAGATGAGACCCCTCCCAGTTTCGCGTACCAGAAACTGCTGAATCCTTCTTCAACACTGGTGATTCAGCAGCATCCTCCATCACACCAGAAGGCTGCATGCAAGCTTTTGTAAGGCAGAGCATCAGATACACACAGCTCTGTCCGCCAACATTTCCTGCAACCCTTCAGCATTTG